TTCTGGCCTGCAAGCATATATACAGGCAGAACACTGTATACATAACAAATAAATGTTAAAAAAGAAAAGCAGCTAGGAAGCCTTCTTGAATTTTCCACATCCTTCATCAATAGTATCTTGCCATCTACTTCCAGTGAGCAGCCAAGAACCATGGCAATAGCTTGCATTGTCTAGAGAGTATCCAGGACCCTTTGACTAACAGTGACAATAGCTTGCATTGTCTAGGGAGTATCCAGGGACCTTTGACTAACAGTGATGAACAACTTGGGGGATTTTCACACTGGTAGCAGCTGGGATCAGTATCACATGCCTAGCGTAACTCCATTCAAATTTCTTTATATGAATGTGTGTGTGTCTGAGAAGCTTTATGAAAATACTGTGTGTGCATAGTGATGTGTGTATGTGCTGTAGGAATTCCTATGCCCGTAGCCTTTAAGTTACCCGCTCACTTGGGCGTGGCCTCATACTATTTTTGATGCTGTAAAGCACACGTCCAGCCTCTTTTCCTGTTGCTGGATTTGGTTGTTGTTCTCTGTTCCAGCAGAGGATTGTAATCTGTGAGTCTACCCCTAAATAAATAACCCTTTATTATACCCAACTCTGAGCTAGTGTGGGATTTCTTTTAAGCATCCTTCCTCATGGATGTAGGTATACATGCTGCAGTGTGCCTGTGGAGGCCAGAGGACAACTCTGAGGAGTTGGTTTTTCCAGTCAACACAAGTTTTACAAATGGAACTCAGGATGACCTTGACCTGCTAAGTCATCCCACCAGTCTGGAACACGTATCTTTGGTATGTGAGTATAATTTAATGAATTTAACAAGAGAATTAGATAGAAATACTTATTGATGAGATTTTATGAAAAAGGTATTTTATTTTCATAACAACTATTTTTGAAACTATAATTACATTGTTTCCCCCTTTAGCTTTCTCCAATTCTTCCCACGCAACTCCTTGCTCTGTCTCAAAAACCATTGTTGGTGTCTTGCTTTGTTATTACATAAGTGTGTGTGTGTGTGTGTGTGTGTGTGTGTGTGTTCTCATATAAATAAATACAATCTGTTTGGTTCATATATTGTTACTTGTAGGATGTCAGGGCTGAACATCCGAGAGGCCTGTCTTAAGCAATGATAACATTGATGAACATGGTAACACAAAAGACGGAAAACTCTTGGATCTCAACTCTGTATGGGCGCCTGTGGAGGCCAGAAGAGGATTTGGGAGCTGAAGTCACAACAGCTGTAAGCTGCACAACAGAAGATCTGAGAACTGAACAACTTAAAGTCTTCTGGAAAAGCATCAGATGCTTTTAACCCCTAAGCAACCCTGTTCATTGCCTGTTTCTTAGTTTCATTGCTTGTTTCTTAGTTGGCCATACAAAGTAACCAATTTTATTACGGGTATTAAAAAATGTTTATTTATTCTTTGAGAATTTCATCCACAAACCCAAGGTATTTTGATCATAACCACTCACATGTCCGCTCCAACTTCCTCAGTACATCCCCTTATCCAACTTCATGTCTTTATTCCTTTTATAACTCACCCAAGTCCAGTTAGTGGTGACCATATGCACATCAGTGTTTCCTCAAGAAAATGACGCTCACCCAGCGGCGTCTGTTACTTTATGGCATGTTTCATATACTCTGCTTCGGTTGACCCTCCTCTTCCCAGGCCCTGCTTCCTGCTACCTGTACCCTCCCATACTGGTAGTCCCCTTTTTGGTTTCATGTCACATATATCCTGTTAGTCTTCCCTGCCTCCTTAAAACTTCCTCCCATCATGGCCGGCCACCTTCCTACCTTTATGACCTATCCCTTCACTTAGGACAATATACGTATATATGCATACGACTTAACATTAGGATCCACACAGGGGAGAGAACAGGTTTTGTCTTTCCATGTCTGGGCTACTTCAATTAATATACTAATTTCCTGACCTATTTGTTATCCTGAAAATTTTCTTTTTCTTTACAGTCAAATAAAATGCCTGTATCTACACTACACATCCTGTCCTTTTACCGGCTCATGGATATCTATACAGACTCTGCTTCCTGGTGGTTATGAACAGAGGAACAATGGCTATTTCTTAACAAAATTTTCTACTTCAAATATTTTAAAGTAAAAAGTAGCATTTATGAAGTATATAGCTGTAGAGGGTATTTGGATAAACTAGAATTTGAAATATTGCTATGAAAAATTCCCTAATCAGCAATAGGAAGTTAAAAAATTACCACACAGAAACTATAGCCATGCCAGCAAGAGAGCAAGAGTGGTCTCTGGGGCACGGCAGGTCTCTTGTGCCAGTTTTCTCAACTAAAAATGTAAAATGTAAGAATATATTGTACAAGATGGAATGTTCTGACTTACTTCTCTCATATAAAGTCTATGATACATAAATACATATTTTTAAGTATGTAAGCAAAACCAGAACATCCTTGCCTATAAAGTGAGGTTCATTATGAAACCTGGTGTTACCTTTTAGAATCAATGCCATGGGAGGAACTCAAGGAGGAGGAAGGAAGGGCTGCAAAAAAGCAAGAATAAAGTTGACAAAAACAAAACTTCCTAATTTTTCATTGTGCAAAAATCATATCTGTAATCTACATTGACTCATATCTTAAAACCTGCCTCATGTTTATGTTATTACAGTCATGTCAAAGGAGAAACCGAGCTGTGCTACGGCTAGCCACAGACAGGTCATCTCAGTCTGTATATTACCAGCAGGTAAACAAACAAACAACTAACACATTTTTAATGCTCCCAAGTTTTCCTATCCAGTCCTACTTTGTGCTGAATCCCAAATTTAAGAAAACTTGTCAATTGCTCATATAGTTGCTAATATACAAAAAGAAAATAACACTTTACTTTTTTTCTGACCAAAAATAGAGGAGACACTGTAAAAACCATGACAAGTGATTCCAAGCAAATAATAGTGGTCCAGAACATACTTAGAAGTTAAAGTATGTTTCCTCCAAAAGATGACCACTGGGAGCTGAGCAGCACTGTCAATATCTAGTCCATTAATAGTTAAGGGAAAAACCAAAGAGAAAACACATTGTGATTCTAAAACCAAATGTACAATGAGATACCGAGTATCAGTTCTTGGAGAAATTAATTTTAATTTAACTAAATTTTCCACAGTTTTATAATGTTGACTTGTTTCAAATTGACTTTGAGAAGGCTGTTGAACGAAGGAGAAGTTAAAGAAAGAGGATTCTAAGTTTGGCACAGGATACCCCGCATGTGTACATTCTAAATAAAAAAAGAGACCTGCAGTAAAGACATTCTTACCACCCCGATTTCCAGGAAACTCAAGTTTCAGGTCAGAATTGGCAAAAGAATTCAAAGCAAGAACTGGCAAAAGAATCCGAAGGTTATCATTTGAATGTGGGTTGGAGCAAAGGCTAAACACACCGTAAATGACCTTCAGGGCACAAATCCTAAGTAAGGCCATCTTCTTCCAGTTTTTCGAGAGAGGGTTTCACTGTAGCTTTGCAGCCTGTCCTGGAACTAGCTCTTGTAGACCAGGTTGCCTGGAACTCAGAGAGATCCGCCTGCCTCTGCCTCCTGTGCTGAGGGAAAGTATTTCCTACACCAGAAACTGGTCCCATAATCTAAATGGGGAAGGAGGTCACCTTGGGAAGCTCATGATACCCACAGAGCAGGCGGATGGCAGGGACTACGTCTACCACAGGCAGATGGCACGAGTCCACTCCTGCAGTGCATCTCCAGGCTGTAGGCACTGATCCGCTTAGGAGGACTGTGTGTGTTCGCTGTACCAGTGCTAGACTGCTACGGCTCCATCTGGACCTGAGCTCTGATCCTCCCATCTGAAGGGCTCTGCTTCAGTAGCTGTCAGTGACTCTAGTGTTCCACCGCAGTGGGGAAATACCAGGTTACAATTCTGTCTAAGAGAAGAACCTCGAAGTACAACTTAATTAAAAGGTATAACCAATTCATATGATTTCACAAAATAATACAATGAGCCTGGTGACTTAGAAAAAACACATACTAAATTATTCTGACACATACCTCTGTACAGTCATCTGAAAAATTGTTGAGACAAGATCTCATTCTGCAATTTGGGCTGGTTTGGAACTCCTATGTAGACCAGACTAATCTCAAATTCAGAGATCTGCCTGCCTCTGCCTCCCAAGTGCAGAATTAAAGGAATGCACCACCATGCCCACTGAAATACTGAAAACCACAATCCAAAGTAAGTGACACATAGGTTATTTAAATATATAAATTACTTTGAAAAAAATGGGTAATTCTGCTTTTAAATTTTTTTTAATTTATTTATTTATTAAGGATTTCTGCCTCCTCCCCACAACCGCTTCCCATTTCCCTCCCCCTCCCCCGATCAAGTCCCCCTCCCTCATCTGCTCGAAGAGCAATCAGGGTTCCCTGACCTGTGGGAAGTCCAAGGACCGCCCACCTCCATCCAGGTCTAGTAAGGTGAGCATCCAAACTGCCTAGGCTCCCACAAAGCCAGTACGTGCAGTAGGATCAAAAACCCATTGCCATTGTTCTTGAGTTCTCAGTAGTCCTCATTGTCCGCTATGTTCAGCTAGTCCAATTTATCCCATGCTTTTAAACACAAAACTTAAAAACTATGTCTCATATTGATAATATAAAAAATGATTTTTGTTTTATTTCAGGTAATTCATGTCTTTTCATCATGAATGAAGAGACTGCACAAATAATTAAATAGTATCATCATTTTCAACAAATTTTTCATTAATATTTGTTCTTAAATGCAAGCAGCTAACTGTGCGTTCTACACTTTACAGACATCCATTAGCGGTGCACATTGTACAGGCACTCGCGTGACGCTCCTCTCTCGGGCTGAGGGGAGCCGCTCCTCTCTGGGTCTGAGGGGAGCCAGCTGACTGACTACTAGAGCACGCACACTTCAGGACTTGCTCTCAAGAACTCTGGAGTATAAAAAAGATTACAAATTTACTTTTTCATATTATTTGTAAAATGGCTACAAAAGCTTTATTGTGAGAAGCAACCCTATTCTACCCATGCAAATGTAAAACAATGGTCTGTGCTGGGTGGCAGCGGCATATGCCTTTAATCTCAGCACCTGGAGGCGGAGGCAGGTGGCAGGGCAGCCTGGTCTTCAGAGCAAGTTCCAGGGCAGCCAAGGCTACACAGAGAAACTCTGTCTAGGAAAGAAAAAATAAGCAAACAAACATACAAAAAACAACTAAGGAATGAGGACCAAGTCAGAGATGTCATGTCTTTCAGGTTAAAAGCAGATCAAGGAGTACTGGAAAGTTACACCCCTAACTTAAGAACTTCAATTTCTCTAAATAAATGGAAAAAAAGGAAAAGCAAAGGATGATTAAAACTATAGGTTTTAATTTACTTGTTTTTATTTTGTCAAGATGGAATCTTACTGCTGGGTGGTCTGTAACTCACCACCCACCCACCTCCGCCTCCTGAGTGCTGGGAGTAAAGGCGTGCGCACCACACCCAGCAGATACAGTACAGTTTGAGAAAATGCTGTTCTCGCTGCCTCCTCCTATTGTCTTCAGTTCTGACTGTATTCCACACCACGATTACTGTGATGACAGCTTCTCATTCAGTTCCAGTGTCCTTTTATCACTGTGGGTTTCAGCATTCTTCACCAACACCTGCGAGGTCACAGACAGAGAGGGTGACACCAACCATAGCGGTGCAGTTACTAAAGCTAACGAGTAAGCATTGTTTATTAGAAAAAATGGCGACCTTGACTGTTATAATTACCGACTGTGCACAAAGTTAAGGCTTACACTCCTGTCTCCTGTAAACCCTGACCCCACCTGAGCCTGCTCTATACCGGACTGTCCTGATGGCATCACCCTGTTTAGAGCCATGCACACTATCTAAGCTCTAGGCTGGAAGGGGCAATTCCACCAAATGTTCAGTTGTTTCTGCTTGCCTGGTGTCAAGTACTGGGAAGCAGTGGACTGCTCTTCTCGCAAACTAACGAGAGAGTGTATGGCAATTGAAGGTTCTCCTGATGACACAGGACTCCTGGTCGGAGCCTCACTGACTGCACTGCTACTGGTACAGCCGTGGCCCGGAGACTGACACACTGATTCCATGCCCTGTGTCCTCTCAGCCTCTCAGGGCAGTGATGTGGATGGGTACAGACAGCTTCCACCTGCACAGCGAGATGCACTATGAAAGGCGCTTAATCTAGCTGGAGACACTACCTCACTACCTGTTCCCCATACACCAGAAGAAAGACTACCTGAAAGAAAGAGCAGTCGGGACCCTATTCACGAGAGGTTCAGAAATGCAAAGGACACTTGATAAACCTGCAAATTTTGCTACGTAAGGATTTTGAATTAGCCCCTCTCAATGATAAACCTCTGTATATCTGGTAAATGACTTTTATATTTATCGTGATCACAGGTCACAGAAAAATACTACCTTTTTGACACTTTCCTTAACATTTTACCCTTCTCTTCCACTTAAGAAAGCTCATAAAACTACACTGATTAATAGATATGTATGTGAGAATAACTTTTAATCTAAACTTGTCATCCATGGTTAATATGCAGTCATAATATTTAAATGGCTATGAGAAGGTTTATTCTAGAGCCAAATATGAGTGACGATGCCCAGTTACTCAGATTTAGGTTACCTTAAATTCCATGTCCCAACATGGCTAACAATTTCATGCTATTTTTACAGTAACAGACCAAAGAAAGTCATAAATAAAGACACTTTTAAAATCCATTGATGGAAGTATAAATACAGAGTGGGTGAATTTGTATATAGATGTATAAATTCTATTTACTATTATACATATCGGGTGGGTGAATATGGACACGTATGTGGATATATAAATTCTATTTACTGTTATACATATGGGGTGGGGGAATATGGATACGTATGTAGATGTATAAATTCTATTTACTATTATACATATGGGGTGGGGGAATATGGATACGTATGTAGATGTATAAATTCTATTTACTGTTATACATATGGGGTGGGGGAATATGGATACATATGTAGATGTATAAATTCTATTTACTATTATATATACAGGATGGGGGAATGTGGACACGTATGTAGATGTATAAATTCTATTTACTGTTATACATACAGGATGGGGGAATGTGCATAGGTATGTGGATGTCCTCCCGCAGTGGGCTGCAGGATCTAAGCCAGGCCTTCACAACAGGAGTGATTACTTGATATGAAATTCTTTAGAAAATAGCTCACAACTGGTCTTGATAGAGGAGTTTTAAACCAATGTTCTCCACTCTCAGTGGCAATGCTGAAGCAGGCATGGGCAGCCTGTTTATACTGGGTTTCATGGTCTGAGTTGATGAGGATGACTGACCAGGTCTCTTCCCTAAGGAACAGGTTCCACTGAGATACAAACTCGAATCACTGGATTCAGAGTCCAGAGCATTAACCATTACACCACGGAAGCTGGTAGACAGTAATTTGGACTTTGGATTCTAAATGGTTACTCAAAGAAAACTTAGTATGGCTTCCTGTTGAATCTACACTTAACTATTTTTAAGTAAAGCATTAATACCATGGCTTTTCATGCCAAAGAATCTTAGTTTTTCACTATTATAATGTCAAGGTAAGAATTCTATAACAAATGTATGTAAAACACTAACCACACATTAAACCTTCAAACCAAGTAAATAACTATTTCTCTACTCTCCGCAATGCAACATTAATCGTAGTATTTTGGCCAAAGAAATTTATATTCATCTGTTAAAATTTCACTAATAATAGGGTAAGTTTGAAAAGATAACTCTAGTATTTTAATGAAGTTAACAGCTTACATCAATGAGCTCCTGGTCATTTTTCGCATAGAGGTGTCTTAAGAGGTACCAACGTGCCGTTGATACAATTGAGTTGGGATAGCCAGACTGGTACACTACTCTCTCCAAGAGTCGCCGCGTCTCTCTAGAAGAAAGACATTTACAATTATTTCAAAGTCTTTAAGTTATTATGATGGATTTTATATACTAATCTCATACATACATTACCTTTCTCATTCATTTGAAAATCTTATCTGATTACTTTATTATTTTATTCTGATAAGAAAAGTAATAGTTATTATTTATTAAATGTTTACTATGCACAAAGCACTAATAGACTTAGTCATACTTAATATTCATAAACTTATTGCTGTTATTCTTACTGCAGACATGCAAACTGAAGCTAACTTGACATACAATGGAGAGAAGATTCTAAATTACATGAGCATTTCTGGGTGTTTACCCTGTAATCGTTTTTGACAGTTACAGAAAAATCAGCCAGGCATGATGGTGAAGGCGGAATGCTCACAAGATCCAAGGTAGCTTGGGCTATGCAGTAAGACCCTATCTCAAAATTCCAGAAAATTCATGGGAGAAAAATAATTCTTACAGAAGTAACCAACTAACTAACCAACCAAACAACTAAACAACTAGTAACACAGCCATGCTACGTTGGAACAACAAATATTTATTATCTGATAACAGGCCACAAGTGTAAAATCAAGTTTTTAGCATCTTCAAGGAGATGTACAATATGTGAATTCAACTCATAATTAAAATGATTTACAGTTATGTTCTGACTTCTTTCTCTCCTAACTTACTAACATTTATGACCCTCAAAACTCCTTAGTGGTAGAAATAACATAAAACAACTCATTTTAGAAGTGCTAAATAGAAGGATCATATAAATAGCAATTAGTTTGAGTGGGACTAAGGAAGTCCCACACTTGGTTACATCACAATCACAGCTTCCTCCGAGACTGTATACTCAGGGGCGAATAGTGAAAATGACAACAATGATAAGAAGTCTAGACAAATGAGAACAGCAGTGCACCAGCTCATTAGGTGAAACTGTACGCATGCAAATACACAAAGAGCCCAGCTCCCTGCCAGGGGAAAATTACAAATAATGCCAGAATTCCTGAATAGCGGCAGGATCTTAATCCATCCTTCCGTCTTATTTTGTGAGGGTTGGCTTTTTGAGGGGGGCATATTTATATATATATATATATATTGAGCTCTATTTCTATAATACCTAATCTGTATCCAGTGTCAGTAGTTTATCCCTAAATCATTATTTCATTTAGAATTGACTTATTAGAACCATGTTACTTTTAAAATTTTTAAATACTTTCCACCCGCACATATGACTTGTAAGTAATGTTCTTCATGTTTGTGACCCCAACCTCTAATAATATTATCAAAACTTTTGTTTTTAATTTGAATAGCCTTTGACTTTTCCAGACACAAAAACATTGTTCATAAATAGCCTTGGTTTTCAACATTTGCTAATTTTTCCAGTTTGTTAAATTAGCAAAACTTCTATTAATATAACCTTCAGCCAGGGTCACTCTGATTTTTGTCTGCCTCTAGAACCGATACTACACTGCTGGCTCACCCTAAAATAGAAGAGAATAAAAAACCCCAAGGGCATCTTCACATGACATGCTGCCATGCCAAACTTCTCATATTTATATCTATGCATCATTTTTTGTTAAACAAACATGAAATGTTTTCTTCCTCACTGCAATACAAAATGAAATCTTCCTGGAGTAATGAGACATGAATATTCCAAAGCTTACTTTACTAGTTTATCTCATTATAAATCCTCCCTTGATCATTTCCTAGGAGGTTTACAGTGAAGTAGGGGTTCCAAGCTAATAAAAAATAGATTTCTTATACCTTGCTCCCATCTTACGGTTGAACTGTAACAAAGCTTGCAAGAAGACAGCCAGCGGAGAGAAGCAAACTTTCAAGGCCTCACTTGTGGCTTCTTGAAGCAAGGACGACCAGTGATCACCAGAAACATTAGCCTAGAAAGTGCAGAATAAACATTAACTCTCACTAAGGATTCCTGTCTTGTCTATCATCATACAAATACTAAGGAACAAAATTGTAATTACTAAAAATGATCTGGGATCAAAAATGATCTGGGATCTGTCCCTGCCCTTAAGAAGTGACAAAACAGTGTACACTAAGATAAGGGAAGAGCTCAAAAAGAAAACATTATTTAATAACACGAAAGCATTGTTAAAAGAAAAATATACATTATGGATGACAACTCTATTCGCAAGTAATCTTTTCTTTAGTCTATCGAATTCAACATGACCAAACTTTTAACAACGGTGTGGTGGTTTGAACAGAAATGCCCGCTATAGGCTCCTAGCTTTGAATGCTTGGTCACTGGGGGGTGGTACCATTAGGAGGTATAACCCTGTTGGAGGAAGTGTGTCACTGAGGTAGGCTTTGAGATTTTAAATGCCCAAGTAGCTTCAGTGTCTCTTGCTCTGCCTGCTCCCTGCAGATCAAGATGTAGAACTCTCAGCTACCTCTCCAGGACCACATCTGCCTGCACACTGCCATGCTTCCCACCATGATGACAATGGATGAAACCTTTGAAACTGTAAGCCAGCTCCAATTAAACACTTTCCTTTATAAGAGTTGCCATGGTCATAGTGTCTCTTTGCAGCAGCAGAACAATGACTAAGACAGAGGTAAATGTAATATGTTGCTTTTTAAAAATCATCTGAGAAGAAAATATGAAATTTAATAAAGTCATAATATAAACACACAAAGTAGATGAGGGAAGAATTAAACCAAAGTTATTAATACTGAAAACAAAGTAGTGCCATTGCATGGGAGGAAAATGCATGTATATTCCTTCAGTTATGAACAGGTTTTAGAAAAATACTGATTCAATAGTAGCATAAACTTGCTAAGAAACAGTAAGGGAAATTAAGCAGTAACAAAACTAGATAAGAAGAAAAATTACTGTTTTCCCTGGGGCTGGGGCTGTAACTCCATGGTAGTGTGTTTGACTATGAGACATGAAGCTCTGGGGTTCATGCCCAGCACTGCATAAATGAGACAAGCATGCCTGTTATCTAGCAGGTGGATTTTATGCAGGGAGCTTAAAGGTAGAAAGTAATTCTCATAAGACTCCACCTCAAAAACAGTCTCAGCAAAATCCCTGCTCCCCTGGCTCTTAGAATTTTTCTGCCTGACCTTCTAAAATAATCCCGATCCTTAGATGTGGATTTTAGATGAAGCAACACTACAGGGGTGGAAGGTGGGGCACACAAAAGATTAAAAGGAAGAGAAGGGAGGAATTATACAATCATAACTTCCAAAAATAAAAGTACTAAAAAGGAAAACAAAACACAAAATCTTTACATTGTCCTAAGATTTCCTAATTACTAGTATCCATAATATGCATTTTAAAAGTCAAAATAGTTTATTTCACATTTTCATATAACCATATAAAAACAAATACATATAGTAAGTATAACAATCTACAGATTCAATGCAATCCCCATCAAAACCCCAACACAATTCTTCACAGGCCTCAAAAGAACAATACTCAACTTCATATAGAAAAACAAAAAAACCCAGGATAGACAAAACAATCCTATACAATAAAGGAATTTGTGGAGGCATCACCATCCCTGACATCAAGCTCTATTATAGAGCTACAGTAATGAAAACAGCCTGGTATTGGCATAAAAACCAATGGAATTGAATCAAAGATCCAGATATTAATCCATACACCTATGAACACCTGATTTTTTGACAAAGAAGCTAAAATTATACAATGAAAACAAGAAAGCATCTTCAACAAATGGTGCTGGCATAACTAGATGTCAACATATAAAAGAATATAAATAGATCCCCACGCGCAAAACTCAAGTCCAAATGGATCAAAGACCTCAAAATAATTCCACCCACACTGAACCTGATAGAAGAGAAAATGGGAAGTAGCCTTGAATGCATGGGCACAGGAGACCACTTTCTAAATATAACACCAGTAGCAAGGGCACTTAGAGAAACAATTAATAATGAAACCTCCTGAAACTGAAAAGCTTCTGCAAAGCAAAGGACACAGTCAGTAAGACAAAACAGCAGCCTACTGAATGGGAGAAAATATTCACCAACCCTACATCAGTCAGAGGACTGGGCTCCAAAATATATAAAGAATTCAAGAAACTAGATACTAAAATACCAAATGATCCAATTAAAAACTGGGGTACAAATCGAAACAGAATTCTCAAGAGAAGAATCTCAAATGACCGAAAGACACTTAAGGAATTGCTCAACATCCTTAACAATCAGGGAAATGCAAATCAAATGACTCTGAGATACCGTCTTACTGAAAAGTTTCTCAACCAAAGCAATAATATGAATCAGATCAAATCAAACAAAACTAGAAAAGCCCAGGTTTAATGGATACAATCGCACATGGATGGCTTTCCAGCCCTCCAGAGAGGAGACAGGAGAGGAAGACCAGAAAACCAAGTGTTTGTTCTCTGAAGGGCAGTTTAAATACCCTGTGGGAGTGGTCTTGGGCATCTCTGGGGAGGGGTCATCGTTTGGAAGGCTTTCTTGGGGGTGGAGTCTGGACTGAGGCCACTCTTGGGGAGGGAGTATGGAGTGGAGCCTCCATCCGAACATTCCAGAGTCTTTGGGTATGTAGATGCCAGGAGCTGGAGTCATGCTTCCACCCAAACACTCACACCAGTCAGAATGGCTAAGACCAAAACCACCAATGGTAGCTTATGCTGGTGGGAGTGCAAACTTATACAGCCACTTTGGAAATAAGTATGGCTCTTTCTCAGAAAATTGGGAATAAGTCTTCGTCAAGACTCAGCAATACCACTCTTTGGCATATACTCAAAAGGTGTTCAATCATATTACAAAGACATTTGTTCAACTATGTTCATAGCAGCATTATTTTTAATAGCCAGAATCTGGAAACAATCTAGATGCCCCTCAATGGAAGAATGGATAAAGAAAGTGTGGCGCATCTACACATTAGAATACTACTCAGAGTTAAAAATCAATGGCATCTTGAAATTTGCATGCACATGGATGGAACTAGAAAAAACAATCCTCAGTAAGGTAACCCGACCCGGAAAAAAGAAGGCTGTATGTACTGACTCATAAGTGGATATTAAATGTAAAGCAAAGGATAACTAGCTTATAGTTCATGAACCCAGAGAAGCTAGGTAACACAGAGAACCTTAACATAATCATACATGGATCTCCCTGGGAAGGGGAAATAGACAAGATCTCCTCAGAATATTGGTAATATGGGGATGGAATGAAAAGGGAGGGTGGAAAGGGGGGAGGAGAAAGAGGAAGAAGGAGAAGAACATGAGGGAACAGGATGATCTAGATGGGGGAAGGACAAAGAGGGAGAACCAGGAAAGAGATATCTTAGTTGATGGAGTCATTATGGGGCTACCAAGAAACCTGGCACTAAGGAAATTCCTAGGAATCCACAAGGATGACCCCACCTAAGACCCTAAGCAATAGTGGAGAGGGTGTCTGAAGTGGCCTTCCCTTGCAATCAGTTTGATGACTACCTTAATTGTCATCACAGAATCTTCATCTAGCAACTGATGGAAGCAGGTGCAGAGATCTACAACAGAGCACTGGGCTGAGCTCCCAAAGTCCAGTTGAAGAGAGGGAGAAATGATCATATGAGAAAAGGGGTCAAGACCTTGATGGGGATACCCACTGAAACAGATGACCTGAGCTAATGGGAGCTCAATGACTCTAGACTGACAGTGGGGGAACCAGCATAGGACCAAACTAGGCTCTCTGAATGTGGGTGACAGTTGTATGCTTGGGGGGGCCAACGGCAGTGCAGCCATGATTTACCCCTGATGTTTGAACTGTCCTTTGGAGCCCATTCTCTTTGGAGGCACACTTTGCTCAGTCTAAATATAATAGGGAGGGCCTTGGGCCTGCGTAATGGGTGGGGGATGGGGAGGGAGGAGAAACTAGGATTAATATTTAAAATTTCAATTAAGTAATGAAAAAAAGAAAATAGGATATCAAGTGATAGAAGTCTCTAGAAATACCTTGAGGAATATCAAATTGAATTAAGAAAAGAAAAAGTTAAATGTTGGCATCTTTGTCACAATAAGTAACAGACTTTGAATTATTAAGTTACCAAGAATACACCTGTTATAACTCAATTTGTAAAATTACATTCTTAGATTGTCTCTAAACAATTAAGAAATTCTCTTGTAGTCTGTGGGAGGCTATTGCTCTACATTCCTCTGGAGGTCAAGGTACAAAGTCCACAAGAGACCACCACAAAAGATAATGACGCACTGGAAAAATGGCACAGAGTATCGCTATGTGAAAGGTTCCGTATTCACGAAGGAAAAGAGTTTTGAAGAAATCAAGTTTTCATGATCACAACAGTAACACACTCACCATGCACACATCCAATGCAAGCAGTGCCAGCTTCAACAGACTCGAGAGCTTCCCACTCCAGCTGCCCTGTTGGGATGCCACTTGTAGACTCTTTCTGTAGCACATCTCTGCAGCACCCATCATTCCTTGGGACTGATACACCTGTGCCAGCCACTAAGGGACAGAAAGCAAGAAAGATGCAAACATTTGAGTTCTGTACAGAGTCTGGTTCCTCACTTCCAACAAATTCACTCAACTCTAATGAATTTAATTTTTAATTCAATTATTGGTATGTTCTGTGTCCCCCAAAAGAAAGAGGGTAATCACATTGTTTATTCTGCCAGCAACAGTTTCCTGGCCATATCATGCTGAAGTCTAAAGCGTCTCCCACGATGCCAAATCAAGAATATTAAATTACAATGCAAAAATTGAATAAACTATATAATCAAAAGCAAGTTTGTGCAGCTATTCAACAATGTAGCCTTTAAGCCAGAAAAGGCAAAATATGAAGTTGATACTGTAACAGCATTCCTTCCACATAAGCAAGTCTACATGTGCAAATCCAAAACAACACAGAATTCACGGGGAAAGGCTGACAGAGACCAATAGTAGACAAGTTCAGAGTGACATGTGATTTTAACATGCCCTATTTCAACAAGCATATTAAGAAACAGAAGACATAAAAATTCAGTAAGGAGACAAAAGTTACAAACAATTACAAGTGTTGTTTACATTACCTTCTTAAAAAAATACTGTCAACAACTGCAGAACACATTTTACAACTCTACATGAAAATTTTACCATATTTGACTTTATTCTGGATTAAAAAACAAATCTGAAACCAGACATATTGGCTTGTGATATAATCCAAACACTCTGAGAGTCAAGGCAGGTGGATCACAAGTTCCAGGACTCCCAGACTACTAACTATTGAGTCCTTGTCCCAAAAATTATCACAGAAAGTACATTTCAAAAGCATAGTCAGTGACTTGACACTATAAAATTATGTTCTAAATAAATAGAATAATGCTTGAAATCATTAATAGAAAAGTACCTAGAATCATCTCATATTATAAATTTTTCAAGATACTTCATATAAAAAGCAAGATAAAGAAATCCCGATGACAATTAAAGAGCATTTCGAAACAAACGACAATAGAAACGCTACACTAGAATGCAAATTAGATGGTGCTGCCGGAGCAGCAGGCAAAGCACTCCTGATGCAAGTAAAGACCAGAGTTCAGATCCTGAGAGTCCACAGAAGGAGTCAGGTGGGAACCGTAGCTACTTGTAATCCCAAGGTCCAAGAAATGAGACAAAAATACTCAGGCGTGCCAGAGGAGCCAAGATGGTGAGCTCTGGATTCAATGAGAGACACTGAGTCTCTGAGAAAGACACCCAATACTAATCTCAGGCTCTACATTCATGCACACACACATGTGCATCTACACACACATATAAAACTACTACACATACAAACACACCTGAAAAAAATGAAAGAAAAATACATATTACAATAATAAAATCTGCCTCAAGAAGCTATGGCAGAAAATAGAAACTAAAATGAAACAAGCAGCAAAGAAATAGCAAAAAGAAGAAATTAGTTTTTAGAAAATAAAGAACAAAGAAATAAGAACATAGATAAAATATTTAGCAAAGACCTCACAGGAATAATTACAGGCTAATTTCTCTTATGACTCCAAAGTCAAAAGTTCTACACCTGAGAACTGGAGATGGCTCAGCAGTTAAGAGCACTTGCTGCTCTTGCAGAGGACCTGGTTTCAATTCCTAGCACTCACACAGCAGCCTCTGGACTGGGGCTCCAATGCCCTCTTCTGGCCTTAGCAGTGCCAGGTACACATAAACCAAGTAAAACACCCATATATAGAAACAGTTCTTAAAAATCCTAAACATGATATTTGCAAAATGGCATCATCATTACATTACATTAATATATCACGGTCAAGTGGGACTTAAAAGATTTCTTATTTTTCCTTTCCTGTGTGTATGTGTATTACATGCATGTGTTAATGGGGTGTGTACACACAGAAACCCGAAATTGATGCTGTATGCATGCATGTGGTCATGGGGTGGGTATACACATAGGAACCTGAGATTGATGTCAAGTGTCCCCTTTCATCACCCTCTACCTTCTCTGCTGAGCCAGGGCCTTTCACTGAACGTGGAGTGCAATGAATGTGTGTGCTGAGGATCCTAGCTGAGTTCTCATGCTCGCACAGAAGCACTGCACCTACTGATCCATCTCCCCAGATCAAGGTTCATTCACAGTAAGGAAAATAACAAACGAAAACCAAAACAAAACTCCCACCAAATTCAAAATCTGCTAAATTCAACCATCAATATTAAAAGCTGGCATAAAAATAGCATCAAGAGAATGCTAATAGGAGCCACAGCTGTAATTGTTATATACAATGCAGTCACATTCATAAAATTTGATGAATTACAGTGATTCATTATAAATGCTTTATATATCTCATTAATCTCATTTAAAAACCAATTTAAAATGTACAAAATGGTGCTTCAAATAACTGAAAGGTCAACAGCATTTGAGGAGCTGTTCAGCATCATCAGTCATCAGGTAAATGAAAGTTAAACCACGAAAAGATAGTATTACATGTCTAAGATAGAGAAGTACAATCAGCAACACCATTTCATATGAGATGCTCATTTGGGTGCAAACTGGTACACACATATGTAAGACACCTAGGACACTAATAGTTCCACTATACACAATAATACAAAATAGCAACAAATGAGATGAATAAACATTCTAGCCACATGAAGCAAAATGAATCTCCCATATATAATATTTAGTGAATATAGACAGATACAAATGAGGATTCCATTTATATGAAGTTCAAAACCAGGCAAAGTTACACAGAAATATGGGAGTCAGAATTACAGCTTCTCTTTTCTGGGAATTTGGGAGAGGAAATGAACTTAAAAGGCACCAGGGAGATGGGGACTTATATAGATGGTGGTCACACAGGCATACACACATGTGACTGGGACCTACTATTCCATGTGAACAGATGAGAAAATACATGTGCACACATGTGCACACTTTTTTAAGACTTTGTTACACCATTTCACCTTCGATTTCCCATTTTAATTCAACAAGGTTCCCTAACTTACCTTAGGACTTAAGTGTCTAGATCTCAAATAAAAACTTCTATAAGAGGGGGGAAGAAACATCTTTATTCAAGAATTAGAGACTTAGCCTGCATACTCCAAAATATTTTATGACATTATTAATTTTCTTATTTATAGCTTATAAAAAGCTTGATATAAAGAAAGATAAGAATGAAGACTGTGCCATAGTGAAATGAATGTTTAGGCAAGCTATATTCAAATTTTATCTTTTTAACACCTTCCTGGACAATGGAAGAACAATCTGAATTCAAACAACATGTGCTTCTCTGTATTTTATTAAGAAAAATTAAAGGTACAGTGACTACTATGTACTTTTTATAAAGGTCATCAATATGAATGAAAAGAGCAGATAAGCTGCTAATGAAAATTTCTAGCTCTAAAATAGCCATTTTAATTTTAGATTATCACAGAATTGTCATTAAAATTTTAGATATTCATAAAGTAGCTGGAGAAAACACACTCCTTTTAAAGGCTGAATTAACACACATGCATACACATAACACTCAAAATTGTGATACATGTTGTGGTAGTTTGTATATAATTGCCCCCATAAACTCTATCAGGAGATATAACTTTGCAGCTATTGATAAGGTCCTGTTAGAGAAAGTGTGTCAATGTGGGTAGCCTTTAAGGTCTCATATATGCTCAAATCACGCCCAGTGTCCGAGTTCACCTCCTGTTGCCTGCCAATAAAGATGTAGGACTCCCAGCTCCACAACCACAGCTCCCTGCACACCAACATGCTCTCTTCCATGACAATGGCGGAAACCTCTGAAGCTGTAAGCCACCCAATTAAATGCTTTCTTTATAAGAGTTGCTATGGTCATGGTTTCTCTTCCAAGCAACAGACACCTTAACTAAAGCATGTAATGGTTAATCTTAACTGCCAATTTGCAATTTCAAATTACTATATAAATAAACCTCGGGTATTTCTGCCAGGGAGTATCTAGACTGGGTTAATTGATATGGGTATACCCAATCTAGAGTCTTAGTCAGGGTTTCTACTACTGTGATGGAACATCATAACCAAAAAGCAAGCTGGGGAGAAAAGGGTTTATTTGGTTTACACTTCCACACCACTGTTCATCACCCAAGGAAGTCAGGATAGGAATTCAAATAGGGCAGGAATGTGGAGGTAGGGGTTGATGCAGAGGCTCTCAACCAAACAACCACATCCCATTTCCTGGCCCCTTAAAGGCTCCTGACCATTATAATGAGAAATGCATTTACTCCACCTCTAAATGTTCCCCACAGCCTTTCAGTCTCAACTGAGACTCAAGACAATCTCTTAATTGTAAGGCACTGTAAAATCACAAAGCAGATTACAGTCTTCCAATATATAATCCACAGCATGTACATTCCTATTCTGAAAAGAAGGATGGGTATAGAGGGAAAATACTGGACCAAAGCAAGCCTGAAACCCAGCAGGGAAAACATGTCTGGTATCTGGGACTTTAACGGGCGTAGACGGCTCTGCCCCTCTAGCTTTGCTGCCAGCACCACTGTCTCCCTATGTGCAGCTCTCCTGGACAGATGTCGCATAGTTCTGGCATCTTTTACTATTGCAGGATCTCCACTGCAACTTGAGCTTCCTGTTTACACTTCACAGCAATGGCCTCCACGGTGTCTTTCCCTCTAGGGGCTTTCAGGCAAGGACAGCCCTCCCACATGCTGCCTGTGCTCAGCAGCTCTCTGAAACTACACAAGGAAAACAGAGAACCCCTCCACTCCTGAATCCTTCATGCCTCTAATCCCAGTACAACTTGGATGGCTTTGCCAAGCTTGGCTGCCAGTTTGGAATAGACACTGGCCCCTTCAAATCACATTAGCAAGAACACTTTCCTTCCACTGTTTTCTAGGATCAGAAAAACACCTTAGGCTCTTTCTGCAAGATGAAAGCCCAGCTGGGAGGGGTCTGGGCCTGGCATGCTTTCCTCTGTTCCAGTGTGGAGCAGGCGTCTCCTTAATGGCACTATCTCCTTCACAAGTAGAGCCTCTCATCTAGCATACGCCTTGGCTAGAACACTAAGTTTCCTGGAGCTCATTTTCTCTCCAAGCTGTTCATTTCACATTTCCTTCTGCCCACTCACTCACCGTTTTCTTTGTAGACCTGCAAAGGAGTAAGCAATAACAAGCACTCGGCTGACTCAACACTGTATAGTATAACTGCTCTCCATTAAAGAAATCACCCCACTACATTTCCATCTGCCTCAGGAAAGTTCTCAGGACATGGGCAAAGCAGCTAGATACTTTGCAAAATTATAACACAAGTGTTCTCTAGTCAAGGGGCTGAGACCATTCCCATCAGAAACCTCTGGAGCGGGCTCCAGAGTCTGCACCATCTCAGCACCGCTGCCTTCCAAGCTCTTATTAGAATAGCCTTTTATGCTCTTCTTACAGCGTTCAATTTCTTCTCTAGTGTAAGTCCCAGTCTCTGGCCTCCATCTTTGGGGGACCCCCGACCCTGTGCCGGCCAAACCCTTGGTCCCTCCCCCAAGGAAGGATGAGGCAGTCTGCCAAACCTTGACCCCTCCCTAGGAGGGGCAAGTATGGTGCAAAACCTTGACCACTCCCTGGGAAGTCCTTTAGTGGTCTCTTCTCTTCCCAGTTCCCCTCGGGGTCACCTGAGAATGCAGGAATCTCATTAAACCTGGATATCCTTTAATTTGGCTTGTTGTGATTTGGTTTGATTGGGATTTTGTGTCGGCAGAGAGCTCGCGTTAGGAATGTTCTTAACATCTAGTCCAAAGTTTCAGTCTTCCATATTCCTTTGAAAACATTGTCAGGTTCTTTTATACAAGTGCTCATATGCTGGAAACAATTTCTCTAGTAGTTATTTTTCCGTTGCTGTGATAAACATCATGACCAAAAGAAACTTGTGGAATAAAGTTTATTTTGCATACAGCTCCAGAGTGGTAAAACTCCAGCAAGGGAGGGACGATTGTAATAGTGGTAGGCATGGCAACAGAAGAGGAAGCTGGAAGACCACTTCAGGAAGCAGAGAGCGCAATTCAGAAATAAACTAAGGCTACATACTCTCAAAGCCCAACCCCTGAGACATACTTCTTCCAGCAAGACCACACTTTTTAAACATCTCCAAAAAGTACCATCAACAAGGGACCAAATGCCTGAACCTATAGAAGATATTTTCACTCAAACCATCCTGGAACTATGAACCTCTTTCCTTTCATTGCTTGTATCAGGTATATTGACACAAAAGCAAGAAAAGTAACTAAGATAGCATCCTCATTGTTATCATCCAGGCAAACCTGTCCCTGTCTCTTGGGGACCTGACAGAAGCAGAGTGGCCACCCCTGTACACATGGAAGACAGTACCCTTGTAATGGATTAAGTAAAAATGCTGCAGGATCCCGAGTAGCTGCAGTGGGCAGAAGGCCAGGAGACCATGCAGCAGGTCCCCGAGCGGGGGGCAGGCAGCAGGCAGGGGATCCCGAGAGTAGCCAGTCCCAGGCAGGGACAGCACACAAGAACATGCCACAGGTCTCTGGAGGCAGCTGGTCTTGGGCAGTGAGCCACATGGTGGGCAAGAGACAGATAGATAGGCATGCCATGCAGAGTGAGGTTGGATATTTATTTAGTGGGTTATAGAGGGGAAAGGGAGAAGGGGAGAAGAGTAGATAGATAGATGGATAGATAGATAGATAGATAGATAGATAGATGGAGGAAGGGGGGAAGTGGGGAGAGAATAGAGCAAGTCAGAAACTGCCTCTCTGGGGGACAGACGGAAAAGGAAAGGACTCAGGCAAGAAGCTGAAGATCAGCTTGCATCGATAGAGGGGGAGGGAGTAGGTGTGGCTTGTCTCTTAAAGGGACAGGACAGATCATTACAACCCTGACTCCATATGCAGGTGCAAAGGTCCCTTTAAGAGACAAGCTCTGCCCACATCTGTTCTTTTTCTGTCATTTCTCTGAGGAGGCAGGTCTCTGTCTCTATCTCTCTCTGTCTTTCTCTCTCTCATTCTCTCTTTTCTCTCCTCTCAGTCCCCTGCCCCAAAACTTCCTGGCCATGTAAGTGCTGTCTGTGTTTGTCTCCACCAAGGGGTCCCAGTCCCACCTCACACCAACAGCATATCATCACACTCATTATAAAGCGTCTTCAGCAATGTTATGTTTCCACAACTCCCTTCACATTTGGAAACTGACAAACCATAATGAGCCTAAAGACAAGACTTAATAGAGATGGCGTGCATTCATTCCTAAACTAGCACCACAGCACATTTCAAGTTAGGACTCACATAAGAAAGCAGAGAACTCACCTGCCAGGCCGGAACAGAGGTGGAGTTGGACATGACTGTTTTTTGCAGTTCTTCCAGTACAGCATCTGGGAGGGGCTTCTGAGACTCCAGGAGTGATTTACACTGCACTTGTCTCAACAGCAAGATAACAGCTGGCTGATCAGGGTTGCCTTTTAAATTCTAAAAATTAAACCCCAAACAGAAACATAACAAAATGGCTCTAAACTGAAATAAGTAAAAGACAATTAAAGTGTGCTCCATGCTAAGAGATGTTTTTTCTTTAATTTAAACCTTTTCTGGCTATAGTGAAAAGAGGTATAAAGTTAAACAAGCAAAAGGCTACACAGCCTGGGAATACCAAAGTTGACACTGAGATAATCTTTCATGTAAGTAATACTGCTGTAGTGTTTGATTCTATTAGTTTACCTTTAATGTGCCCTGTTGAGTTGGCCTATTCTCAGCGGTTATACTAAAAACTGAATATAAAACTGACCCCAAAACATAAAAAATAAAGGTTATCACTATTTCAGTGGATCATACCATACTCTATGATTAATATAAGATTTGTACTTATTTACGGAGTATAGCACTATAACGCAGTGCATATATCATGATCAAATCAGAATCATTAGAATTGCCTTCAACAATGTCATCTCTGTAGGCCAGCAAATGTCTAACTCTTCTGGAGTCAGAACACTTATGCACTGCTTCTCTCTTAAGAGAATGTTTATCTATGTTTGTCTTATTATATCACATCCAACATATATTTAAAGTGTATTTGAAGGCTTTCTTCTAAGAGAGACTGAAACAATAAAATAAAAAAAGGCTGATGAAGCATTCCTCATTTTAGCAAAAATGATAATACAACTGCTAATTTATGCTTAGCCCACACTCACAATATAATCAATACACTGTCCCGGTCTTAGAGCAGACAGAATTCTATACATGAAAGAGAAAATGTATTATTCTGCTTTTCAAGGAATTCAAGGACCAAAGGGATCATGAAAGATCATTTTTATCTCTCTTTAAAATCTGTTTCTCTCCCAAAGACCATTTATTTAAAACTCTCTCCTTTTTAGTGGGTCCATGAAACTGATTTATTGACTGAATAAATATTTACTGAGTTCTAACCATGTGGCAGGAAAGATGCTAAGAATGTATCCATAGAACTTGCAAGCAAAGAGCCCCACAATTGCAGTGCACGGTGATAAACAAATAGTTCCAGTCAATAATCTCCAGTTATTCTATTGCTTTAGAATGTAGAAAAGTGAACAGATCCTTGAAATGCTGTATTCTAAAGGGAATAACCAGAAACCAAAGGAATGACACCCTAAACAAAAATAGAAGTTCTATTCAGAGTCCAGGAAGGGATCCGGGAAGACGGCCCAAGGATTAGAGAGCATATTGATCTTGCAAAGGACCAGAGTTCGATTCCCAGAACCCATATAATGCAGATCACAACTGGCTATACTTCCAGCACCAGGAGATATGATACCCTACTACCCTATACATAGATACACATGCATACACATAAAGAAATAATACCATTGCTTTTCAAAAGAGAGACCATGAGGGTTGTAGCACTGGTACAGTACTAGCAATTCTTCTAGCTGCTGTGAGCTTGTTAGCAAATATGAACTTCAAATACTAATTTTCTCACTTAAAAAAAGGTTGACAATCGTAAACATGTACATCACAGACAGCTGTAAGGCCCAGAAATAATAATGTTAAACAGAATGGCTGACTTGAAGTAAGTAACCAATAAATGTTGCTTGCCATCACCACCACCTGTCTCCCCACTTTTAGGTAGGACCAAAACACAAATTTCAATGTATAATTCCACATAGTACCTTTGTGCACAGAGATTCAGCTTCAGATATTCTTCCTGTGTCAATTAGACCAGTGACAGCTTGGGAGAGACACCACTTTTCAAGTGACTGGTTGTAATTCTGCAAAATGTCTTTGTCCTTAACTGTAAACAACAAAAAAGGAGATGACTGCTACTGTCTTCTGTTGTGTATGATGTGCTCTCGAGGGAACTGGGCCACTGCTAACAATGATCACAACCACATTTCACACACTATTTTTTTTTTTTTTTGAGACAGAGTCTATATAGCCCAGCCTTGCTTTGAACTCACATCTCTGGAATTTCACAATTACAGGCACATACCATCAAACCCAGTATCTGAATCTGCGTATGTTAAAGCACACACATGTACCACCAGAACACTACAGACTTATCATGAATACTTCTGACTGATATTTTAAATATATATCCTGTATAGAACTAATGAAAATTCACTAAAAAACAATGAGCAATTTCTGCAGTGGCTGAAGTAAGATAAGCCTCATCTGCTCTGCAGCTCCAACCACACACACACTGCTGGACGGGCACTACAGCTGAGGGAGAACCACGCACCCACTGCTGGACAGACACCACAGCTGAGGTAAAACCACGCACAAACTGCTGGATGGACACCACAGCTGAGGGAGAACCATGCACAACTCGGCGTTAGCAAAAGCTGCCTCCCGCCCTGTGTAATCAGTCACTCCTGTTTCCAACTCACCCCAACCCTGCTCTTCTGTTCCTGGGAAACCTATAATCAGACTTTACTGTCTGTAACTTCACAGGAATGGCATCTTTCACAAATACTAATGTAAACTGCGTGCATCTCCGAATTTCTGGGACAAACCCCACCTGAGTGTGATGCGTGATGTACCCTTTTTTATGAGTTTCCGGATACAGATGCCAAGGTTCTGCTGTGAGTTTTATCATGCATGCTAGGGCTCACCCTGCTCAGTCCTTTTCTGCTCTGGAAATGTCTTTTGGTTTTGTTACTGGGAAAAAGCTGGTTTCTTAGAAGATACTTCCATATCTTTGATTTTCTAGAAAATTATTTTTTCCTGAAATGACTGGCAGTGATGTCATCTGGTCTTACAGTGTACTTTGTGAGGTTTCAATCTGGATACTCTTAATAGATATGTAGCTACTGAATTTGTTTCTGTTTAAGTCATCTTTGTGTTTTACAGAATTGCAATATTTTCTCTGAGTTGTCCAATTTCAAGGCAAGAAGTTTCTGCTGAAATTTTATTAGCATATCAATAAAAGTAGTGATACTTTCATTCAAATGCTGGTATCCATCTTCTTTTTCTTGAATCATATAGCTACATATTTATTAACTATATTGCTCTTCTCAAAAAAAAATCACATCTTTTTATTTTATTGATTTTTTTTATCTAAAAGATTTTTTAAAACTTTATTTATTGATCTATTATGTATACAATGTTCTGTCTGCATGTATGCCTGCAGTCCAAAAGAGGACACCAGAGTTCATTACAGATGGTTGTGAGCCACCACGTGGTTACTGGGAATTGAATTCAGGACCTCTGGAAGAGCAGCCAGTGTTCTTAACCTCTGAGCCATCTTTCCAGCCCTTATCTAACAGATTTCTATTTTATCTTTATTATTTCTTTCTTAGACTTACCTTGGGCTAAATTTATTCTTCCTTTTTTAGATTCTTAAGACAGAGCTGACATCATTAATTTGAGGGGAGCCTTTTCCTTTTCTAACATAATATTTAATATAAATGCCCACTAAGCTGTTCTTTACTCGTGTTATATATACAGTTTTGACCCACTGTGTAAAGACTAACTCAGTTCAAAATATTCCCAAATTTTCTTTTAGGCTTATTATTTGGTCTTGGTTATTTGGAAATACACTATTTAGTTTCTAAATATTTAAGAATTTCTGACTTTCTGTTGTTTACTGGTAAAGACAGGAAATGTAATTAACCTTCCACTAACAGCTTCCTAAGTGGAAAAAAGCAAGAGCTGGTTCAAGCCCCCTGTCGGGCCTGTTCTGCCCACATGAGTACAGAGGGATAGACTGAGAAGCATGGTGGTATTCACAGAGTAGAGCCACGGGCACTGAGACTGAGACAACCTATTCAAGGGACCTCGCCGTGCACAGCGCACCCTCCCTCAGCACCACACTACCAAAGGCTTACAGCAGCTACTTTATCCATGGCAAAGTTATAAAGGAAAAACAATGCCTCAAGTGCAAAAGATGTATTCTTATGACAGAGTAAGCATCTGGACTGCAGTCAGTGTTTCAGAGATGCTGGAACATGGCAGGGATGCTACAATTATTAGAATTTAACAACAACGATTACAGAAAAGGTTTTCATTGATTAAGCAGACATCATGCAACAGAGATGAGCAATGTAAATTCTGAAAAACTCAGAAACCACAAAAGATAGAAACCAAAAACACTACAGAACAGAGTTTAATCAGTTTATTGACAGACAGAAGAGTGCTGAGAAAAGAATTTCTAAACTACAGAAAAGCAAAGGCAAAAAAAAAAAAAATACTGAATGTAACAGAGTATAATTTCCAAGAACTATGAGACAATTACAAAAGATCTAAGCAAACCTAATAGGAATGCCAGGAGAAGTAAGGAAGAGAAAGAACACATTTAAAGCCATGGATGAGAACGTTCCCAAATTAATGTCAGGCACAACCACCAGTTAGCAAGCTCAGAGAACACTGAGAAGATGAACACCAAACAAACACAAAACCTTAAAACTTTATCCAGCCACATTATCTTCTAGCCATAGAAAAAACAAAGATAAGGCAAAACTATAGCAAGAAGCCAGAGGGGAAAAGAAAGCTAAGATCATATCTGGCTTCTCTTCAGAAAATATAGAAAAACAGAATAAAATAAAATATTTAAAGTTAAAAGGAGGAGCGGTTAAAATTCTGTACTCTGCAAAAATTATTCTTTAAAAAGTAAAAAAGAAATAAAGACTTTTTCAAACAAAAATTGAATGACCATGTTGCCAGTGGACCTACCCTGCAAAATGTGAAATAAAAAATCTTTTAGAAAAAGGAAGTGATAAAAGTCATTTATTAAAACTCAGAATTACATAAAGAGTATCAGAGGATTTGTATTCTTGATTTACTAACATGTAACAGTTAACTCAAAATTGATAACAATGTCATTCACTCATGTTTAGAAGAATGACATTTGTCGGTAAATGAGCACATTTTTTATAACCATAAATACTGAAGCTCTATGTGTTCTTGATTGGAATCTGAATTAAACCATGTAGAAAAATACTTTCTACAAGCTACTTGAAAAGGGATTTTGTAGGACCTCTGGACTAAGCACTCTCACACCACTGACAGTAAAAGAGAGGAGAGGTCACTAGTGGACCAAAGCCAAGACAGCTTCTGAAAGGCCTCAATCCTGCATCCAGTTTAGCCTCAGCTTATCCTCTAAACCACAGGTGAGGGGGCGATGAAGCAAGATTCTGCAGAAGCCTAGGGCCAGCAGGTTATCAAGGGCAATAACCCACTGCTTCAGCCGCTTCCCCAGGTCATTAGGCTCAAGTTAGCAATTTAAGTCATGCTTGGCAAACAGGCAATGCAATCAGTAAATCACTGAGTCAGCACCTATTTTCTACCTATTCTACTTCAGAAAGGAGTATGGGAAGGCAGGGTAAGGAGGGAGTGGGGCAGGGCGGGGAATAACTAACACTAAAGGTCTTTTGATGAGCCATATGGAAACCTGCTATTCTAGAAGATTCCTAGTGTAGAAGGAACTTAAATGGGGTTATCATATAATGGGGAAAAGAATGCCCCAATGAGACATCAAGTGCTACCAAATAAAACCCCCAGTGCCAGGAAGGGATCCCACACAAGCCCTCCACCATTCCAGAGTGCCAGCGCTGTCGGTCACCCCCACAACACAGCAGCAAAGCCCTGTTGCTGAACACACCACTCCCTGCGTTATCACACAGGGGAAATAGACTGTTTCCAGCCGGAAGCTTTGCCTCTTCTGGCTAGCATTCACAGTGCTGGAATCTGTGAATCTCACCCAGCTACAGACCCTGGGACCTACAACAGCAGCCTGCCTACAGGATACACTGGTGCAACAGTGGCATAAATGTTATGGGGTAACTAAACATCTTTTAATAAATAGATTTAAGGTCCACTCCATGAAGTGGAACTCACACCTGTGCCTGTTAATGAAGCCAAGAACCTAAGACTAAGTTCTAATGAGTCCTAGGGAAAACCTACTTACTTTATTTACTGCTAAATGCACAATTCAATAAAGCAATTCCCAAAGACTTATCACTATCCCCATAAATCAGTGCATCCTTCAACCTCATCAGAGGTTTTTTTCTTGCAGTGGATAGTTCTTAACACAGCGATCTACAACTGGACAGTGTGCAGACAGTAAGAGAATTTGGAACACTCAGCTTTTAAAGAGATGTCCTTACCAAACCCCTACCCTCAAAGCTCAGTGATCATTGTAGAGGGGACATAAAAGACATAAGACATAAAAGACATAAGAGCCAGAGGTAGTAGATGGTACCAAGGAAAAGTGTCTTCAGATACAACAGGACTGGCGGAAATATGAACCCACAGAGACTGTGACAGCATTTATAGGACCTACACAAACTCAAGTCAGACAAACTCACAGCAGAGATAAGGGAAAGGGGGCACAAAGTTCCACCCCAACCAACAAGCTAACTGCAGTTGACACCTGCCGGGAGAGCAGTTTCTCTAGGGCAGTGAGATTGGGTATATCAACCACACTCCAGGACTGGTCTCATGCTCAGCAGTGGCTGACCAAGAGAAAATGGACTCCATGTTTTTTAATTTGTTTTTCCTTTTTGTTGTTCTTATGCCTTGGTGTTTCTGTCATTTTGGTTTTTTTGTTTTCTTTTCCTATTTTTTTTTTTTTTTTGAGAGAGAAAGAACGTAAAGTTGGGTGGGTAGGTAGAGAAGATCTGGGAGGACTTGGCAAAGGAAAAAGAATATGATCAAAATATTTTACATACAATTTAAAACAATAATTTAAAAATGTAAATTAGTAAAAATAAAACTTACGTGCGATAGAAACAGCAGACAGCTGTGCCAAGTGCAAATTGGCCCTCTTTGGCTGAGTGTTGCTGACCAAGGCCAGTTTGTCATCAGCATGGCAGGATGCCATCAGTCCAGCCCAGACAGCAGGGTCATCTAAACAAGAAATATAGCTTTAAGGCTTGTTCATACCAACATGATGCTGTAAAACTATCAGAAATAAAAGTATGTCTCTCCCAATAAAAATTAATAATATCTTAAGAATAAAACCACACTTCCTTAAAGGAACGCTAACTTGCTTCCCCCAAATAAACTGGTATATTTAACCTTCAAGACTTGCAAAATTTCTGAACATCACATAGAAGGATAATCTATTAAGTTCCTGTCCCACGGCTGTCCCTGTGTGGCTCAGCTCCTGTCCCACGACTGTCCCTGTGTGGTTCAGTTCCTGTCCCACGGCTGTCCTTGTGTGGCTCAGTTCCTGTTCCACGGCTGTCCCCGTGTGGCTCAGTTCCTGTCCCATGGCTGTCCCCGTGTGGTTCAGTTCCTGCCCCATAGCTGTCCCCGTGTGGCTCAGCTCCTGTTTCACGACTATCCCCGTGTGGCTCAGTTCCTGTTTCACAACTGTCCCCGTGCGGCTCAGTTCCTGTCCCACGCTGTCCCTGTGTGGCTCAGTTCCTGTTCCACGGCTGTCCCTGTGTGGCTCAGTTCCTGTTCCACGGCTGTCCCTGTGTGGCTCAGTTCCTAAAGTGCTGTGTAATTTCAGTCCCTTTCACTAGACATGAAGGACAAGTCTCCAGCACACCCATATTTTTCTATTACTCTATTCCTATGTGAAAGGCTTAGTTTGAGGAGAAACAAGTGAACTTTGTTTTTGGTGTTTGGTTCTTAAGAAAAGTAAGAATTGAAGGAAACACTCAACAAATGAATTTATGTTCTAACAAGGAAGCATGAAAGACATCCTACGACGCCGTGTGGATGCTGCATCTATGATTATGTCCTCTTGGGAATGAAAACTGTTTGATACTATCGCTCATATTTAAGACAGAACTGCCAGACTTTGCATGACCTTCTCGCCCTCTAACACTTCCAGTAGTGACGTTGGAAACACACTGGGGTGGTGATGTGCAACCCCTCACCACCTACAAAGTCAACAGCATCAATATGACACAGCCTGCTAGAATTAACAACCACTACCTGAGGCGAGGCTATACATTTCTAGCAGATACCATACCTGTGAGTCAATCTCATTAACTTGGTAAAATTTAGAGTCATCATGGAAATGGGTGTGTCTATGAGGGTGTTTCCAGGCAAGTCGACCGTGAAATGTGGCAGTGCCCATCCAACCGAAGCGAGAGTGCAGGCTGAGCAGGAACTTGCATCTCCCTCTACTTCCTGACTTAAATGAAGAGTGCTGACCTGCCTGTCCCACCACCCTGTCAGACTGTCTGAACTCTCAAATCACCACCCAAAATAAACCTCCTTCTTAAGTTCTTCTGTCATAGAAAAGAGGAAAGTGACACCCCTGTCTTCCAGAGCTAACCACACATGAAAATAATTTACTATGTAATTTAATAGGGTTAGATAGACACACAAAACCAGACTGATGGGAACTGAAATCAGCCTAAAAGTAGTTAAGTCATTTCAGATTTTTGGTAACAGAAAAAGAAGTATCTCTAAGAAAATATTCTCATCGATCTATTCAAACAACTGAAGTATTTTAATTATCAATAATCAAATTTAGATAACCAAGTAATATGCAAAACTTTAAAATACATTCTTAGAATTTCTTATATCATGAAAATACAAACCTTGTTCTTTTAACCCACAAATGCGAAACTGATGACAGCTAGATTAATGAAATGAAATGGATTCACCTGGAGAAAGGAAAGCTGCCTTCTGAATGGTCTTTAGAGAAACATTTTTTCCGTCTTCTGCTGAACTGCTTCCCATGGCCAACTGGTTTAACGCAGTATACAATAACGCCTTCTACAGAGGAAGACAAGGAGGTGTGTCATCAACTCTCTTCACAGTTCCCGCTTTTCAAGACTGACCTAAGGGCCTGTATTTAATAGGACTTAAACTACAAAATAACGAGGCTACTATTCTGACTCATTAATACTGTTTAACAAGTTAAATATGTCTTTTTTATGAGAGCAAGAACTAACCTTTCCATGATTTGAATCCAGAATATGAGCCACGAGTCCAGCTACAGCACCTCCCTACAACAAAAGACGATAGTCAGACAAACACAAAGCTTTCCACCAAACAGCAACACTAATAGAATCTTTCCTGCAAACCATTTGCATTCCGTTTTCAGCAAATTTGCATCTTCTAAACCATAAATATTTATTTATTATTACAACTTTAAGAAAGAAAATCTCTCTACTTTGGTCATTTCATATTTGCTATTAAAATACTAAAAGTTCAAAAGTAAGATGATTTTGTAGTGGCACCAAGTAAATATATGTATTGTCTAACAATATGAAAATGCTGGGAAAAGGCTGGAGAGATGGCTCAGTGGTTAAGAGCAAGGATTGCTCTTTCAAAGGACCCGGGATCAACTCCCAGCACCCACAAGGCAGCATTAAAGTTGTAATAATAAATAAATATTGTTTATAACTCCACTTTCTGAGGATCCGACACCCTCATATAGACATACACACAGGCAATACACCAATGCACATAAATAAATCTTTTTAAAAAAATTTTTTAAATGCTGAAAGAACAGCAGAAAGAGTGAAGGACATCAAAAAACTAACAAACATAGCTTATTCTTGGAAAACATCTAGCTATCTACAAATAGTGAACTGAAAATAAAAACCTGAAAGACAGATAATGAGTGGGTAGGTAGGTAGGTAGGTAGATAGATGATAGATAGATAGATAGATAGATAGATAGATAGATAGATAGATAGGCAGGCAGATGGTAGATATAATGGAATCCTATTTAGCTCTAAAGAAAAATGGAATAACAAATTTTACAAGAAAATGGATGGACTTAGAACATCATCCTGTCTCAGAAAGAAAAACTCCTCATGTTCTCCCTTATATGTGGATCCTAACTTGTAATATCCATGTAGGTGCAGCATAGCAGATATAAAGGAGAAGAAAGGACACAACATAGGACAATGACAGACACAAGAGTTATGAAGAAGGGTATAAAGCTAATTGTTTTTATAGTTTTAATTGTCCTGGAATTTTCATGTTTTTTGTAGTAGATGAGTGCACAAAAATGTAACTGATACTGAAAGTGTATTTAGTGGCTGGCTATCAACTTGACACAAGCTAGAGTCTGAGAAAAGGGAACTTCAATTGAGAAAATGTCACAATAAGATGGAGCTGCAGGCAAGTCTGTGGATCATTTTATTTATTTATTTATTTACTTATTTATTAATTTACTTACTTACTTGTTTATTTGTTTGCTTGCTTACTTATTTGACACAGGTTTTTGCTATGTCACAGTCCTAGCTGTCCTGGAACTCACTGTGTAGACCACGGAGATTTGCCTGCCTCTGCTGCCCAAGTGCTGAGATTAAAGGTGTGTGCCATCACCACTAGGTCGGTGGAGCATCGTAATTAGTGATTGATGTCAGAGAACCCAGTCCAATTGTGGGTGGTCCCATCCTTGGGCTAGTGGTCCTGGGTTCTATAAGAATGCAAGGTGAGCAAGTGACAAGGAGCTAGCCAGTAAACAGCACCCCTCCATGGCCTCTGTATCAGCTCCTGCCTCCAGGTTCCTTTCCTACTTGAGTTCCTGTCCTGACTTCCGTCAGTGATTAAAAACAAACGAAAAAGGCTTCTTAACACACACACACACCCATAGTCCCTAACACTAATGCCTGTATGCCATGAGGCTTCTGCTCCAATACTGAAAATAAGAAAATATGCAGCATCCAAGTTTTGAGAAGGTCAATTCGAAATCTAAAAATTTAAAATTAAACATTTTACCTAAGAAAAAAAGTGAATTATTTTTTTCCAGGCATGAAGGTTCATGCCTATAATCTCAGCACTCAGAATGCTGAGGCAGAAAGATTGCCAGGAGTTCAAGGCCACATTGGGCTATATTGTGAATTCCTGGGCAGCTTAGGCTGTGAGGCTGTCTCACAGACAACAGCAGCAATTGCAGAAAGAAGATTTTCAGCACAGGTACTTTACACCTTGAATTTCACTTCAAGTGTGTTGTCAGCAATGTTTTCAATACTGTTCTTCGAATACAGAATGCTAAATTAAAGCTTTAGAAGTATTTAATATAAAACAAAGGTGGATTAAAAAGAAAGGTAACATAGCAGAGAGGGATGATTCCAGAGTGTGGCTGGAACTCAATACCATCACCACCAACAACTGTGATCTGCATAAATTAATCTCAATGTTTCAAGCTTCCTGAACCCTAACTACAGAAACTTCATACCACTGTTAATTCAAATGCAAACCCACGCGTAGCAGAGTAACTCATGCATGAGAGCTTCACTCTGTGTCCACGAGTTACCAGCCTCAGCCAATTCATCTCCTGGAAAGAGCTGGAACTCTATTACTCAGATAGCCTCTGAAGCAGGGGCTAGACATGCCCTGGGAGACTCTCGCCCTGCTGTAGCAACTGCATTTAGTGACGTCAACAAACAGCGTGTTAAAATTTCAACAACACTGGGATAAAATATTTTAGAAACATATTCCTAAAAGTAAGGTATAACGAGAAGCTATGAAGGATTTATCAGGCCCAAACTGAATAAAAAATGCAGAATGAGCTGAGAGATCATTCATGTCACTTATAGATCCCGATATGGGACTCACACTCTTGACCTGTAAGCAGGACAAGCCCAGGCCTCACACAAGGAGGGTGTATATAGGAAACCTCAGAATATGTTGAACCTCTCAAAGATAGCATGCTCAGGTCATTCACAAGTGACTTGAGACCCAGGGAAGGAATAGTCCTGCTAATACAGAATCCTAACCCTAACCCTAACCCTAACCCTAACCCTGGCTAACAAAAAGATACAGAAATTCATTCATATAAAACTATTTTAATCCTAAGGTTCAAATTATGTCTACAAATAATGTTCTAAAAGATACAGTCAGGAAAAGAAAGAAATAAAGCCATCTAGAGTGAAATCAGTAAGCACAAGGAACAATAAAAACACATTAACAAGCTGGGCTTTGGTGGCACGTGTCTTTAATCCCAGCACTCAGAATGGAGAGGCAGGTGGATCTCTGTGAGTTCGAGGCCAGCCTGGCCTACAGCAGGAGTTACAAAGACAGGCTCCAAGAAACCATCTTGAAAAGACAAAAGCAAACAAACAAACAGACCAAATAAACACATCTACTTTAGATATCAGAATTATTACTAAATAAGTGTTTAAAACAAATTAGCTGCTGCCACTGTTTGCCAACCACTTAAGTGAACAAAAAAAGAAAATATTAATAGAAACTAATAAGATATATACCTGAAAACATCTTCTTCTCATGACTAAAATACAGTATATAATTCTTTACCAAATGTCAATAAATTCATGCTTATAATGAGATTGTTAGACATTAGAAGTGCTTGAATTATCTTACCTCTAAATAATTTTTAAATAAAATTATCTTTTGGAAATAAAAGCCACAATCACTAATGCTTATTTATAATGCACGTTACTTATTCCTATAAAATGTGACCCAGAATGGGACCCCTACTTTGCAGTGTCCATAGCACTCACAACGGTTTCATACGCTCAAGAAGGGTACTCAGTCCGGTACTTGTGTAAACAAGGATTTGATTTAATGATGAGGTTCTCTTCATCGTACTAATTTATTTTTTAGAAAAATGCTATATTTTAAATATATACTTGAGGTGGGTGTGATTTCTGATGTCTTTAATCCCAGAACTCAAAAGGCAAAGTACAAAGATTCTGTAAATCTTGTGAGTCTAGCCTGGTCTACATAGAAAACTACAGGCCAACCAGAGTCACATAGTGAATCAGCTCTCTCAGTCGTGTGTGTGTGTGTGTGTGTGTGTGTGTGTGTGTATGTATAAAGGTAAATATATCCACTTGCATAAATACACACATGCATATATGTATTTAACACACAGGGTAATTTACTTGGCAGAATTTTAGACATTACTCACCTTTGCATTCCGTTGAGTGTACTGAGCAACAACTCGAGACAGCAAAGACCAAAGAGCCGGGTCAGCTGGGTTACTAGAGAAAACAAAGAAAAGGTTAGACTTAAAGACAGGAGTTACTGCTGACCCGGATGACCGGCACATGGGCGAGTCATCCCAGGAACACAAGCATGAGAGATCCGAGAGACCTGGCCTTGCCCCCATCTGCCTCTGGTGGTGTGGGCAACACAGTAGGTGTAGGTGTAGGTGTGGCTGAGCTCGCCTCAAGAGCATGAGAGCAAGAGAATCGGCCAGCCCTTTGCTGCTTATGTCATTGGATGAGCTGGCTGGGGCAGTGCTGGAGAGGATGGTGATAATGAGGGAGAGCTAGTGGGCTGACCAATCCAGAAACCACCCAGGCCCAGAACCAGGGCTGTGGGTTGACTATGATCTGCTGGAGCACGTGAAGGGGTCTGATCCACACATTCAAAGATGCAGGATCTCCATGATACAGGGAAACAACAGAGTATCCAGGAGGAGCCCATTGAAGGCCCAAGTACCAAGGATATAGCACAAGTCAGAGGCCTAGAATCAGACCGATCACTCATTGCAATCAACACTTGCAAGTAAAAAATGTATGAACTAAAGAGATAGTGTGTGACTCACTGTGTTACACTCAGCTTCCACAGTGAGATTTTTCTTTTCTTTTTTAAATTTTATTTTGTTTTATCTTGGGGGCTGAGAAAGGTTACAAGGGCAGAGGGTAGATACAAAGGGACAAGGAGATAAGTGGGATGGAGATGCAGGAGAAATCCAGAAAGAATCGATAAAAAGTTAAATTAGAAAAATAAAAAAGAGAAATAAATGGGACTACAATGTTCTTTTTCTCTCCTATGACGAGAAAGAACACTACACTGATTTGAATGTCTACTAGTCCTGACTCAATATGCTTAAAGAACGTTGGGTACAGCCATATGGTCCATAATTAGTTTTGATTAATAAAATACAAGGTGCCAGATACTGCATTAAAAAAAGATGGTGGTTACTTTAACCATGACAAGTACAGCAAATATTTTAATTTAAAATCCTTTAGACACCTACGCAAGTTCATATTAATTGCCCACATTTAACTGAACATATCTTAAACTTTAGGAAACATACTATACTATCTTCTACAAATGCTACAAGTTCTTATGTTTTTAAAACATGCAGAAAAAACAATATCATGGTCACAAAATTATGAGACAAGAACAGTTTAAAAAAATTAGTACGTGTGCTTAAAGGACTACAAAGAAATGCAAAGGCGTATCATACAGCAGGAGGCTGTAACCCTACGGGAAATACTGCATATGGGGTAAACTTTATATTAAAATGTTTTCATTTCACAAGAGAGATGGCTCAAAGGGATAAGGCACCTAACTCTGACCTGAGTTTGTGCCCTCAACTTTCCTAATACTGCAACCATTTAATATAATTCCTCACGTCATAGAGATCCCAAATCATACAATTATTTTCATTGCTACTTCATAACTGTAATTGGTTACTGTTATGAATGATAATGTAAACATTTTGGAGCTAGTAGTTAGCTAAAGGGGACACAACCCACAAGTTGAGAACCACTGATCTTTCAGAACCCATAACCCTACAGAAAACATATGGTTAGGACAGAAATGACTCCCACAAATTGCCCTCCTATCTCACAAGTGCACACTACAGCATGTGTGTACTCACCCACACAAGAATAAATAAAACAAAAATTTAATGTACCAAAACAACAAAGGTTATTAACAAGAATAAATAAATGAAGACAGAAGTCAAAGCCACAACAAATGAAAACAGAGCTGCTGTTATATGATAACTTTCTCTCTGAGACAGTACTTCTGTATGTAGGGCTAGCTGTCTGCCTCTGTTAAATAATAACTTAATTTCCAAATCTTTTTTGGTTTGTTTTTGTTTTTTTTATTGATTTTATTGATCTCTATATTCTTCTCTGCTCCCCCTCCCAGATTTTCCCCTCCCCTTCAACACTTTCCCATGGTCCCCATAATCCCAATTTACTCAGGAGATCTTGTCTTTTTCTACTTCCCATGTAGATTATATCTATGTATGTCTCTATTAGGGTCCTCTTTGTTGTCTAGGTTCTTTGGGATTGTGATGTGTAGGCTGGTTTTCTTTGCTTTATATCTAAAAACTACTTATGAGTGAGTACTTATGATAATTGTCTTTCTGGGTCATGGTTACCTCACTCAAAATGATGTTTTCTAGATCCATCCACCTGCCTGCAAAAATTCAAGATGTCATTATTTTTTTCTGCTGTGTAGTACTCCATTATGTAAATGTACCACATTTTACTTATCCATTCTTCAGTTGAGAGGTATTTAGGTTGTTTCCAGGTTCTGGCTATGACAAACAATGCAGCTATGAACATAGTTGAGCACATGTCCTTGTGGCATGATTAAGCATCTTTGGATATACACCCATAAGTGGTATTACTGGGTCTTGAGGAGGGTTGTTTCCTAATTTTCTAAGAAATCACCATACTGATATCCAAAGGGGCTGTATCAGCTTGCACTCCCACCAGCAATGCAAAAGTGTTCCCTTTACCCCACAACCTCTCCAGTATAAGTTGTCATCAGTGTTTTTGATCTTGGCCATTCTTACAGGTGTAAGATGGAATCTCAGGGTTGTTTTGATTTGCATTTCTCTAATAACTAAGGATGTTGAACATTTCCTTAAGTATCTTTCAGCCATTTTAGATTCCTCTGTTGAGAGTTCTCTTTTTAGGTCTGTACTCCATTTTTTTTATTGGATTATTTGTTCTTTTGATGACCAATTTCTTGAGTTCTTTGTATATTTTGGAGATCAGACCTCTGTCTGACATGGGGTTGGTGAAGATCTTTTCCCATTCTGTAGGCCTTCATTTTGTCTTGTTGACTATAAACTTTGCTTTACAGAAGCTTCTCAGTTTCAGGAGGTCCCATTTATTGTTTCTCTCAGTGTCTGTGCTACTGGGATTATATTTAGGAAGTGTTCTCCTGTGCCAATGTGTTCAAGTGTACTTTCCACATTCTCTTCTATGAGGTTCAGTGTGGCTGGCTTTATGTTGAGTCTTTGATTCATTTGGACCTGAGTTTCGTGCATGGTGATAGGTATGGATGTATTTTCATTCTTCAACATGCTGATATCCAGTTATGCCAGCACCATTTGTTGAATATGCTTTCTTTTTTTCCATTTTTTTTTTTGCTTCTTTGTCAAAAATCAGGTGTTCAAAGGTGTATGGATTAATATCCGGGTCTTCAGTTCGGTTCCATTGGTCCTCCTGTCTGTTTTTATGCCAATACCAGGCTGTTCAGTACTGTAGCTCTGTAGTAGAGTTTGAAGTCAGGGATTGTGATGCCTCCAGTTCTTTTATTATACAGGACTGTTTTGGCTATCCTAGGTTTTTTCTTTTCCATATGAAGTTGAGTACTGTTCTTTTGAGAGACCATGGATGCCAGTCCAGACTGCTATACCCAGCAAAACTTTCAATCACCATAGAATTTTCAAATCTTAAAGTGACTAAGAATTCCTAAATCCATCCACATGGTCTGTATTGATACATATCAGATAATGAGCTGACCATATTACAAATGAAGGAATTACAGACCTTTGTGTCAAAATAAGTGGAGCTTCACCAAAATAAAGGAAAAATTTATCAACTCACCAAAATAAATGACATACGATTTCCAAATAGAGACGCGTATTTCATTTTATATCCACAATAAAGCACAAAAGCTGAACATAATCACATCAGATATAATCCGTCCTCCAACTCAGGGCTCACCTGTGGACAGCCTTAGCGGCCTGTCTTTGCACAGCCACGCTGCGGCCCTGCAGTGCACACACTGCCGCCGTGAGAAGGCACCTGTGGTAATCCTGCTTGTGTCTGACGTGCTTCAGTAACTCATTAAGAGCTGCTTTCGACAGTGTGGCATCCTGCATTGCCAACCCTAGGGCACACAGGGCTTGCAGGCTTTCGATGGTTGGTTCCTTTAAAATAGAGCTATAAATATATATTTAGAAGTCTGCTAGCCATTAGTACAGTGGTCTACTATCTAGTAAGAGTTTTTATTTAATACAAAAAGCTATTTACTTAAAGATTTATCAAAATAAGCCAACTTTGTGCTTAATATATATTTTTTTTACATTCAAAGATAATAACTACCTGACTGGAGCAAAATAGTATCAGCCTTTCACAGCACAAATTGACTAATCTCATTCCATGTCATCATGTCTAAATCTTAGAAACAAACAGAAACTGGTCCCTTTGGGTCTCAGTTTTCAGTAACCAATGAGAACAATTTTAGTGAAATGTTTAGTTGAAGTCAAATTCTACTTTGTTAATGGGAAGTAGAAGACGGCAGATGAGAAGCACCAGCACCTGAACCAAGGCAGAGGCAGCTGCTTCATGGTGGGACAGCGTTGCCAGGGAGCACTGCAGCACCAGCCATGGCAGAGCCAAGCAAAGGCTAGAAGTACCAGGTAGAGTGCCCCGAAGGCTGGCTGGCTGGGGAGTGAGTAAGTCCCTGGTCTCCTCAACACAGAAGCTGACCTAGCATGCTTTAGTCCAGGAAGAAAGGAGAGCTAGGGCCAGGAGGACTGGCCACAGCAAAGGTTCTCTGGCCTTTCCAGCAATGTCAGAGGGCTGTGGTGGCTGCATTTTCAGAAGGGTCCTATCATTTTCCTGCACTGCTTACAGGGTCAGAACTACTCCACTTAGTGTCTGTGGGAGCCAAGAGTCTCTTCTCATCACGGCTCATCAAACCACTAAGCACAGAGCACGCCAGGGAAGAGATTTCCACTGCAACACAAGTTCATGACTCTGAAGCTGAGGAGGAAAATATCAAGGCAATGTTTTGCTTGTCACAGTAAATGAGTGATTCTGCTATTAATAAGCAATGATGGGAGAATAAGCTTCCCATGGGAAGGGGCTGTCTGTCCTATGAGGATCTACACCATTCAAAACACCAATAAACCTCACTGGCAATAGCCTGGATTAATCTACTGTTCCTGGAGGAATTACAGCCAACTTTTAAAACAAAACAAACAGGCCTTAAGAAGTTACCAAGTACTACACATGATCACAGGCTCTCATTTTAACTTGTTCTGAAACTAGAAGTATATAAGTTCTACAGGTATCTTTAAAGATGGGCTTTAAATAAACTTATTCTCAGGTTAACTTGAGCAGGAAGGAAGGGAGGAGGAAGAGCTCTCTGAGAATGCGAACAACCAAACACCAAGTCAGTTTACAATTCCTTTCATTGTTTGTGGTCCACATGGCCACTTATTCTCGAAAACAAATGAGCAGTATTAGACAGACACAAAGCTATGAGCTAAGCAATGGTACTCAACTCCACCCATGACTGTCAATTTCAAACAAAGTCGCTCCAATTCCTTCCGTTCACTTAAAAGTCCCTTGTTCAAATCTCTTCTCACACATAAGGACCTGCTGTCCAGGTGGTAAAGCAGCTGGACATACCATTTGAAAAGCAATGACTTGGCTGCATCCATTTGTCCTTGTTTGTATTCTGTTATTGCCATGGCTGTCAAGACATGAGCTTTGTCTTGCTCTGATTTCACAACGGTCAAGGCTCTCTCATAGGCTAGTATATAGAGGAAGGGAACATCAAGCAAAATACAAAAGAAATTCGAATTAACAAAATGGGCCACTTTCCCCTTCCTAATCCCACTTTTCAAAGAAGATCTAAACAAAATTCTACTGTCCTTGTTCTCTTCTTTTCAAGCAGACAGAATAAACCCGACCATGGCTTTGCTATTTCAAGATGACCCTGAGGGTGCTTTTATGATGGAGAGGGACAACCCCATCTTCTGCCTACAGAATACACCGTGAGGTCCGAGTCACCTTAAGTAGGAAAGGAGACTTGGAAACACCGATGTAGAATCACATTCCCAGTGCAGACCATCCCCTTCACCAAGCAGATAACGTTTAAGTGCACTGCACACACAGTAGTGGAGGTCACACATATCAGAATGTCCCCAGTTAAAACTTTTGGAGAAATAAAAATCTACTACTAACAAAAGTCGTAGAAGTCATTTATCAAAAGTTTTCATTTGAGCATATAGAATAGTAATTAACTGCTTTCAAATGTTAAGCTACATACCCACCACTAAGCCTGTGCCTTAGCCTCCTCAAATGGACAATGGATGTTCAGTTCAAATTGTTCATAAGGAGTACTCATCATCACAGCACACTAAAGAGATGACACATAAATAATACCTATTACAGCTCCCGACTCCCACTCATATTTTAGTAAATTCTGCAATCCCAAGGCTGGAAAGTGGCTGTCCTTCCAGAGGATCCAGGTTCAATCCCCAGCACTCACTCAGCAGCTCACAACTGTGTAACTCAAGCTCCAGGGGATCCAGTGCCCTCTTCTGGCCTCCAAGGACATCAGCCACACAATTTTGAACTGGCATACATGCATTTGGACATATCACATTTTTAAATTTTCAACTAATTAGTAAAGTATTGCAATCCCGTCACAATCCCAATACTATATTTTTCTGCAAAGTCTCAAGCAGTGGTACTTACCTTTGTTGCTCTCCTTATACCGTCCCTTCATAAACAAGGCCAATGCAAACCCTATGATGTCCTCTAGTTCCTCAAGGGGCGTCGACTCAAAGGCTTGCACAGCTCTGTCATATTCACCAATGGAGCTAAAAAGTGAGCACAACTTACTTTTAAGAGAAAAATATTAATCTTGATTTTGTGAACGTATACAGACATATTCACTCAACTACTTTTAATGACTTACCTAATGTCCCTTTTATAGTAATTTAGCAAATAAAATATATTAGTTCTCAAGTTGTTGAAAAGATTTGAAACAGAAGGCACACCATAAGTAGAGTACACCAGAATGATTTAGCTTCACGCTTTTTGGTTATTTTTTTTTCTCTTAAATTATATGTGAAAATGACTAGCTCTGCTAAACTCAATATATCCTTAAATTTATTGTTTTTTTTAACAAAATTTACTTAATCCCAAGTTATCAGAATAATTTTAGGCTGGCTTTTATGAAAAAATTCTAATTTTTTAAGCTTACTATGTTAGTTAAATTAAATATTATCCTAAGAATATGGCTCTATAATTTCCATTAAGTGATAAAATATTTAGCCAAGAGCGAAAACTTTCTGTAAACTATTTACAATTGCAGAAGTTCTTTGGATGGCACATAGGCACAATAAAAGTCCACAGAGAAAATTTTACTATTCTATGCTTCCATATATAGTAAGAAAAGCAACATGAGGGTCCTAATAGCAAAACAGCTGCTTATCTTACAATGAAGTCATATGATCTCAGCTGCCATCACCTAAAGACGTCTTTAATTTATGCATATGCGTGTCTGGCTGAGTCTATGTCACATGTATGTGGGTGCCAGTGGAGGTCAGAAAGAAGATCAGATTCTTGAGAGCTAGAATTACACTGGTTGAGAGCTGCCTACCACAGGTGCTGAGAACCAAACCCAGGACTTCTGGTAAAGCAGCAAGCACTCACAGATGCTGGGCCATCTATCTAGCCCCAATTGTTATCTAAATAAATATTTCTGAGATTCTTGTTTGTGGTATTTATCACTGTAATTCAAAAAGTTTTTATAAATGTTAATGAAATATGTTTTTAAAAAGAATTTTAATCTCTGAAGCTATAAGTTAAAAACACAAACAACTTTTGCCTCTAATACTAGTTTTATAAAGATGAAAAATACGAAATTAAGCTTTAATTTTGAAAGACTAGCCTTTGATGCAAACAGATTGTAAATATGCGCATATTTATTTCTTTAAATGGAGACTCTTTTCAGTAATGTGTAGAAGAAAAACGCAGAGAAAGGAGTAGGGGGCTTCAGTGTTATGGATGTCTCCTTGACATGCAGACATGAAGGAATGTGAAAGGACTGTAATGTGTTATTTGTGAGTTGTGACTTCACAACTATACTACACACTATAGTTTATTATTTACCATATACCTCTGTGTTCAAGATACTGCCTAATAAAAACAGAAAAGGGGCTGGGGGTGGGGGGCTCAGTGGTTAAAGTATATACTGCTCTTACAGAGGACACAAGCCTGTGCCTACTATATTAGGTGACTCGGTACTATGCACTGAGTCAGGTGCAGGAGCGCAATACCCTTTCTGGCAACTGTGGACATCAGGCACACACATATTGCACATACAGACAGACAGATATGCTCACATACACTTGAAATAAAAATAAATAAATCTCTTTTTTTAAAAGAAAACAGATGGCCAATTTTCTATAAAAAGTAAAATTTTCTTCAAAAGTATTTACTCTTTATGAAATGTCAAACCAAAGAAGACATGCTGCAGTACCTTTTACTCTAGGTATTTTCTGCTTCAACAGACACAACTACAAGTGTAAGTTTAAAAGAGTTAACAGGCGATCAGAGTAGAAATATTTCCCCATCAATGGACTTGATTGAATTACAGCAATAACAGGGAAGAAGAACTGGCTACCTGATGCCTCATGTGTAGGTCCCTAAAGATGTAGAGACCGACCGTATAATACCAAGCTGCAGTTAAATGTTTAAACTAACCATTCAATTTTAGGGCAACCTAAGGAATCACTGTGTGAGTCAAAACCGTTCGTCGTATGTATCTGTACTCTGGCTTTGCTTCCACCCTCCACAACAACTAGTCTGCCTATCTTTCTGGTCAGAAGACATAGAGACTAGAAGAGAAGTTCGTTCTTCACTGTACTAAAGTTTTTCATATGTTTCAAAGAAGCTCCTAGACCACAACATTCCATCACTAATCAGAATAAATCCAACTCCCCAGCTAGTTAATTAGGATTCTAATAGAGAAAACTACAACCTCTCTCCCAAACCTCTATATCTAGCCCGTAAACCAGCGGTTCTAATTTCACTCTTCACCAAGCACACTCAGGCTAGATTTTAAGGGTATAGAAATGTTAACACATTCTGGCCCTTGGGTCTACCCCAGGGCTCTAGACACCAGTCTACAGAGTCACAGAATTAATGAGAAGACAACAGCCTTACCATAGCAATCTGCCCCAGTTTCTCACTGTAACAGTGTAAGTGTCTTGGTCTTCTGTGGGATGTAACAGAGCAGCCGCCCTTTAAAAAAACAGGACAAGGTTTTGAAATGTTCTATGTGCAATATTTTGTTTTACTCAGTCCTCCTAGGGCAAATCCAGGGATTTATAGTCTTTTTTTTCAGTTCTACTAATCAGCCAATGCTGGTCATGCAACTTATTCATGTTCCAGTAACTTGATAGCACAAAGGCACTTAGATATATTTAATTTTTAAGTTGTCAATAAAAACAATCTTATTTTTTCACTAGTAAAACCATTTATTATTGTATCTAGATTGTAAATATTCTAAAATTTATAATCTGAACATAGGCAATGGCCAAATCAATGTTGTATTTTGACACTCTTGAAAATATTTATGCAGGAAGACAGAAAATTCAATGCTTTTGTGTGCTCTGCGCTGTCTACTCGGGAATACTAAAAGACGATGTGTTCAGGGAGAAGATGAGCAGTCCCTCTAGACTCAGAATACATCTACCAAGAGCTAAGTCAACATTTTCTTCTCCCACTGTGTTCTCTATAGGCAGGGAGGGAAACGTCCTAAAAGCTAAGAGCTCTTTTTAATGGTTTCTTTCTTTTCTCTTTAAAGATATCTGCCAGGTGAAATATCTAGGAAAGACTTTTTATCTACTAGATGTTGGACAAAAAATAATTAGCTCAGGAAGCATAAATGTACTACCGAGGTGTCCTGACGGGCGTGAGAGCAAAACCGGCTCTGCCTCTTGTTGACTGGGGCATTGGGTGAGCTAACCTGGGCAGTGCTGGAGAGCTCGTCCAGTGCTGAGGAAGAGGGAGAGCTGGCAGGCTGACCAACCCAGGTATTACTTGGGCCCAGAACCAGGGCTATGAGCTGCCCCACCCCAACATCCACCCATCTAAAACTGTTGGAACACTGAAGGGACCGGTCCTGCAGACCCAATGCTGCAGGAAGGCACCAACATGCTATCTACGAGGAGTGAGGCCCAGAGAGGTTCCGGCAGTGATAGCGCAGCAGAAGCCAGAGCCTTGAAGAACATTTGCAAGAAAAGACTATCTGCTTGACACGCTGGGACACACTACAGCTTCCACAGTGAAATTTTTTGTTTTGTTTGTTGTCCTTATTTATTTATTTATTTATTTATTTATTTATTTTTGTAGAAACTGTTACAAGGGCAGAGGGCAGATGCGAAGGGACTGGGAGTTGAGTGTGATTGGGGTGTATGATGTGAAATCCACAAAAAAATCAATAAAAAGGTAAAAATTTTACAGAAATTAAAAACAATACTTCTGCTTAAATTTATGTACTATTTATGTTTCAAGAAGCAAATCAGAACATACAGGGCAGCTGCTGTGGTCAGGACATATCTTTTTGTGGTTGTGGCTGGTCACTTTAAGCCTGAGGTAGCGAACACCTTAGGTTATCTTGGTTAACTATTATATTCTACATTTTATTTATCTAAGTTTATTGACAATCTAAGAAGAAAACTGGTTTTTTAATAACCCCTCCTCCATCACCTGGAAAAATAACTCCACTATGTAAGCTCTAGTACCATCTAGTGGTTACTCCTTTGAAGTACATGGCAATCCACAATTAAGTATTTGGGACCCTTCTTTACACCTGACCAGACATCTTCTAAATAGTCACATTTGAAGGAGTGATGTGCCTTAAAGTTAGATATCAGCTCTTAAAACCATTCTTTTAGTAGTTACTCAGGAGATCAACAGTTGTTCTCCTACTCACCTAGCATTAGGGTATAGAGAAAAAGCTAGCTGCTTTCATTTCCTACCAGTCCCCAGGATATGACTCCACTCCAGTGCACTGGGATTTTGTTTGTTAAATATGGCAAACTACTTCTGTGTGAGTACTTGCTCTCACTCTGTCTGAAATGCATCTTCTACTCTCACTCTTTCTTAGCAACAGTTATTGAGTATCTTGCATTGAGGAGTTCCATGAGAACAGGGCCTCAGTCTATTGTAATTCCCTGATAAACTTCTCATGCCAAGGACATTGCTTGGCACATAGCATCCAACAAACATTTACTGACAGGAATAAGTATATAGTAGATAATAAGGTAAGTCAAGCAAATATTCATGTTGTTTCTTGTCTGATTATAGGGGATGGATTTTTCTAAAATAGAATCTATGAGGTTTTATTTTCTGCCCTGTTCTGTTCCCTACCCACTATCAATGGAACTCAAATTATGGCTGAAAATGTGGAAGTCATCTTTTCACCTTTCACCATGAGGACAGGTGATGGAGTGAAAATCACATAGTTCTTCTGTCCCAAGAGCAGACTTTGTAGTATCCTGGCCCCGCCATGGGGGAGGTCCACCAAGCACAACCCACCTTTGGTACGCCTCTGCGGCTTCTCTTCTCAGCTGCAGATGTTCGTTTAAATAACCCAACATCGTGAAAGCTGGAGCATAATTCTGAATCCTTTCTGGAAATTCACAAATATCTCTAGTTTGTATGTGTATGCTGACTAGGTAAACAAAATAATAATTAAATTCTTTTTGTTTCAGTAACTCAAAGCAGGGGGTTACCTCCTGAGATTAATGGTACTATTAAGAATGGCCTAATTTATCTTGAATATACCAGTGATAATTTGATAATTCTTCTAAATCACTGAATAATATTAAAGAAGTAGATGTGGCTTCTAGCTATAGCTTACAGTTTAAACATGTTTTCTTTAAGTCTTTGGAACATGCATTTCTAAATGGAATGACTCTATCAAATCCCTCCTCTCAGAGCTCAGGGACCCCGCAGAAGCAGAAAGAGTGTAAAAGCCACATGGGGTGGAGGACACCAGGAGAACAAGGCCCTCTGAATCAGCTAAGCAAGGTTCATATGAACCACAGAGACTGAAGCAGCAAGCACAGGGCCTACAGGTCTGCACCAGGTCTTCTGGGTATATAGCAGAGCTGTTAGCTCAGTATTTTCTCATGGAACTCCCAAGTGTATGAATGACTGGGTTTCTGATTCTTGTGCCTGCTCTTGGGGCTCTTTTCCTTCGGTTGAGTTGCCTTGTCCAATACTGATGTGATGGTTTTTGCTTTATCTTAATATATTTTATTTTTTTCAAGTTTGGTTTAAAATAAAGAAACGAAAAACTGTTTTAAGTAAAACTATTTGAAATTGTAACTAGGTAAAAACTAGTTCTAATATTTATAAAAAAAATTCAGGTTGTTGCAACTTTTTATTAGTTCTAAAAGAATTTCATACAATTTTCTGGCTAATTGATTAAACCTCTTGTGATTTAATTTAGCAACAATTTTCTATTGGTGGTTCTATGCAAAACTCTATGTTCTAAAAAAAATAATTCAGGACTTCACACCAGGAGCAAAGAAATGGATCTGGGCACTTTCAATATAGAATTTTCCAATTTTTATGTTGAAAGTGCGTTATATATCTACACTAGACAAAGAAAAATATACCTTACCTACTTAAAGCTAGTATTAAAGAGCAGGCTTTTAAATTTCCTATGTTGTTTAAGAAATACACCACAATTATGAATCTTGTGTGATGGCTGGGATCCTAAGCTCAGAGTGTAACATGGCTAAGTATAAGGTATATGACTAACTGAGTCACAGTCATTCTCTAGAGCCATCAAAAATGTTGGCTCCAGTCACTGCTGCGGTAGAGCAATGAACGCTCTGCAGGAGTCTGCATCCTCGTATCTGTGCTCTCTTGTTCTGCTGTGTTAGCACTTCTGGCCAAGTACACAGCATTTAAAGAAGTCTAAGAAAAAGGTTCCACCATTAAAAAAAAAAAAAGTTATGACATTTGTTAAAAAAAATAAGAAAACAATGTGTTCATCATTTTAGATATCTGCATTTTATTAAAACATTTACTGCTTATGTAAATTCTCCAAGTTACTTATAAAGCAAGGAAACTCATGAGTAGCGTTTCTGAGCAGACACTTCCTCATCTAGGATTTTAGTGTCCTTCCGTCAGCATATGGCCATAGACGACAATGCCCACAAAGCTGATGCCAATAAACTCATCACCTTCACAAGCAGCTCAGACTAAATGTACATGAGAACTGACAAATACTGACTTGGGCTGAACCATTTCTACTTCACGTTAATCAGCTGCTGATTTCTTTAGTGACTACCCCAGCCAAGAACTCGGCCTCGGACTCTGTCCCTCTCATACCAGCGAACCCCACAGGTAAGAAACCTAAAATTCACAAGCGTGCAGGATACCAAGGATTCAATACTGACTACTATGTAGTGAGGCAGAGATAAAGACTCAGTGGTGGTTTTATTTTAAAAGACAGGAAATTATTACCAGGGAAAGCTAATAAACTTTACTATTCTGTCAGTTTTCTAAATGTAAATGTATTTTGGGGATATCTTCCAAGATAATCAAGAGTAAATAGGAGAGGTTGAAGTCACCTGGGATGGGTCTGGCATCTCATATACGTTATCTTATCTAATTCTCCTGACTATACAACCTTGGAATTGTGATTTCTCTTCCCAGAAATAAAACACAACTTAAGGGAAATAAAATACCTGGACCACAAACTGAAATGAAACTATACAGAGGAATCGTTGCAGCAACAACTCAAACCCATTAGCCTTTAACACACTCCCATTATTACAAAGAAAACTTGACTCAGAAAGTAATAAAGTGAGTTTAATCACTCTTGCAGAGCCATTACGTTGATTTAAACATTGCACTCCTCCCAAGTAGCAACAGAAAGGTAAATTAGCATCTGAAAGAACACTGATACCTAAATGAGATGGGTGAATTAAGCAAAATCACATCGTTTGAGGAGTCTGACATTGCACCATATATGACAGGTATTTACAATGTATTTACACATTTCAATAGTCTGATATTTTGCCACATGCAATAGGTATCTTACCCACGTATTTACACAGAACACCCTGTGCTGCAGGGACAGCGTTCATCTGGAGGATGTTATACCTGTAGAGCTCCGTTTCTCTGTTGCTTTTGTCTTGTAATGTTGTACAAACCCAATATGCATAACCTATGGCTCCTTCAGTCTTGAAAAAACAAAGTAAACTTAAAATAGTAAGTATTTCATTAAAACAAAAAAATAAAATATTCCAATAACAATAGTGTCACAACCTAGTCTTCTTTAAGTGCCTTTAACGAAAACAATAAAACCTGTTGAGATCAATTTAAAATCACTTCTCTAATCCTTGAGTAGAATTAAACACAACAAAGAGTAGAAAACAAAAGGCTTGCCAGATGGGCTTGTTCCCCCTCTCAGACCATTCCCACAGGTAAAACCAAATGAACTCAAGTCTTTTCAGAGTCCAGATTATCAACTAAAACTATTCTTCACCTCATGTCTATTTTTTTCTTGTGGTCTCAATCTCTCTTCCACAAGACTCTTATTACATGTACTAAATCTCAATGGGGAAGACTGGAGAGACAGACAGCTCAATAGTTAAAAGCACTGCCTGCTCTTCCAAAAGACCCAGACCCAATTCCCATCACCCATATAATAGCTCACATCTGTCTGACTGTGACTTCAGTCCCAAGAGCTCCAATGCCCCCTTCTGGCACCATGGACACCAGGCACATACTTGGTGCACAGACATACATGCAGACAAAACACCCATACGCATAAAAATACATAAATAAAATGTGTAATCTCATTGTCATTTTTCATCAGTTTGAACACTGAAGATGAAAACAAGTTCTATATAAAGAGAATTTATCTGCTTCTAAGATAACAGTAAAAGCAAGAGCTTTTTAGCTGACTTAAACTCCTGATCCTCCTGCCTCTATCTCCCAAGCGTCACTACTCCCAGTCTCTACAAATTTTCTTAGCAAGGATAATATTTTCCCATTGAATTCTCAAGAACATTAAGATTCTTACATGCATACTGAGCTCTGTAGTGTGTCTGAAGAGATCCATGGTGTCATAACTTCCAACTGTCTCTGCAATAAGAGCCTATTAAAAGGATTTTTAAAGGCTTTAATTAATTTAAAAGAAATAAAAATGTTAATAAACAGTTCTGGAAGAAGGGAAGATTTACGAGCCATGCTTCAAAGCAAAGTTAAGTTTCACTTCCAGTGATTCCAGTTTAAACTATGTCTGTGAGTTGTGTCCTGAGATAATTACTTTTAAGAACAAAATACTTTCAAAACAGAAAACATTTTACATAGAGGTAACTATGACAGTTTTCCCTAACCTAAAGCAACACAAAGTATGCTGAACAGTCTCGTCATAAGAGTCACAGGGTTTTGAACCTACTTAATGTGCTGGCTTTGTGGAAGCCTAGCCAGTTTGGATGTTCACCTTCCTAGAAATGGACAGAGGGGGGAGGACCTAGGACATACCACAGGGCAGGGAACTCTGACTGCTCTTTGGACTGGAGAGGGAGGGGGAGAGGAGTGGGGGGAGGGGGAGAAGGGTGGGAGGAGGGGGAGAAAGGTGGGAGGAGGGGGAGGGAAATGGGAGGCTGGGAGGAGGTGGAAACTTGTTTTTTTTTTTCTCCTTTTCTCAATAAAAAAATGGAAAAAAAAAAAGATTCTGACATCCGGCAGAAATGCAGGCTGGTACTCTCTGTCTAAAAACTGACACAGAGGACAGTGGATGCCCTGCTTCCATGCACCCCTGTACCTAGAGGACAGGAAGTTGCTGGGCTATCTCTGCTTGCACCACCAGAAAACTTGAATTACACTGAGACACAAAGCACAGTGAGACATAATCTGTGACTGATGCTTTTCTGACACATGCTCCTTTTGCTGCTGAACACTTAGCAATTCACTGATACTCTCAACTAGCCAAGGCATTCAGTTTTCAGGTGATATGACTAGTAAAATAATCAGTATTAGACACAGACTAGTAACAATTAACCCGATGCTATCTGGCAGTACAAAATCTAAACATGTTTACAGAGAAACACTCAAAAGTGTACAACCCAATATAAAGACTTTATAGAAAATTACAAAACAATAATAGCCAAAATGATCTTTGTAAATACATACTGTCTTTGCAAATGGAAGTTTAATAAGAGTTCTAGGTTTATGTTCTAGGCAAAGTAATAATCAGATTCATAGAATTCAAAGTTTAACCACTACCAGCGGTGACAAAATATTTAGGATGTCTTAACTTAAATTTCTACATCTCTAAAAAGAGTATAACAATAGTCACACCTCAAAGGATTGATAACAAATTAACTAAGATATTTCTTGCAAAGACCTAAGCACAATGACCAGCATGCAGTAAGTTTTCAAATGATACATGAAATGTTATCATTATTATCATTAATATAAGGCTACTTTATATTGATGTTTATTAATAACTGTTATCTTACTTGTCCAATCCAGCACAGTAGATAAGACGGATCAAGGGACTGAGCCATTTTGAAAGCTTCATGAGCTTGCTAGGCAAAAAAAAAAGCAAGAAGATACCACATCAAGCAATCTCATAGACTTCAACTGTTTAAAAAGCGTAAAAGAAGGGAAGTCAAACATATCATAAATATATATAAATTAAAAATTTCATTGTTCGGCCACAATTAATAATACCTGGATACAATCTTTTAGCTACAGTCTTAGAATAATGCTGTGTGCAACAGATTTCCCTACAGATTAAGACCTCTGGCACCCGGCAAATTATTCTATAGGTTTCTATCACCGAGGCTGCAGCAGAACTTTTAAATAATGCTAACTACGTGTGAAAGTAATGATTAAATAAGTCTGAATCTATTCCCCTTTTTAGAAGGAATAAGAACTCACAACCAATGCAGCTGGAACTATGGACCTGCTGCTGGAGAAAGAGAAGTTAAAAACACAATTCTATAAGAATCATTCACAAACTATTAAAGACACCTCTCTTGAATCACAAGCTCATATGCTCCCTGCTTTAAAAGAACAACAGCAAAAGCACCTTACTCCATGCTGCTTTCCACTGTTTCAGGATAATCCGTGTGGTGTAAGGAAAGACTTTAGGAAGAAGAAAGCTCTTGAGCAACTGTTGGACCCAGCAGTCCTGATGCTCAGTCTAAGTGTGTACATGTTATGATGTGGGAGTCCTTCTGCATATGTTTTGCTTTTATTGGTTGATGAATAAAAGTGCTTTGGCCTATGGCAAGGCAGAGTAAAGCCAGGCAGGAAATCCAAACAGAGATATAAAGAAAGTAGGCAGAGTCATGTAGCTGCCAAAGGAGTAACATGCCAGCACTGGTAAGCCACAGCCTAGTGACAATACACAGATTAATAGAAATGGTTTAATTTAAGATACAGGAACTAACTAGAAGTATGTTTGAGCCATTGGCCAAACAGTGTTGTAATTCATATAGTTTCTGTGTGATTATTTGGGTCTGGGCAGCGGGAAAGCAAGCCAGTCTCCATCTACACCTTTAGCCTGGGCCTTGCACACTAAGTGTGTACACTTTAGCCTGGGCCTTGCACACTAAGTGTGTACACTTTAGCCTGGGCCTTACACACTAAACGTGTATACTATCCTGAGCTGCAGCTACAATACCTCACAGACCTTCAGATCTAATCTAAGAATTTCTTTCAGTCTACTCACAATCATCCAAAGCTGAACATTTTTGCAGTGAGCAATTAATGTACTCTCAAAAACAGAGAAGTTTTTGGTCAAACAATAAGATCCAGCACACTGACTAAACCAAGAAACAGTGAAGATGTGGCTCCTCTGTCTAGACTTGTGGAGACTTCCCAAATGTGGCCCAGCAACAGGATCCCAGGTGCTAGGTTCAGGCTGCTCAGTTGAAAGGAATTCCACTGGGATGTTTAAAGGCAATAATATTTGTTAAAGCCATTATCTAAATCACAAAAGCAAAAGTTCAATTTAAGATGTTAAAAATATACTAATTATCTCTCTTACCTTCACTCATCAAGACTAAACAATGCACTCAAAGAACTTCTCTTATATTTATAATTTTGCCAAGTAAGAGAACTGTTTTCATCTATAAAAACTACCTAAGGAACCTGAAGTAAGAAGATGGCTATTTCAGAGTGAGCTCAAGCCTAGTGTGGGCTACACAGAAGTCTTCGCTATCTCAAAGAAGAAGAAAGTATACACAGATATAAAACCAGTAGTTGCATGGAAGAAAAAATAAATTTTAGGTGTTCAATACTCAACATAATAAAACAAATGCCATCAATCAACTGGCATATTTGACATACTGGATAGATAATACATAAAACAGTTCTCCACAAAATTGAACATTTTCTATTTTTTATACTTTTTAATATACTGAAACTGATAACAATACCTCAATGTTTTCAGTTGCGAGGTAGAGCACGCCTAAGTTGGTCCAGGCAGCAGCATTCTAAAAGATATATTGAAAATGGGCCTCATTGGGAAAAGCTTCTCTCTGCAGTATGCAGCACTTAATGAACAGTGGACATCTGTATCATACCCCCCGAGCTGAGAGGACATCTGTATCATACCCCCCGAGCTGAGAGGACATCTGTATCATACCCCCCGAGCTGAGAGGACATCTGTATCATATCCCCCGAGCTCAGTGGACATCTGTATCATATCCCCCGAGCTGAGAGGACATCTGTATCATACCCCCCGAGCTGAGAGGACATCTGTATCATACCCCCCGAGCTCAGTGGACATCTGTATCATACCCCCCGAGCTCAGTGGACATCTGTATCATACCCCCCGAGGTCAGTGGACATCTGTATCATACCCCCCGAGCTGAGAGGACATCTGTATCATACCCCCCGAGCTCAGTGGACATCTGTATCATATCCCCCGAGCTCAGTGGACATCTGTATCATACCCCCCGAGCTCAGAGAACATCTGTATCATATCCCCCAAGCTCAGAGAACATCTGTATCATATCCCCCGAGCTCAGAGAACATCTGTATCATATCCCCCGAGCTCAGTGGACATCTGTATCATACCCCCGAGCTCAGTGGACATCTGTATCATACCCCCGAGCTCAGTGGACATCCGTATCATACCCCCCGAGCTGAGAGGACATCTGTATCATATCCCCCGAGCTCAGAGAACATCTGTATCATACCCCCGAGCTCAGTGGACATCTGTATCATACCCCCCAAGCTGAGAGGACATCTGTATCATACCCCCCGAGCTCAGTGGACATCTGTATCATACCCCCGAGCTCAGTGGACATCTGTATCATACCCCCCGAGCTCAGTGGACATCTGTATCATATCCCCCGAGCTCAGTGGACATCTGTATCATATCCCCCGAGCTCAGTGGACATCTGTATCATACCCCCGAGCTCAGGAGACCTCAGAAGACACAACAGAAAGAACGTAAGAGCTGTGGGATGGGAGGAGGGCTCGGCCTTCTCAACAACACCGTCCACTGCTGCATTCATCAACTCGAGCAGGCATGGTACCCGCCACAGGAGCTGTGAGGCTCAGGGAGGAGCTCACCAGGCTCCACACCTAGCTAAGAGGCTAATGGAGAATGGGGAGTTCCTTTTCTTCAATGGTGTGGCTACTGGTAACCCCATAGCTATTCTCAGGCAGGCAATCCAAATTAAACTCAGTAGTTCAATTAAAAAAAAAAATCACAACATAATGGGAGGGGACTGCTGGGGAGATGAAGGGATCAGAGCGAGGGGGAAGAGGACCAGACACATTATGTACGTGTATGAAATTGGCAAAGAATAAACTAAACTCCTCAAAGTAATCCTGACAACCATATACATGTATGCACATTCACATGTGCGCACACACACACATACAATAAATAAATATGGTCATTCTAAAGTGAGAGAGAGTCTGCCTCAACACGGTGGAAGTGAGACCACAAGGCACTCTATAGCACATGCACACCGCACTCACTCATGCTTCCACACACACAAATTAGATGAACTAATTTTAAAAGAAAATTAATACACTGAATTTTGCAGTTCTTTTTGTAGACACAGGGAACACTTACAATTTGTTCTGCCTGGATTGATTTGATAAAACAGTGCTGAGCAAGGGCATAATTTCCAATACCTGAAACATACAGAACTTAAAGTAACTAAACTTTGCTGCCTGAAAACAAGTATCTTGTAAAATAAAGTAAGTGTTGGTCAGTTCTTACCACGGTGACATGCAATCACACCAAGAGCATTCCAGTATAAGTGATTATTGCTGTCCAGTCTCACAGCCTTTTTCAGACACTGAAAAGAAGTTAAAGTAGATTAAATTTTTATTTCTTCCGTATCAGCATAAATAAATAAAATGTGGTTTAATGTTAAAACAAAATGTTTATCAATAGCATCTTTCATAAAATCACTGTGTTTTTAATTTCATAGGAAATTTCTTGTACATGCACAGATTTCTCCAGTAGCTCTGTAAGACCATCCGTGCTGTTGCCTGTCTCTGCTAGATGCTGTGCTTGGCGGTAATAATTAATTCCAAGATCACACCATGTATTAGATGTAGACATCAACTTTAATGCACGACCATAACACCTGCAGAACAATAAAAACGAATGGTAAGGATGCTTTTAGAATATACTGTTCTAATTCAACTCTAAGGCAATGACTGGTTTCTCCGTAAATCACCTTCCTCCAAGATGCAGGAGCTCATCTTTCTGTAGTACTTCTCTTCCTCCCTGCTGACCGAGGAGGACTCCTAGGACATGAACATGCACTTTAGATGGTGAAACAGCATGCAGGCTGGTGCAGGCATCCCCAGCGAGCTTCCAGAGGCAGGACACATCAGCTCGATGTTGCAGTGCCCTGCAAGGAAACACAAAGGCTTTCAAAATTATGTCCCAAAGCTCAGTTGCGTGCCTCTTAGGACTGCATATTCTTAGAACAGAAGAACTTTCTATGCAGTCCTGGATGACAGCAATGACTTTAGTCCAGTTCTGTGCATGTGCCACTAACCACTTAACAGAGCTCTATCCTATCACCTCCTTACTAGGAGAAGAAAAAGATCTGGAAAAAGGAGAAGCAGGAAAAACTGATTATTTGATGTGGCAGAAAATTTTTCGGTTTTTTTCAGATATCTTCACCATGATTATGAAAAAGGGCGGGAACTAAATGGAAAACACTTGAGGACTCGTTTAGGGCAGGTCTGTTACCGGTGTTTCAGTTTGTTTTAATACCAGGGTTCTAGGTGTGCCGTTGGTTTAGTTAATCAATAATCAAGGCAGTGACTTTTTGTTATGAAAGTTTATATCCATGGACTTCCCCTCAAAAGACTAAACAATGTAACAACTATGTGTATACCAATTATATTTGATAGAGTACAGGATTTTCACTGAGGGCAAAAATAAATAAATAAAAATTCCAAACAAGAAACTCCACAAGCCGGGCGGTGGTGGTGCACGCCTTTAATCCCAGCACTTGGGAGGCAGAGGCAGGCGGATCTCTGTGAGTCCAAGACCAGCCTGGTCTACAAGAGCTAGTTCCAGAACAGGCTCCAAAACCACAGAGAAACCCTGTCTCGAAAAACCAAAACAGAAAAAAGAAAAAAGAAACTCCACAGATATACCTGGAAAAGCAAGTAAGAGCCGCCTGGAGAAACGACTCGGAAGGTAAACAGGGTCTAAGGACATGGGAAGGGCTAGTTCCTCTTAGGATGAGAAGAATCAGAGGGCACGTCTCCGCCTTTCTCAGAGCAGCAGCTCACTTTAGGCCAAGACTACACACTGCCATGTCACAGGCAAGCAGACAAGCAGTAAGGACGTCTTCATAGCCTTTCCTACTGCACGGCAGAAACACTAATTATTGCAGGCCCCACTGAAAACCCAACCACTGTGAAAATCAGAAGGAAGGACATTATTCCTAAGATATTTTAATATTGGCACATGTAAGGAAAAAAAAGAAAACAGTAGCAAAGCAATCTTAACTGTCCAAACTCATGTCTTTTCAATTTTTCTTCTTTTTATCAGGGCTGGGAATTCAGCTCAGTGTTATAGCTGCTGCCGAGATGTTACTGAGATTCTCTGAAGTTTGCAATCCTCTTGCCTTGGCTTCCCACGTGGCTGGCTGCATTACAGGCATGCACCACAGACAATCTCTAAACTTGCTGTTGCCTTTGCCACTGGGGTGTGTGCGGGGAGGGGGTGTGAGCATATGAGGACAGAGGCCATCAACCGTCCTGCTCTATCCCTCTCCATATTTCTTTGAAACATGGCAGATGTCTCTCTGAACCTAAAGGTAGGATGGCAGCCAGTAAGACTGAGATTTTTCTGGTCCTGTCCTCCCAAACGCTAAGAGTTACAGGCACATGAGCAGTCACACAACACAAATACTGGGCATCTAAATTCCGGTCCTCAAGCTTGCCCACCAACTGCTCTTCCCTGCAGAGCCATCTCCCGGCCCCTACTCCATGGACTTCTTAGGGCATCTAACACGAGTAACACTTTGCCCTTCTATAACACACTAGATTGAAATCTCCCCGGTTCTCTTCTTACTAGATACATCACATTTTCTTAAGCTTCTCTCCAGGAATAATCTGAAGACTCGTTTCCCTTCACTTCAGCCCATCAGCCTGAAGCAAGCCTGCTGATGAATGAAAAGCGACCTGTGTGTCTGAAGTTCCCTTCTCAACCAAAGAGGCTCTTCTGCTCCATTAGTGACCACTGTTAACCATGTCGCCACAAGGCAGCCATAACAAAGAGCACAACCACATGTCTTTCTCATAAGGGGTAAAATTACTAATGTGTTCGCTACAGAATTAATCGGCACATCTGCTATTCTTCATGTTTGACAGTCTGAATAACTGCTGTATCTAACAGCAGAGACATAAAATTATACTCTAAATTAGCTTTATTATACCACCAAGAACATAAGAGTGCTAAGCAAGGGTGATACAAACCCAGTAAAATATTCCAGCGCTTTTTCCACATAGTCTACCGCCTTTCCGTCCAGAAAATCCGCTAAGGCTGCTTTCGCCATCATCAGATAGCACTCACCCAAACCTGCAGCGATGACAGTTGTGCACATCATTACAATATACAAACGAACGCTTCAAGCCAACTTGAGATAAATCTGTTGATCTTCTACAAAAGCTTCACAGAAAATAGTGTTATAACCTTATTTCTAAATACAGTCTTGACACATTTAAAAAAGATCTCCAAAGTCAAGGTTCTGTGGCAATCAACCTACACTAAGACTCATAGGAAATCATGTGCACAGCACTCTCTTGACATTAATTTGTCTTTGATGTATCCTAAACTAGGGGCAATACTACTCTCTATCAAATGGATTTAGCTATAATACAAATAGTATTAAATCTTCTATGTTAAAATCTATGTAGCAAACTCTACAGTAAAAATTAAATGAAGAAGTAAACTCCTCAAGTGCCTAGAAATATTTAATAGAAGTGAGCTCTTTTCTCTTGAGGAAAGTTTTATAAACAAAGAAAAGGGGAGAGGAAGGTAGAGAAAAGAAAGGGATCCCAAGCTCAAAGTTATATGCTACCAAAACCTACAATACCAACAACTGAAACCTTCATGGTACCTTTTAAGAAGCAAATAGAGGAGCACACACAGTAGCATATATATTAGTGTAGGCTATCTCAGTTGGTAGAACATTAGACTCTTACTCTCAAGGTTGTGGGTTCGAGCCCCACGTTAGGCGCCATTTGTAGAAGGAGCTGTGGGCCACTACCCTGCTGCCCGGCCGCCTGGCTAGCTTATGCCAGAAAATAACACACAAATTGTATTCTTTAAACACTGTTTGGCCCATTAGCTCTAGCCTCTTACTAGCTAACTCTCACATCTTGTTTAACCCATTTCTAATAATCTATGTAGCACCACGAGGTGGTGTCTTACTGGGAAAGATTCAGCATGTCTAACCTGGCGGCTGGCTCCATCACATCTGACCAGAGAGGAGAGGCATGGCAATTGCCTCACTTCCTCCCACCATTCTGTTCTATTTACTCCGCCTACCTAATTTTCTGTCCAATAAAGGGCCAAGGCAGTTTCTTTATTAATCAATGAAATCAACACAAAACAGAAGACCCTCCCACATCATAGTACGAAAGGGTAGGATACAGTCTCAAGAACTTAAGTCGTAGGTGGTGCTCTTCCTTCTATAGCTTAAAACAGGGTTAGGAAGGGCTACTGAAGGGGGAGCTGAAATCAGCTTAACTCCACAACATAGAAAATTGCATTTAAAATAATTTAAGTAAGCTTCTACAACATAATAAAATTATTAAATAAAAAATTATTAGGCTATTCTGGGAATAAAATGTAAAATTATTAAAACATAGCACCATAGAAATTTGCTTGGAAGATCTATTTGGGGCCTATAGCTTTTGCTCTATTTGTCTAAAGGTGAAATCTCTACCATATTACTATTTATGAACTATTAGAAAACAAAACTTGATCTGTCACATTGTATATATGTATGTTTTAACCTCAGTTTAAGACATTTTGTGTAGTGAAACAATTTTAGGGTATATTTTCATATTATTAAAGGTCAATAGTTGTTCAAGTTTGTTGTACATAGATAGATTAGGTTCTTTAGATACATAGAGAGTGTATTCTGCCTAGACAGGTATTCTTCAACCACTTCAAGGATCTGTAAAACATGGCATTTAAATAACTTAGGGTTCTGTTGACATGAGACATAAGTGCTTCTGACAGCACTAATCTATTCCCAAGAAAATGTTGAGCACTGAAGACACTCTACTTAGAGCTTTGGTGTAGGGGGGTCTTCTTTCCATGTGTTGCTTTCATTGGTCAAATAAAGAAACTGCCTAGGCCTTTTGATAAGGCAGCCCTTAGATGGGTATGGTAGACAGAACAGAATTCTGGGAGGAAGAAGACAGTGTGGCAGACGCCATGACTCTCCTCTCCGAGATGGACACTGGTTAGACTCATGCGGGTAAGACACAGTCAAGTGGCAATACACATTAATGGAGATGGTTAAACTAATATGTGAGAGTTAGCTAAGAAGGGGCTGGAGATAATGGGACAGGCAGTGTTTAAATGAATACAATTTGTGTGCGGTTATTTGGGGGTTAAGTTAGCCAGGTCGGGAACACCACTGCTCCTTTGACAACAGAGTTTGTTTTCTTCTTGGCAAAACTGGCCTTTGTGCAAGAAACTGACAATGCCTCAACCATTGACAAGTCACATAGTATTCGAAAATGGATAAGCAAGACTGTCAAATCTTGCCAAGATAGGGTAAAATGGATTTAAAAAATTTCCTGCCTCTAAAAATGATCTGTCCGTTACACTAGGCCTTAGCCAAAGTTGGTTGCTTCAATGTTGCAAAATGAGAATTTGGGTGATTGCTCAGGTAGCTAATTGTCTTCATCATATATTGCTTGCTTTGGAAACTTGCTTTGGATTGTACTACCTGCCTGCTCAAATAATATTATCTCCTTTCTCAGGCCTTTAATGGGGTTTAAGATTACATAGTCATAGGTACTGTACTCTTGTGATCTAGCCAAGCCATTTCCTATACAAGACTTAGACTCCATAGGATAAAATGTTTATTAAAACATTTAGCATACGTTCCTTAATATTGTTTATGTTGATTGTAATTCTAATCTTATATTTGATATCTGTTCTTTTTTTTTTTTTTGATTTTTCGAGACAGGGTTTCTCCGTAGCTTTTGGTTCCTGTCCTGGAACTAGCTCTTGTAGACCAGGCTGGCCTCGAACTCACAGAGATCCACCTGCCTCTGCCTCCCGAGTGCTGGGATTAAAGGCCTGCACCACCACCGCCCGGCTGTTCTTATGTATATTGTTTTGTATCGGGGAGGTAAAAATGGGGGGAGGTGCTGCGTGAGCTCCTTCCATTCCTTCTGCCAATAGCCATTAAGATACCAGCCCACTGGGGTGTGTTCTCTTATACTTTAAAAAAGCAGCAGGAACTGAGCATGCTCTCCCTTGCTTCTGGCTCCCATCTCATCTGCTAGACTCTCTGTTTCCTGTTTGCTATGAGAGGGCTGTTGTTTGGGACGGTGATCTGTATGTTTTTTCCCCTCAAATAAATAACCCTTTTTTATTATCCACAATTCTTAACTAGTGAGGGATTGTTTTGCGGCTTCACAACTCTATATCAAGTTATACAATAAGAAATTCTCATCAGATACTTGCTATTGACTGCATACTTTTCAAGCTATTTAATATAGGTAGGTAGAAAATTTACTTGGGTTTTACAGTTCAGCATTATTAAAATTAAAAAAGAAACTCTTAAAATTACCTTTCAAGGCTGGCACATAATCCTCTTTCTTTTCAATGATCAGCTGATACTGAGCAACGGCCTCTGCATACCTGCCTAGGATCTGCTGTATGGCTGCCACTTTAAACACACTGTAGGTGGAGTCTGGGTTCAGCTCACTGGCTCTGGTGAAAGACTTCAAGGCTGTCGTATAGCCTCCCCTGCTCAAGTACGCTTCTCCCAAGGATTCCCAACAATTGCAGTCCTTTGGGTCTGCCCTTAGTGCCGCCTGCAAACTTAACAATTAAGAAACAGTGAAAAAATTAAAAGGAATAATTACTACACCAACATCTAAAATCATCCACAAGTCCTCTGATTTGTAAAAGTGATACTTAAAGCAGTCTTCCCCGCTTTCTTTTACAATTTGAGTATTTTTAATGGTAAGAAGATTTTGTGAAGTGGTTTTTAAAATAGAGCAAAATGCTCTTTGGGGGAAAACCATAGTTTCTTTTTCTTTATTGTTTGACAGAACTCCAGTTTTCTATGCCACCAGGACAGGTAGCCATCAGTCTATCAACCTGTCAATCCTTTTCAAACATCTGAAATACAGGAGTGAGAGGGATACTGATATTTCTGATCAAATGGCATTTCTATGAAAAAGAACAAAATATTTACATCCTAGAAATTAACACATATCAGACACGACTCTATCTTGACTCAATTATATTTTTACTCTGAAATACAGTTCAAGCAAAATGACTAAAATTAATCACACATGGGCCTTTCCAAAACACCCTTCAGGCTGACATGATCTCCCCTGCTACCTAAGCCAACCAATGGTAGTGTAGCAGCAGCATAAAGCTCAGCTTTTTATTACTGGCATGTCTCTCAAGGGGCCTATGCACTATGATGTCAACAAGACTTCAGACTAGCTCCTCAACAACAGTACATGATTTGGTACCCTTTAAATTCTAGTACCTTGCAGGCAATAAGCACCCAAACAATAAATTTTGTTATAGTTCTCTCAAAGTGCATCTTGCTTAGAGGCCACGTCTAAAAGTCACGTGGCTATCAAGGAACTGTAAGGAAGCACACACGGTTTGAATGTAAATGGGATGAGTTGTCTTACTCGGCCACGGCTTGAGAATGTTGACCAGCTCTCAGATGGTACAGGCCTCGCCTCAGCCAGGCCCACTTCGCTGCTCCGGCACTTGCCTTTTGAGTTACTGCTGTTAAGATAGCCAAAGCAGTTTCCTAAGAGAAAATATCAATGTCAGGAACATCAAATATAAAAATACACAATTATGAAAAAAGCATACTTTCACTTCCCACTTCTGATTTTTTTTAAATTTATAATGAAACACAAAAAACTACTGTTAATAATAAAGGAAACGCTGGAACTAGGGACACAAGCACTAGGACTTGAGGTCTGGCCCCCACATCTCCAGAACTTGTGTAAAAAGATAAAAAGATGGGGTGGGGAATGTTCCTGAAACCCCAGCACTGTGGCCTGTGGCGGGGCAGAGGGAGAGAAGGGTGGACGGAGACAGACAAATTCCTGAAGTGCACTGATCTAGCTGAGTCGGTGAGCTTCAGCCTCAGTGAATAAGCTCTCTCAGAAAGTCAAAGTGGAAAGTTCTTAAGAAAAGACACCTGGTACTGCCCTCTCTCAGGGTGATATAGATATGATTAATTTGCATTGGTATAGATCTTGGTTTATTGATGCAAATTTAAGGTCAATCTTGTTATATGTATAATTTTGCTCTTGATTAAGGTGTCGTGATTATGTAGTTCATTTAAAAATGTAATGTATAATTAAGAAATATAGGTTAATAATCATCTATAATAGTCAAGCTTATAGTTGTGTTAGATTTTTTAGATGTATAGAGATATATTTCAGTTAGATAGGTATTCTTCAAATCTTTCAGAGACCTTCAGAATATGGCATTTAAAATGTTTAAGAACTTAAGACTTTTCATGACAGTGAGACATGTCTGTTCCTGGCAGCACCAGTGACTTCAAGAGGAAGAGGGACATCAAAGAGGCTCCTTATGGAGTTTGCTAGCCATTTGGGCAAGAAACTGCTCTTGCCTGGACTGCTGAACTGGACATGCAGGACCCATAGAGAAATGACAGCTGAACTTGCCTAAAGGTGAGATCATCCTTCAGGGTTCCTGCTACACAAAAGAGTCTGCTAAACATTCTGCAAGACACAGAAGAAAGTTACTGACAAACTGCCAATATAGGTGTAACTATCTTTGAAGTTTCCTGTTTCATGGAAAAGTCTGCCAGATACTATGGGCCAGTAGGCTAAAGATGTATGCTCCAATGATACAGAAGAACTTTGGGTGACTGTCCAGGCAGTGAGATGTCTCTGTCAATTCTAGAGTTTTGGAAGTTGCTTACAATGTACTTCCTGTTTACTTAGGTAATATTATATACTTCTGGAGTCTTTGATGGAGTTGAAGAACATAGTCTTCCTTAGTTATGAAAGAAGATAAAATAGATATAACTGTAATTCTTGCATGATAACTGTTTTGTTGTATGTAATTTTACTATGTTAAAGATAAAGCCTTCTTTTTTATTTAAACAGAAAAGGGGAGGTGATATAGGTTTTCCCTCTGTATGCTGTGATTACCATTAATGAATAAAGAAAACTGGCTTGGCCTGTTGATAGGGCAGAACTTAGGTAGGCTGGGAGGAGGAAAGGCTGAGTCAGAGAGGTGCCGTGGATCTGTCACCAGAGATAGACGTGCTGAGACTTTGCTGGTAGGACACGACCTCATGGTGATATACAGATTAATAGAAATGGGTTAACTTAATATGTAAAGGTTAGCCAATAAGAAGCTAGAGCTAATGGGCCAAGAGGTGATTTTTTAATACAGTTTCTGTGTGATTATTTCAGGGCCAAGCTGCCAAGAACCAACGAATAGTGCCCTTCTCCAACACTATAGAGGACATATATGAATACCATGTGGACAGGTACACAGCCATGTAAAAGTACACACAGAAGAGTGACAAGGAATTTAGTATCTGCCAATGAGAAGAAAAAGTAGCTTATAAATAAGTGCAAAGATATTTCTATTTTACCTACAAAGAATAATGAAAAAAAAACTTTCAAGAAAATATATTATAAAAACATCCCAATTTATATACTGCCATAAAAGACTAAGAGGCAGAGTGGCCATAAGACAGACCGTGTCTTCAAGTTCCACACTCAGGTCGACGGCTGCTGCTCCGGACTCAGCATCGCTGCCATCTAATTCAAAGGCTTTCCTGTAGCATCCGCGAGCTCTGCTTCTGTCTCCAGCGACAAGGCGGTAATAATGACCTAAATAGCAGAAAACTTTACCCATGTATGTGTCCAGTCTTGCAGCCTTGGAAATAAACGTTGACAATGGAATAGTAAAAGGTTATATTAATACATATTAAGAATGTAGTACACTGATTTAAAAAAGAAACTATTTTATTGAAAATAATATGCCAAAAGAATCTTTTAGTGTGATATTTAAAACAAACACAAAAGCTGCTCCACACTGCCTATGGAAAACAAACACAAGGTAAAGCTAGCATTTCTTTGGTAATCAAATGAGGGATTACAGCCATTGTTAAGTTAATATGCTCCCTGAGACTCTATATCCATAAGACTACAGAGGCCTCAGCTGAAATAGCACTGCTTCCACAGCCAACATGTCTCAACTTCTGTAACAGAGACTTCTGAAGCTGACACTTTTATACTTTCATAATTTTCATATAGAAAAAAAATATTCTCACAAAACCTCTTCTATGAGAAAAGAAATGCAAAATGATTCTTTAGTAAATAGTAATTTTAAATAACTATTCTGTTGGCTATTTGACTGTACAACAAATCAACTTTAACAAAGAATTTGGTAGTAGCACTGGCTTACCTTCAGAAAATGGGCAAGAGCCTTTGCTTTATCTTTTCTTGTTTCTTCACCCATGAACCAGTATGTCAACCCAAGCTGATAATGATATTCAGCAATTTCGGAGTCTTTCTCAAGTGCTCTCTGGAAACTAAATAACCAAGGGGGAGCGGAAAGAAGTATTAAGTGTGCGTGTGAATCTCTCTCTCTGTGTGTGTGTGTGTGTGTGTGTGTGTGTGTGTATCCCTCTCTCACTCTATCTCTGTGTATCCCCCCTCTGTGTGTGTGTCTGTGTGTATCCCTCCCCCCTCTCTCTGTGTATCTCTCTCTCTCTCTCTCTCTCTCTCTCTCTCTCTCTCTCTCTGTGTGTGTGTGTGTGTGTGTGTGTGTGTGTGTGTGTGTGTAAAACATAAGGGACTCCAAGGCAGAACAATCAAGTTAGGTGATTCAAGAATCCCATATCTAGCAGATGAGGAGATGTCCCAGGGTTAAGCACCTGCTGTTTTTCCAGAGGACCTGGGTTCCCAGTACTAACAGGAAAGCCCCAAATTGGAACTCCAGTTCCAGAGGTTGTGACACCAAATTCTGAACTCCTCAGGTATTAGGTACACATATGGTACACACACATACATGAAGGCAAATCACTCATACACATAAAATAAGTCTGAAAAAATTCCCAAATCTAAAACATTTCACTACTTCAGGATCTAGACTTTAATAAACAAAAAATGATATTACTGAAAGAAGAGCTTTAAGAAGCATAGTGACCATTTAACACTACACATATTCAGAACATATACCAAATATTACACTCTCTAACTAAACATTATGATCAGCTAATTAGACTAGGAATCTATCACAAAAAAATGTATAGCTCCTATGCTACAAATGAAATGAAACACACACACACACACAGTGGAACTTCATTATAGCCACGTCAAATTTTTAAGAAACAGCTGAGATATGAATGGAGCCCCAGGCAATCTATATACCCTCACCATGCTTCTGCTTGCAGATAGTCCTTCTTAGAAAAATGAATCAAGCCCTCAAGTGCGTGGACTTCGGCCAGGCCAGGGTAAGAAGCTTTAAGGTCTTCCATGATCTGTCAAGAAGATACCTGTCAATTCCATATCTCATTAGAAACAAACGGGGGGCTGGAGAGACAGCTCAGCGGTTAAGAGCACTGCCTGCTGTTCCAGAGGATCCAGGTTTGGTTCCCAGCACCCACGTGACAGCTGACAACCATCTACGACTCCAGCTCCATGGGATCCAACACCCTTCCCTGATCTCTGAGGACCCCAGGCATGCACATGGTACACAGACACATGCAGGAAAACCACTCATTCACATACAATAAAAAATTAGTTATTTTTAAATGGGTTTTGACTTTTATTTCTCAGTTTTTTTGTTTAGTTTTCATTTTATATTTTGTTTTACTTGATTTTGGGTTTTGGGGACCAAATCCAGGGTCTTACACTTTGTAGGCAAGCACTGTAACAGTGAACTAAACTCCTAGAACTTTCTTTTAGCCTTTAAATAATGTTCCATTTGAAATCAAAGCACCAACCTTCGCAGACTTGTCTACAGCGCCTGTGTTCAGATGAGCCTGGCCTTGAAGAACCAGCAGTCGTGGGGTATTATCTGCATCTGAAACCTAGAAAATGATTGACAGCTGCTACAAGTCTCTCCAGAAAGCTGCAGGGGTGTCTGTTCTGCTTAAAGAACAGACACGAATGAGCTGGTTATGACAGGTGTAATCCGAGTTCCATTGCTATCCAGATTTTTATTCTTTAATCATTTAATTGGAGAAACTTCAAATACACAAGAAAATTAAAGACCAGTGTAACAACCTTATAACATACTCATTATCCAGGTACAGAATTATAAACTCATGTTTATAATGTCTGTCCAAGTATATATCCAAACCTTTGCCATACCTTTCAGATGAAATTATAACAAATATCTGGCATTGTAATTCTCACCTGTGATATTTCAGCATGCATATTTAAGATAGTCATTTATAAATGGCAAAAACATTATAATTCTCAGACCCAAAGACAACCATGCAGCTTTCATATGATCAGATTTCCTAGTTGCCGCAGGAAGAATTTGAGCAACTTATTTTAGCCAAAATTCAACTAAGGTACATATATCTCAATAAGAAGACAGTTCTCTTAACTATCTTTTATCTCCAGGGTCCCCTTCTGTCTCTCTGCTTTCTTTTTTGTAACTTAACTGTGAAAACACAGACCATTTGTCACAGTTTCACAAAGTCAAGACAACTGAATGTGTTCTCATGGTGTTTGATACTCTCCTGGTCCCTGTATCAACAGGTAGGGCTGGACCTGGTCCAGCAACAGTATGCTATGTGTGTTTGTCATGGTTGTGTTGGGCTACCATCTTCTCTGTGGAAGTCACTGATTCTCAAGGCCTACATCCATCCATTCATTTATTAAATTATAAAATGACTTCTGGTTGATCACTGCTCTTTCCACTCTCACCTGAAATAGTTAAACCTAGAGGAGCTTGTCCTCCCTCGTCACCTGTTCGGCTATCTCAAAGAGCAGTTAGTAAGAGAGGAATAAATGTTCCCTAATATCAGCCCGCAAGTCGCTTTCGCAAGCTTGCTGGGATCTTTTTCTTCGTGGTAGCATCATGCACACCTAAATTCAGACATATTTAATCAGTGTTTCTCTTCGGCATATGTGCTGCTGCCCTCAGGGGTCAGCTCCTGTGTGTGTAGTGTGGCCCTTTTACGGGGTCTGTTTTCTAGCATAACATGATATTTATGATCTACTTACAAATTTTCTGTCTCAGATATGAACTCTTACATTTAAAAAAAAAACTTTTCATTATGCTTTTTGTATATGTCAAAAAAAAAGGTACTGGAAAGGTATCTATAAAACATCTAAACAAGACAAATACTAAAGACAGACAAGTAAAAAGTACAGTATTGAGTTTTGGGGGGTTTTTGTTTTTGGAGACAGGGTCTCACAGTGTAGCTCATAGCTCAGGCTGGCCCAGAATTCATAATGTGTCACAGGTTGGCCTTGGACTCATGGTCACCTTTCTGCCTGAGCCTCTGTGCTGGGATTACAGGCATGAACTAGCACATCTGTGAACCACAACATCCTGCTACATAGGAGTTCTTAAAGGAGGCCAGCAGCTGCTGTTACTTTAAAGAAAACAAAAATGCAAAATCCTTTGAAATATACAAAGCAATGATGAAAAAAACTGCAATAACTAATATATTTGACAAAACTCTTTAAGAGACAATGTGGCTAAAATTCTTGATCTGCCGGTTATGTTTTCAAATTAAATCAAAAGTCTTAAGAAAACAGTTTGCCAATTAAAAACAAAATCAACATTTGTGGAAAAACCGAGCCTTACGTTCTTGAACATGAAGCTATGAAGTCATCACTCGATCAGTAATCTGTAAAACATTTCCTGAAGGAAAAAGTTAAAGCCCTAAATTGTTAATAATCAAGTGTGCTACTGCCATAAGACATAAACAAGATGAGAGAACAGGCACTAAAATCAAACAGAAAATCTTCACCTAAGATACCGCCTGAAGATCCAGATGTAGAACTCTCAGCTCCTTCTTCTCTAGCACCATGTCTGCCTGTGTGCTGCCATGCTTCCTGCCATGATGGACTAAACCTCTCAACTGTAAGGCAGCCAATCAAATATTTCCCTTTATAAGTCTTGCCATGGCCATGGTGTCTCTCCGCTGCCATGGGAACCCTGACTAAGGCGAGCAGGTTCAAGAGTGTGGAAGAGTTAACCAGAGTATAGACACAACTCGGAATTTATGATGTAAGCATTTGGCAGGGAGAGATGGCTGAAGAGGAAAACTCAGACCACCTACCTGATCGAGAATGCGAATTGCTTCCTCTGAAGATTCACAATCGGAGAGTTTAAGCAAAGCCTCTGCTTTCAGAAGAAGACAAAAATTCTTCTGATGATGACGGCCACCTGCTGCACCGTGATCATCTATGTTCTTAAGTGCTGATAAGATTGAGGACATGGAAATCAATCTCCATTTCAGTTTGCTTGCTATTTATGAATGACAAACAGTCAAAGAGGCAGCTTAGAAAATAATGGTGTTTGCGCAGCCTGACAACCTGACTTCAGTGAGTGCCAGAACTAAAAGATAGAAGAGAACCAAATTCTGGCAACTGTCTTCTGACTTCTACACTCATGTAATGGCACGTGCACAGGTGTGCATGCACACATACACAAATCATTAAATAAATAAATGTGCACAAAAAAACTTTTAAAGAATGACATATGGGAATAGAGAGATGGCTACTCTTCCAAAAAGCCTAGGTTTGACTTTCCAGCACCCACAGGGCAGGTTACAACCACCTACACCTCCAGCTCCAGGAGATCCCTTCTTCTGACCTCCACAGCACCCATGAACACGATGCACAGACATACATGTGGGCATTCCCATGCACATAACATGAAGTCAGTCTTAAAAAGTTAAGATTTTCTTTCAAAAACAATAACATAATACATTGCAGATACAGTAAGCAAAATTTCTAATATATATAATATATATTATATAGAGAGATAGAGAAAGAAAGAGATGAATAATCCAATCACAAATAAACTTTCTCTTATATTCTTCTAGAAAGAGCTGAATTTAAAACCAAACACATGAATTTAAGACTTCTATTTTCACACGGTAGGAATAAAATTGATGGTGCTTAAGAATATCGCTGGCTAGTCCAGATTTATCCCATGCTTTTTCAGACCTAGGCCAGCTGGCCTTGGTGAGTTCGCAATAGAACATCCCCATTGTCTTAGTGTGTGGGTGCACCCCTCGCGGTCCTGAGTTCCTTGCTCGTGCTCCTGCTGAACATAGCGGACAATGAGGAATACCAACTAGGTCAAAAACAAAGAATCATCTCTCATCTTTATTCATGGCATTAAGAAATCATGAATTTTGCATACAAATGGATGGAAATAGAAAACACTATCCTGAGTGAGGTAAGCCAGACACAAAAAGAGGAACATGGGATGTACTCACTCATATTTGGTTTCTAGCCATAAACCAAGGACATTGAGCCTATAATTAGTGATCCTAGAGAAGCTAAATAAGGAGAACCCAAAGACAAACACATAGGCATCCTCCTGAATATTAACCTTCAGCAAGCGATGAAAGGAGACAGAGACAGAGACCCACATTGGAGCACAGGACTGAATTCTCAAGGTCCAAATCAGGAGCAGAGGGAGAGAGAGCACGAGCAAGGAACTCAGGACCATGAGGGGTGCACCCACACACTGAGACAATGGGGATGTTCTACTGGGAACTCACCAAGACCAGCTGGCCTTGGTCTGGAAAAGCCTGGGATAAAACCGGACTCTCTGAACATAACGGACAATGAGGACTACTGAGAACTCAAGAACAATGGCACTGGGTTTCTGATCCTACTGCACGTACTGGCTTTGTGGGAGCCTAGGCAGTTTGGATGCTCAACTTACTAGACCTGGATGGAGGTGGGGGGTTCCTTGGACTTCCCACAGGACAGGGAACCCTGATTGCTTTTCGGGCTGAGGGGGGGGGGGGGACTTAATTAGGGGAGGGGGAGGGAAATGGGAGGCGGTGGCTGGGAAGAGACAGAAATCTTTAATAAATAAATAAATTAAAAAAAAAAAAAAGAAAGAAATCATGAAGGCCCTAAACATACCAGAAGGTTCCTTGTTGGAAAAGCAGAACACTGCATCTATGCCCGCACCTTAAAGATGCATTTATCAGCAGACATGCACACAGATCAGGCATTTATTTTCCTCAGTGCCATTTAAATCAACCACAAATTTGAAACAAAATCAAAAGGCTATTTTTTAAAAATAGTCTCTTTCTTAAGTTAGATGAAAGCAAACAGCATTTGTCCTCCTACATACAAACACAAAGTACATAAGAATACCTTGGTTGCAAGAAAGAATAGCTTCCTTAGGTCTGTGCACTTTGGCTTGGGCTTCTGCTAGATGATACCAGCCGGTTATGCAAAGAGGGCTTTCTGTCAAGCCTAGGATGGAATAATCATAAATACCATGGGTTCTAAGAGTCGACCCCAGGTCTTCATGTTCACAAGACAAGCACTTGATTGACACATCTACCTTCCCAGCCCCATGCTGCCACAGAAAATCTAAACACAAGATGACAGTTTCTATGCTTAGAGCCTCTCATGGGCTCCTGCTGTCGTCAGAACACATTGTAAGCTTGTTAACAATGTTTGCAAGGCTGTGTTCAGCCTCACTTCCTATCCTTTCCCGTACCTACACACCATCCTCAAATCTTACTGCACTACCCGAAACAACAGGTTTCCTCTCAGCTCTGCTGCTCCACAAATGCATTCCTTGACCAGTGTCCTCCCACTCGCTCCAGCTGCCTTCTTCACTCTGTCAGTCATATCTCAAATAGAATGTAAGTCTCCCAAAAAACCGCCACACCTGAGTCGACTAAGCCAAGCCTCTCTGTATCTAAGCTTCCTCAAAGTATCCCTACCGTACAAAGAAAATCACCAGGACACATATGGCTGAACTTTTCCCTGCTCTTGAGAAACTCAAATTTAATGAGCAGACTCCAGAATATGTGTGTTCATCTTCCGTTTCACTTTGGTTTATTTCCTTACAGGAAGGCTGAAATTGTAGTCATACATTACCTTCCGTTAGGTGATTAACAGCATCTTCATACTTCTTGTCTTGTAAAGCTTTAACGCCTAAGCCAATGAGGCCTGGACCACTTTTTGAATTCATTTCCACTAGTTTACAACAATACTGCTGTCCCTCATCTGTCAGACTCCCTGAAATTAAAAGAAAACATTATTAACATTCATATATATATATATATATATATATATATATACTAAGTATACTGAATTCTCAACTACCATACCCATATACATAAATTTCAAAAGCTTCTTCATACATACTTTACTAAGTCCTGATTTAAGGAAATAAAAACTTAAATAAAGCAGCAAATATAGAAGATAACATTACTTCATCAACACGCTTAAACACTGGAAGTTAAATCACTTTATATACACACGTACTCTGAAACTGAATTCATGCTCAAAGGTTCTGAAGAAGAACTATGGCCCATGGCTTGCCTCAGCTTTTCCTTTCAACTCTCAGCAGTAGCACCTATTCAGCCGTATCACTTTGGCACACGCATGAAAGAAACGGAGTATCTTATTGTTCCCTCAGGGCGATACTGCACAGCTAGAGGCATGGCAGCCAACTCTGACGGGCTTTCCCAGCATCCTGGTATCAGAGGACACCAAATGAAGACTTTGTCGCAGTTTTTGTAGGTTTACAGGGCTAGCAATACACTCCACATATTTTTACCAAACTATTCTTGTGTATATAATTATTAGGCTTATGTATTAATTACAATGCTGCAATAACCTTAATTTATTTTTGTAAAATAATTTCGGTTAGAAAATATACATTTTGTTATAATTCCATTTTCTCCAACATAGAAGTTCATATGCACCCCAAGTGAAAAATGTTATTTGTTTATAATTAAAGAGGAACATTCAACACTTTAATAAATCACACAGGAAAATTCTGAAAAAGTTACTAAGACAGACAACTTGTTAAAACAATAAGCAAGGGGAATAAATATAATTAATATTTTAACAGACTTGCTTTTTAACATCTATTGTGAAATAGATATATGAGCAAACCACATATGGGATCTCTGATTCAATCACAGATATTAAAAGTAAATTATCTATATAATGCCATTATATTTCGATGTATGCATTATATTAGATGTATATCAATGAATAATCTGTAAGTAATGTTACATACATTTCTGTCCCTGACCAACTAAACTAACCAATCCCTAAACAGAAAAACTCCCTGGGAAAACTCCGTCCCTAAGAAGCCCTAAGCCCCTCTGCCTGTTGAGTTCCAGGCTGTCCTTTCCCACCCTGGCAGAGGCAGTCACTCTCCTGGACTCCTCCTTCCCAGAGAAATCTCTTTCTTAAGAGTCTTGGTGAAGACTTTAATTCACCTGTGCAGATAGAAGAACCTTGCTGAAGGCCAGCTGGATTGGGACTGATGGAGCATGTGATCAAACCGGACTCTCTGAATGTGGCTGACAATGAGGGCTGACTGAGAAACAAGGACAATGGCACTGGGTTTTGATCCTACTGCATGGACTGGCTTTATGGGAGCCTAGTCTGTTGGATGCTCACCTTCCTATACCTGGATGGAGGGGAGAGGACCTTGGACTTCCCAGAGGACAGGGAACCCTGACTGCTCTTAGGACTGAAGAGCAAGGGGGAGGAGTAGGGGGTAGGGAAAAGGGAGGAGATGGAAATTTTTAATAAATAAATTAAAAAAATAAAAAACCAAGAATCATAAAGTAAAAAAGAAGAAGAAGAAGAAGAAGAACCTTGCTGAGACAGCCTTTAGAGAACTGAGCAGAAGAGAAGACCCTTGCTGTGATGTTCCCTTAGGTGGGCTGAGCAAGGCTGGGCAGAAAAAATAACAACTTTCTGCCAGACCCTAAGGAGATTGCTACATTTCTGCAGGGGCTTCCCCTTTAGGAGAGTGTGGCAGAAGTTAACATCTGAAGAAGCAGACAGATCTCTTAGGACAGTCTTTAAGCAGAACAGAGCAGAGCTCAGCTGTAGAGTCTCTCTAGGAGAGGAGCAGGATTGCTATATCCTGCCAGGAGCCCATCCCCCACCACATCCCAGCTTCAGGTAGCCAGGCTTCCCACTGACAAGTCAGGACACCTCTCCAAGGCTGAGCTGCCCTCTTGTGGTGTCAGCCTCCAGATATCCTATTGCGGTTCTAGGTAGCCTGGCTTCTGGATAAGTCAGGACACCTTTCTGGAACTCCAGGGCTGAGCTGTCCTGTTTCAGCTCCAGCCTCCAGAGCTGTCCTGCTGTGGCTCTGAGTATAGCCTGGTTTCCTGATGGGCTTTAATCCATTTATGTTCCTGTAGCTTTGCAGCTCCAGAGCTGTGCTGCTCACGCACGCTTACATAAACAATTATAAAAAAGCTTAACAAAACAATTTTTTACTTTTCAAAAAGGCAGTCAAGTCCTAAGGCTGCTAAAAACCAAAACTTCACGTATAAATTGATAGATACAAAATAGCTCTATGGAACTCAATTTCCTAAATTATACAACAGCAAAAGGTTTTATTTTGTTTTGAAAATCATTTCTGACATACCAAAGAAACCAACTAATGAACACTAAAATTTTCACTTTTTAATAAACCTAAGTTTTGGAGGAAGAAAAAGTAGAATTTGATGGCACTCATCTATTTTCACCTGCATTTTCAAATATTTCTAAGACATAAAACCTCGTTGTTAGGAACATTTCCTAACCAAGCCTCTCCGCTGGCACAAAAAAACTCCAATCAAACCAGATTAGACCGAATCAAAAGTGTCCACGTTTAACGAGTGCCACGCTATTGGGTGCCTGGGAGCATGGGAGAGGGAGGGGTACATGGGGGGAGAGGGAGACAGAGGGAGAGCAGACACAAAACCGCAAAACCAGAAACCACATGTCATGTCCGTCCCAGTGTTGTGTTCCCCCACTCCCTGCACGCAAGCCTGAATACTCTTTTAGTGGTTCTGACCCTCCCAGGGGAGGGGGTCAGCGCTTGGCAGGCTGGGAGTTGGAGTCTAGACCAGGGCAATTCCCAGGCCAGGGGCTGGGGTGACACTTCCAATTCAATATTACATTCCAGACTCATTGGATATAAGGGTGTTAGAGGGCTGGGGTCTCACTTTTGACCACTCCTTATTTTTCATTGTCGGTGGTCACACCCAAAGCTTCAGTCGCTAATGCTAGCAAGTGTCTCCCTGGGCCTAAACACAAAACCATAACTCTTAATGAAGTTGTTTTCTGCTTGAATTTAAAGAGCCAAGCCTCTTTGTCCTCTTGTGTTTCAGCTACAATGCAAAATAAATCAAAATAGTTATTTAGAACATACACACACAAAAAAAAAAACACCTTTCAACAATGACAACTCAGAAATTATTCAAACTTCATTCCATGCAGCTCAACAAATGAGTCATGCTGAAAATGGGTCTTGAGCCTCAGCACACAGAGAAAGACCCAGAAGTATGGAATACATTTGTCCTTGCGGGAGAGACACCGTGATTAATTGCTGTAAAGTTCCTGAGGAAGGGTATGCCTCAAGGTTTGGAGAAGCTCTTCATCTCCAGAGGATGACGAAAAGCCAAGTCATGTGCAGCGCTCACTGTCCCAGAACAAGAACTCTGAGTCTCAGCACACATCTGCATGCCTACCCATCCGCCCCTGTTCACCATGCTACAGACCTCCCTCCCAATAGTTCTACAACCCAGGCTGGCCTCAAACTTGGCATGCAGCCAAAGCTGGCTGAACCCTGGATCCTACCACCTCTCCCTTCTAAGTGTTGAGATGACAGGCATGAACCACCACACTCGGCTTTTAAACCAGGTTTTCTTACCAGTCAGTATAATTAATTCTTTCAGGATGCCTTTATTAACTGTCACATACACACATATATGCACACACACACACACCGTGCCCCTTAAGATAAACCAGGGTGTCTTCTACACTAGACAAGTACTCTACCACTTACCAATCTGCTACATCCCAATCCAACTTTTATTTACTATCTCTAAATGTCCACAGGCTGATACTGGGTTTTGTTTAACAGTCAATGTTTTGCACCATTTCATTTATGTTTCTGTTCTCTCCAGCTTACTCTAGAGCAGGATCTAGGTAAACTCTCAGATCCATTTTATTGCAAACCTCAAGGAATGATAGATAGGTACACACTTTGATAAATGTTATGTTGGAAAGCATCTCATGTTTTCATACCCTAATAATTCACATTGGTTGAGGAAGGAATACTAGGGCCATGTTTACCCCCAAACAAGCAAACAAAAAACATACTAAAGATAAATTCACTTACTGAGAAAGCATTCAGCCAGTTTTCCAAAAGAAAATATCCACAAACTCACCTACAGCCTTTACTGTCTGAGCAGACCAAGGAGGGAATGGGGCAAACCGCTAGACAGCTCAGCAGAACTGAAGAGAGAGCAGCCACCAGTCACCAGTCTCAACTGCAACGCTAACAATCACAGAGACTATAGCAATCTTTATATCATACACTGGGTCTTAGGATAAAATTGGAAGAAACCAGATGATTTTGATAAACAAAAACACGTATCTCCTTTTGTGACAGCCTGTGTCCCTGTCTTCCATGTCTCCTTGTGTGATGGGCCCCTTCTGTACTGTATCTTCCAAGGGCTTCCCACAGTATCTGTCCAGTGCAGCCGACCATTCTTGAAGTGGTTCAGAGAGACTACGACTACACAGTCTCTTGCTGCCCCCAGCACACACTTCCCTTCCTCTGCTTCTCCCATGAATTCAGATTGGATCCCTTTTCCTTTTAAACTTCTTGCTACTTCCTCAATTTTCTCCATTATTGTTTCAGTTCAATTACTTTATTTTAAAATAGCTTCACTATTAGTTTTCTTAATCATAAAAATAGTTACTCAGTCTATCATGAGAATCCTTTCTTTCCTGTCTTTGCATCAGGGACCCCCATTGCTCTCTTACCGAACATTTTCTTGGTCCTCCTCCTTTTCTTCCTCTTCTCAAGTCAGCACCGTACAAGCAGCCATCCTCAGCCTTCTAACCCTGGGTCTTCTCTGATGGCAGTCACTCCACCTCACTTGCAAACAAATGATTTCCAAGCTACATGCTTAGCGCTGGTTTGCAGATTCCCATCTACATCTCTGGCTACTTTTACAGCTCCTTTCAAATGTACTTCTCACATAAACCATCATGGTTCTTTCTATATCGGGCTAACTTTTCTGAAGAACTAAAACTTGCAAATAATTTTGCCCTTCCCTTTAAGAAGCTGCTACATTTCCATTCACCTACTCCTTTCTACCACCACCATCATGTTCCCAGTTCATTTATGCATTCTTAGACTGCTCACTGTGGTCAACGTCAGCCCTTCCTAAACATTATTAGCTCGAGCCCTTGTACTTCACATAAAGTAATTCACTTTGTACTTTATGATAGTGGAAAATATTCTCTTTGAGACTAAGAAAACGATCTTACTTGTTAGTGGAACTCTCGACTAAAAGTAAGAGCACTGACCTCCCTCAGACCAGGAAATGATATCAAGGAGTTATCGATAGAGGAGAGGGGGATGGGCAGAATGCAAAGGCCACAGCCTACCCACGATAATGTGGTCATGACAGGCTACTGCAGGTGCTGTCTCCCATTCAGTTCCATCACTGACTGCTGTGACCGTGCTTATGTCAGGAGAATAGAAGCATGTGTGTGAGTGTATCCCAGTCATCATAAAGCACTGTATTCAAACACTGACAAGGACAGAGGATGCCATGAAAAACCATGGTGGTCAATGCACACAAGTACCTGCCTACGTCACAGACATACACACTTCAGATGACCCAGCTCCTCGTAACCCAGCTGTTAACAACCACCTCTTTGCTACCTAAGTACACAGAGAAGCAAGAGTATGTCACACACAACAAGAGACACTCTCCAACATGAATTTACTCTAATTCACTTAGAGACTAACAGCTCACAATACCACAAAAATTTTAAAAAACAGACCATCACTATGGCATTAATATCAACACTGTGAAGCTCAATGTTTCCTTTTCATGGCAGTAAAGATTTGTGTGATATAACCCAACCCAATCAGCTATTCCTTCTACTGCATCAAACTAACCAGGAGGGGAGAATTTCACACACCACAGGTGCACACTTGCCACCTACACCCCGAGACTTGCTAACATCAGACATCTAACATCAGAGAAAGTTCAAGACATCCTTCAAGTCCCACCACAAAAAGACTTCACAACATTGTAAAATATAAAACTAAATAATAACAGAATTTCATTGATGAATCAATAGCTGTATAACCCATAAGTCCTGCATCACTCTACTCTCCTGTATTTCTCAGACTTTCTGTAAATAGCCAACACTACATATTTCTTTTAATGTCCAGAAACACTGATATTTCATACATAGCGAGCACTAAAGCAGTGCTTAATTGATTGCAATATCACTTTCATACAATCACACAGCTCTGGGAAGCAATATAAAAAAATTACCTGACTCAATCAAGTATAAACAAATCACTTCTAGTGGATATTGTTCAGTAGGATAGATATTTATCATTCCTTCACAGGCCTTCTTCAACCTAGTTGTCTCATGAGGGAACTTGAAAATATAAAAGCATAACAAAGTAAATTCCAACAGCAATCAAACATACTGATGAACATTTTCATAATTAGAAACACACAAACATCACTTACTTTAGATAAGCACTGAAGGAAACGCTGATAAAGCCCTTGGTGCTCTTCACTGGGAATGCTGTCCGCTAAGTCCAGTGCGTTCTCAAATGCCATCCACAGCTGAAACACACCACACAGCTGTGATGCAGCATGCTAAGTGAAAACTGCGGCAAGTACTATACTGTATGGAGAGTCCTTTAAAAGCTGGGCAATGGTGGTGCATGCCTTTAATCCCAGCAATCAGGACACAGAGGCAAATGGACCTCTGTGAGTTCCAGGACAGCCAGGGCTAAAGACTCCTTTATAAAAACTAAACTTTCAACTTATGCCTGGCCCTCGTGAATCTTCTGCTTGTTTGGTCACATTTGCTTATTTATTTATTATTTATTATACATACAGTGTTCTGTTTGTTTATTATGTATAAGTGTCCTGCCTGCATGTGTGCCAGTACGACAGAAGACGGCACTGGATCTCATTACAGATGGTTGTGAGCCACCATGTGAATGCAGGGAATTGAACTCAGGACCTCAGCCATTTCTACAACTTGTTTGGTCAGATTTATAAGGTAAGGTGTCTCTCACTAGTAGCCCAAGGTAGCCTTGATGTTGTGGAAATCCTCTTCCTCAGCCTCCCAACTACAGGAATTACAGCTTGAGCCACCACAATCTGCTTAGTCCTGACAATTTAAATGAGGGGGGAAATGTCTATGTAAGCTTTAAAATACATCCTAACTCCAACTGGCCAACGGAGTATACTAAACTAGTAAGGGACAACTTCAAATTTAAAACATCGGCTTAATAAAGCATCTTCCCCTTCACTGCTGGTTGCTACAAAGCAGCCCACTAGAACATTATCCTGTATAGTAATATAACACCACAAGCACACTCTTTGGAAATTCACCCAGAGAAGGAAATCTTTCAAGTGTAGCACCTGACCCCTCACTGAAGAAGATTCTCTTCACAACAGAGACCATTACAGAAAACCACAATTCAAAATGCAGGGAACAACTGATCATGGGATGCCCACCTTGAACAGATGACTCTTTTAACACAACTCCTGCACCCAAGGCTCAAAGAACATTCCAGAAGAAGGAACAAAAAGATTTGAAGAGCCAGGGCACTAGGAAATCTGCTGCTACAAGGCAGCAGCACATCCTTGCTATCTCAATAACATGGCTGCTGAAAACAGACCTGAACGAGCACAACACCAAGGGCCATGCTAACATGGAAGTGGATCTCATGGCCCCACCTAGGCAAACAACTACAGGCAGCTAAGGAATATTGAGAGCATGAGTGGTCTCCCCAGGGAGCTGTCCCCTAATTGGTACCAATTCAGTACCAAGTGGTCAGCCCCGAAGTCAGATATATGCAAGCAACACTGGATGGACTTTATTCATATGAACTAATATATTTGTGCATATATAAAGTATGTATAATGAAACAAAGAAAAGAAGGCCAGGAATTTCAGAGAAAGTGGGAGGTTATAGCATGCAGGAGTTGGGAGAAAGGAAAAGGAGGAAAATGTAATTATATTTTAATTTTTTAAAAAAAGGACTAAGAAAAGTACAGGAGGTAAGGAGAAAGGGTAGAGAGATGGGTGAATATGACCAATGAATGTTCTTTGTATGAATGCCATAAATAAGCATGGTTAATACATGCTTATAAAAAATTGTTAGGTACAGTTAATCCTTAGTATGCAGGAGAACGAGGCAGGAGGATCAAGAACTGATGTCCAGGTTGGCCTGCCCCTTTCTGAGTGAATACAGAGGAGGGATAGATTGGGGGGCAGGGAAAGGGGGAGGCAAGAGAGGAGGAAAGGGAGGATGCAGTTGTGATGTAAAATAAACAAATAAATAAGAAAAAAAGAATTCCAAGCCAGTATGGGCTACATAATAAGATCCTGTCTCAAAATCAAAAACAAAACAAAACGAACAAAAAGTGTGCAGGTGTGTGTGTGAGTACGTGTGTGTGTGAGTATGTGTGTGTGTGTGTGTGTGTGTGTGTGTGTGTGTGTGAACTGGGGACTGGGAATAGGTCAATGTTCAGTATGGTCCTACAACATGCAAGCACTAGATTCAATTGTCAACACAGAAAATAAGGAAGGGTAGCAGAGAGGGGGAGAAGAAAGATGAAATGAAAAAGCAAGAATGAAGGGAAAGAGGAAAGGAGAGAGAGATGGGGAAAGGGAAGGAGAATGAGAAAGGTGGAAAAGGGAAGAAAACGAAGACAAGAGGAAGCTTGCTTACTACGGAACACAGAAACACAGGAGTTTGGGCCAGCCTGGGAAACTTAGTAATACATTATTCTTTTTCCTTTCCTTTCTTTTCTTTTTCTTTTTTTTCTTTTTATTTTTTTTTTTGTTTTTTTTTTTTTTTTTTTGTTTTTCGAGACAGGGTTTTTCTGTAGCTTTGGAGCCTGTCCTGGAACTAGCTCTGTAGATCTGTAGATGAGGCCAGCCTCAAACTCAGAGATCTGCCTGCCTCTGTCCCCGAGTGCTGGGATTAAAGACATGTACCACCTATTATTTTTTTTTATTTATGAATTTTCTTCCATAAGTAGAAGTAAATAAAAACTATATTTTACTAATTTTGGTATATGTTTGATACTGTGTTAACCAAGAAAAATAGTAAGGCTATATTATATAGATATTGCTTAACAGAAATTGATGAGCTACCCAATTTTGTCACTACTAAATTTCTCCTACAACTTCTTGTACAAGACAGTCATTACTACTGCATGTTATAATTGGATCTAAAAATATCCTTGAAAGGTCATGTGTTGAGGGTTTGGTCACCAGCCTGTAGTGAACTTGGTGGTGGCAGAAGCTTGAGGGAGTGAGGCCCAGTGTAAGGAAGATAGGTACCTGCAGCGGATCCTGGATCCCTTGGCTCTTTTCATCCTAGGCACCACAGGTGAACAGCTCTGATCTACACGGGCTCCCGACCCTGATGTCCTGCCTGCTCTACACACAGAGCAGGAGGGAGATACTCAGTGCCCACTGACACCTTTGAAGCTGTGCACCACTGTAAACCTTCCCTACTGACACCTTTGAAGCTGTGCCCCAGTGTAAACCTTCCCTACTGATACCTTTGAAGCTGTGCACCAGCATAAACCTTCCCTATTGATACCTTTGAAGCTGTGCACCAGCATAAACCTTCCCTATTGATACCTTTGAAGCTGTGCACCAGCATAAACCTTCCTTACTGATACCTTTGAAGCTGTGCACCAGTGTAAACCTTCCCAGTGACAGGGCTGAGTGGCACACTGACAACCGACAAATAGCTTCTTCTAACAGTTTTAATCCTCAACCCTTTGGGGACTGCCTGGCATACAGTATATTCTCAACAACATTTTCTAAACACGAGAACAAACTGATGACTGAACAGGTAAACATACACAAAGTTGTGTTCAGTCTGTAACTGCTAAGATGTTAAATCACACTCAAGTTAGTAAGAGGACAGTGTTACATCACTGTGCCTCCATCTTCTAACTGAATTAGGTATTGATTTTCATGATGGCAACCACGAGGAATAAACAAGTTGATACCATCTGCTGGGTTTCATTATCCTGATCCTCTATCTCCTCAGCGAGCATCTGAGTCAGTTTTCTCCACAGCTCGTAAAGCTCTTGCTTGTCTGCTCCGTCATCTTGCCGTGTCTTTATCAGTTTACTCCATGTCCGAGCCACCTATTGAAAAGGAGATTTCAATAGTTAAGTTACTTTAAACTTAAAATGTTTAACCTAAAGACCAAAATCATTTCATCCATTAACATGTAAAAAATAGCAAAAGTACAATATCCCATGCCATATGAACTCCAACAAAAAAAAAAAAAAAAGTGGGTTAGGCAAATTTCCAGGGTTCTTCTATGAGAAATGTCACTTAGACAAGAGACAGATGAGCACACCCCAGCCCCACAGTTTGTAATACATGGCTGCTAAAACCCACAGGCACACACTTAGTAAACGTAAACCAGAATCAAAGGTTAGAACTAGGATATCACAAATTGGAGTTCAATTTCCAAAACACTGTAATTTATTTCTCAAAATTTTTGATATCACACTATCTTAATTTTAACTTGTATTAAGCTAGATGAAGCCTTTTTCTAACCCTTTCACACACAGCCTTTAGAAGCCACCGACCAACCTCTAGGTATCTCTTTTCCTGGTGATGTAGATCCACGAGTTTCCTACAGACATCACACCACTTCTGCTTGTCAACACTTAGGTTAAAGAGAAGAAGAAAAGGAATTTTAATCTGATAGCGGAAACAAGCAAATACATTTGAAACAAGCCTTAGACATTTGAGACAACAGTGTTATTGTATACAACAAGTCTTTTGTAAAGGGTGAGGAAAGATCATCATTCATTATCTTGATCATAAATTTTAAAATTCCAAACTGAGTCAGTCATTGTAATAGTCTTTTCAGACTAATTCAATCACAGGAAATTCTGCGACAAATTTCTGGAAGAAAATAGCTCCTAAATTCTTAATTGATGTTAACAATCCTTCCACTTAGCTATTTTTGGGTGTCAAGAATCTGGAATTAACTTAAAACCCAAGCTGTTGGGCACAGGTTGAAGGGATTTTCTTGACTGAATCATTTGAGCTGGAAGACCCACCTTAAAATCTGTGCCACACCTTCTTGTGGCAGCCTATATAAAGGACATGAATGACATATCTGCTTGCCCTCACTCTGGCAAATCCATTCCTTTACTGGCACTAGACCCTACTTCTTTGAAATTCCTGAGTTTACCTCAGATCATCTGGGACACCCAACCTCATGGACAGAATTATTACTGGATTCATGGGCTTTCTCTGTTGCAATAGTCTCCTAAGTGCTTGGATTAAAGGTGTGACCGCCACTGCCCAGCTCTATATAATCTCTAATCACTCTTTCCTAAGTCAGGCTTGTAAAGACTCTGCCCTTTCCCCACCTGCTCCTCACCTTTCATAGAGATCCAACAGCTTTTGGTAAACCCCAGGTAAATCACCCTTAGCATTTTCATGATCACACTTCTCATACAAACTTGCTAGCCCCTAAAAAAGGAAGCAGCGGTTAGGACTCTTAGTAAAATCTCTCATGTCCCCACATTTATTTATTGTGTGAAATAATGCACTAACACCTAAAAATTACCAACGTTTACAGGTGAATTATGTGTGGATTTCCTTCCAAGTAAAGTGAAGTTTAAAAATCATCCATTTGGGTAGGAAGGTAAATAGTGATAAACAGTATCTTTGGCACCTAAAATTAACTTTTACATTTAGAAAATTTAATTTTTTTCATGAGACAGGCTTAAGTCCCTATTTTAACACAGGAGTCTACACTTGCTTTCCCATACTATAGGAAATGAAACACGTCCCCAGACCTGCTTTCCCATACTATACTATAGGAAATGAAACACGTTCCCATACCTGCTTCCCCATACTATACTATAGGAAATGAAACACGTCCCCAGACCTGCTTTCCCATACTATAGGAAATGAAACACGTTCCCATACCTGCTTCCCCATACTATACTATAGGAAATGAAACACGTCCCCATACCTGCCAAGCAAGCAGCTGCTCTGGCTCTAGTTCGGTAGCCTTTTTATAGGCACCCTGAGCCTGGTCGGGCTGTTCTAGTTCAGCCGCAGCAACACCAATGAAGACCCAGGCATTATAGTTGTTTTTTTCTTGTTTTAGCACTGTCTGATTAAGAAAAAAAAAAAGATGAGAGTAAGTTATTAACTTTTGAAAACTAATGAACAAGCAACAAAGCAATAGCCAGGACACTGGATCTGGCACCAACAGCGCACAGAACAGTCCTCTGTAGCCAGGTACAGTGAAGGAAAGATCGTAAGGATTTGGAACATGAGGTACCTTTTAGTAAAATGCCCAAGGGGTCTTGATACCTACATAAAATGACCTCACCCTTACCCCATGAGAATGTTGAGTAGAGAAGAGCAGCAATTCCTAGTCGCATCCCTGCCTCCAAATCACTGCAACCAACTCCAATATTGCCTTTTCCATAATAATACACTCCAAAATTAAAGATGAATTCTCTGTGGCAGTGATAGATAAATTCATCCTAATATAACTATACCAAGCAAATCAACAAAGGCAATAAATGTTTAAATAATACCTGTCATCAAGAACAAAATTATACACAGAGATATTTCTTTGAGAAATATGAGTATTTACTAAAGTAAAGTAAATAGCTTAAAACAAGATTAATATATTCTAGGGAAAGGAAAAAACTAGGAGCTAAATTAAATCTGGCTCTCAAGGTTTTGCATATTCTAAGGAAAGTCACACTTCTATGAGTTGAACCTATGATGTGGGATTCCCCTCTGTATGCTGTGAAACCACTGTTTAACAAAGAAACTGTCTTAGGACTGGGCAGGGCAGAATAGAGAGGTAGGTGGAGAAAACTAAACTGAATGCTGGGAGAAAGAAGTCAGAGTCAGAAAGAAGCCATGTAGCCCCACCGGACACAGAGGCTGAAACGTTACCCGGTTAAGCCACAGCCTCGTGGCAATACACAGATTAACGGAGATGGGTTAATTTAAGATATGAGTTAGCCAGAAATACGCTTAAGGTATTGGCCAAACAGTATTGCAAATAATATGTTTTCTGTGTGATGATTTCACTGCTGAGCAGCCAGGAACAAGTGGCCTCCTACAACAGATTGCTGCTCCAATGTGTGCTAGCTAAATCCACATAAAACCTGAGAGAGCTTGGAAAGGAATTCTAGATACCAGCAAGCAAAGTTTAGTCACATTTTTTTTTTTTTTTGGATGGGCTCTGGTTCCTGGCGACATGCTGCAGCTCCTTTAAGAGAGGTCTTCCTGACTCAGTGGTAGCAGAAAAAAAAGCCATGCTGTTTTGAAACAGCTTCCTGGGCCATGCTGCCAATGCGAACTCTGATGCGTTCTGGCTATGGAGCATTTAAATGGGGTTTGTGAGCAGAGTGCTACAACTTGCTTAAGGGCAACATAGACCTCTGTGTACCTGAAAACAGGGCAATGTACATGGCTCTCAGAGGCAGTGAACATGTCTCTGCTATGCTGGACTACACAGAGTAAGCAGGCAGGACTGCAGAGTTGGTCTCAGCCATGCCCACTTAGCATTTAAAAAAAGTGCTCCTGGTCAAAAACTAATTACAGATACACAATAAAAACAGATTCAGAAGAAAAAGACCTCTAAATGGGTCAGTGTGTTTTAAAAATGTACATAGGCTTGGGAGGGAAAAGAAAAGGAGTAAAGAGATAGTAAATGTAATATAAAAGAGTACAGACAGTCATAGATTAAAGAAGTAAAGATTAATAAAATAAATATTAAACTACTAGAAAAAGTAATAGGAGGAAAGAAAAATAAGTCATGTAAAGATGGAATATACACAGAGAGTCTGGATTATGTGTATTATTGTGTTTTCTTTAAATTAACTGACTGTAAAAGAGATAAGAGAGATATTTCATTGTATGGGCTGCTAAGCTAAACCAGCAAATATACTTTAAAGGTATCTTGATTTCAGAATTTGGGTCTAAGGATATGTTACTTTGGAAAAGAGGTTCTTCTTTTGTTTCCACAGAAGATGAAAACCTATGGATTTCTTCCACACTAATGTGATTTGATGGACCAAAAGGTCTCCCTGAAAACCCTCCCGAAAATACTTTGCTCAAAAAAAAAGTAGGAAACAATTTGGAGAGAACTACACCCAAACTCCCAAATATTGTTTATAATGTTTGTCTACATTTAAAGAGGTATATGCTATAGAGATTGGTATGAATTTTGGTTTATTGATACAAATTTTAGGTCAATTTTGTTATATATATATATATATTCTCTTGATTAAGGTATTGTGTTTGTGCAGCTCATTTAAAAAAACGTAATATATAATCACCTATAATAGTCAAGCTTGTAGTCATGTTAGTTAGGCTTTGTAGATGTACAGAGATGTATTTCAGATGGAGAGGCACTCAACAAACCTTTCAAAGACTACAGAATATGTCATTTAAAATGTTTAAGAACTCAGAACTTTTCATGACAATAAGATACATCTGCTCCTGGCAGCACCAATTACTTCAAAAGGAAAATGGGCATCAAAGAGACTTCTTATGGAGTTTACTAGCCATTTGGACAAGAAACTGCTCCTGCCTGGACTGCTTGATGCTATGCTGTCTGAACTGGACGTGCAGTACCCACAGAGAAATGACTGCTGAACTTGACTAAAGGCGAGATGATCCTTCAGGGTTCTTGCTTCATGAAAGAGTCTGCAAGACATTCTGCAGGACACAGAAAAAAGTGACTGACAAACTGCCAATATAGGTGGAACTGTCTTCAAAATTTCCTGCTTCATGCCAGATACTATGGGCCTGTAGGCTGAAGATAGATGCTTCAATGATACAGAAGAACTTTGGGTGACTGTGCAGGAAGCAAGATGTCTCTGTCAATTCTAGAATTTTGGAAGTTGCTTACAAATGCACTTCCTGTTTACTTAGGTAATATTATATCCTTCTGGAGTCTTTGATGGAGTTGAAAAACAATTATAGTTTTTGTTAGTTATGATAAAAGATAAAGTAGACATAACTATTGTAACTGTAATTCTTGCTTGATACCTGTTTGGTTATATGTAATTTTACTATGCTAAAGTTAAAACCTTTACCAAGTAAGCCACAGCCTCGTGGCAATACACAGATTAACGGAGATGGGTTAATTTAAGATATGAGTTAGCCAGAAATACGCTTAAGCTATTGGCCAAACAGTATTGCAAATAGTATGTTTTCTGTGTGATGATTTTGCTGCTGAGCAGCCAGGAACAAACAAGCGGCCTCCATTAATTAGGCTTATGTGCACCCACACTCTCCCAGCAATCTGTCACCATGTACTATACAAGCGGCACTTTATTCAATACTGATGCCTCCTACAAAACTCAGCAAAAGTTAAACTCCAGTACTAGAGGCTTGTTCTGCTTCTGTTCCGAACACCAAGAATGATGGTGGCACATAACTGCTTATCAAATGACACAAGCTACATGTCAACCGCCAATCAGTAATTACTGTCTGACTAATGATCAAGGTTTCAGAATGTGAAGTACATTTTTAAAGAAACAATCACACATAAAAGAAATGTGGTAAAAATAGACAGAAGATTCTGGGAGAACACAAAGAAGAAAATACCTAACTATATGAACATAAACTGGAGCCATCTTCCCCAAAGGAAGGCTTATCCCCTGCTGTAGAGCTCCACCAGACAGAACCACAACAAATCTATTCTCGGGTAGCTTTTCTTTAGTCTCAACCCATTTTGGGTTACTACAAATAAGAGACATCTCCCATTGCTTAGTTCTCCACTTATAGTCTAAGTCAGGATTTTTGCCATTATAAATTATGAGAAATTTGGTGAAATTCACATCAAACTTTTGCAAAATCCCCACAGAAAGATATCCATGCTGAGTAATGTAATAAAAATATAGGCCAGTAAAATGGCTCAGTGCGCCACCCAGGCTTAAGGAACTAAGTTCAGGCCCTAGGACTCATATAAAGGTAGAAAAAGAGAACTGGTTGCATAATGTCCTCTGATCTCCACATGTGTGTGCCACATGGCATGCACACGTACATTACACCCATGCACACGTACATTACACCCATGCACATACACACACACTAATAATAGTAATAACAACAACAGTCTAGCCGCGTAATCATATACACATGGTGACTTAGGTAAGCCCAGTGCTGGAAGAAGCAGGCTCTCCATCTGACCACATCTGCTCCACCCTCTATGCGAGCAAACTCTCAGTTCCGCATCTCATCAGTACCATAGTGCCTTCATTCCTACAGGTCTCGGGCATCACTGTACTGGTATGAACAAATGTGTCACATTCAGAAAGGCTGACACTTTTTCTGGACCTCACAGCCAAGTAAATAATAAACCTTGAGGCCATGCAGGACTTAGGCTTGATAGCCTGCTGTATACTCAGCCTACTTGTTCAGCCTGCCTTTAAGAGTACAACGTTAACAGACAACTTTACTTGTTTTGGACTTCCCACAGGTCTGAATGGATGCTACAATAATCATTTGCTGAAAACATCAAGTTAAGAAGTGTCTGTATAAACAAATATTCACCATAAACATTGGGAGCAATGTGGACATAACTTGATAACTCTGATTAGGTTTTCTTAGGTTTGCTTTTCTGAGTACTTCTGGATCAGTAAGTTCAATCTTGTAAAACTGTTAAAGGGTTCTGTAAAGTAGCCCTTATTCCTTCCCTTTGTGATGTTCTCTATGCTGACCAATAGAAGTTAGCAAAGCCCCTTGTATGGACAGAGTCAGAGACAGCATTCAAGCAGAACAGATTCAGACTCATGATCACATAGAGGCCTGGAGCCATGAACTACAGGCAGATGGAAGACAGGGGAGAGAAGTAGGGAATTCAGAACTGGGCTTGCTCTTGGCCAAACGACTCCAGGAGCAAATGCTTTGATTGCTTTCCTCACTGTAGCACCAGTGTGCTCCGGTGTCTCTGAGGCAGCCTCCAATGTGTTAGCCAACGCGCCTACCCCCAATTCAATTACTATGATAGTGGACAGATGCTGTGGATTCTGACTTCTGAAGCCTCCTCTCCCCGACTCCTGTTTACCCTCATGATCCATCACTGTCACACAAGCGCAGCCATCACACCTTGCCTCTCTTCCTTCCTTCATCGTTCTCAACTCCATCACTCACCGAGTTCACTTTAATAACACAAAACTTCCAGTGGACACTTATTAGGGTCAAGCAATTCTTCAAACTCTTACTCATAAGCTTGCAATCCTTTGGCCTCTTACGCATAAGTTTTCGCAGCATAAATAACAACTGCTTCAAACCTGCTTTAGTCTCAAACTAAAGCAGCAATGTAAGCACCTCATCTCCTACCATCAACGTGAGCACCTCATCTCCTACCATCAACGTGAGCACCTCATCTCCTACCATCAACGTGAGCACCTCATCTCCTACCATCAACGTGAGCACCTCATCGCCTACCAACCATCAACGTAAGCACCTCATCTCCTACCAACCATCAACGTGAGCACCTCATCTCCTACCATCAACGTAAGCACCTCATCTCCTACCATCAACGTGAGCACCTCATCTCCTACCAACCATCAACGTGAGCACCTCATCTCCTACCATCAACGTGAGCACCTCATCTCCTACCAACCATCAACGTGAGCACCTCATCTCCTACCAACCATCAACGTGAGCACCTCATCTCCTACCATCAACGTGAGCACGTCATCTCCTACCGTCAACCACACCACCAAAAGTAGACGCCATCAGAGAAAAATGTTCTTAGTTTTCCACTGCCAAATCACAAATGGAGCCCTGCATGGATCTGTCCCTATCTTTTCTCCTGCCACAACAGAAGAGGAGTTAAAGGCTTCCTGTCACACTCTGCGTCGTCGCAGAGGGTGATCTCCCTAAGGACTTCACTTCTACCTCTACTATCTGTTTCTCCACCACATTCAACTTCTCTGTTTAACAGGAACATTCCCATCAGGACGTGAGGAAGCTTTAGAATCTTTTTTCTTCCACCCACTGGTCAGATAGAAACTGGAATGTCAACATTCCTCAAAATAATAAAATGCTAGGTAGGCAAGGTGGCCCAGAGGTTAAGGTGCATGCTATCAAATCCAATGATTTGAGTCAAGTCCCAGGACTGACACAGCAGAAGGAGAAATGACTCCTACAATTTGTCCTCTGACCTCCACAGCACAACACACATAACAGATACATTTTGTAATGTGATACAATAATAATAGTGCTAAAGTATAGTTGCTTTCCATAATGCATGGTGCTTATGATACGTCTGGTTTTAAGAACATGTCCTTGGTAATTTAGCAATAAAGAAAATCAAGTGCAGCAATAATAGCCTACCCCATTAATAAGGAGATATGCTCTATAGGTTCTACCATTGTCTGAATGTGGACAGTAAATGACTTATACCTTAAAATAACTCATAAGTTGGTACTATATTTGGCTGCCAAGGAAACAAATATCCTTTACCTTGCAATGTTTCAAAGCTTCTTTGTACTCTTTGTTTCTGATTGCGTCTCGTGCACTCTTCAGGGCAGTCTTCACTTCTTTGCTCGACATTCTATCAAGACAAGAAGTCACAGTGAACATACAATAATATCTCCCCAATGAAAAGAGTCCCAAAAACTGAACCGTGTGAAAACGAGACATCTACTTCCTGCTCTCTGGGACAGTCTGCCCCCTACTCTACACATAGTTCCTCAGATTTCTACTCCAATGTCTGTTCCACATTGGAACCTCCCTGAATGAGTTACTTAAAATTTTGCTCCTTCCACATCCTACTCAAAACCGTGTATTTTCCCTTCTACCCTTCCCTTGCTTTACTTTACTTCAAATGCTCAACACATCTCCTGTACGTATGTTCTATGGCTCTAGCCTACTGTGTGTAGAGTCTAGTTCTGTATAAATAGGGTTTTGTCTGCTATTGCTTTTTCGGCTCCAGGATTAGTATCTGACAAATGGTAGGTGACCGGTAGGTGCATGTTGAAACTGAGCTGTGTTAGAATTCCACTCACTCTCTACACATTTAGCTAAAGTACAGATGATCTTATGAACAAGAACCTACAATACATAGTAATTCCAATCCAATTTAATAAGCAAGATCCAGTAGAATAAGCTAAAGACAGAGAAAAACATAAATAGCTTTGGTAACTAAGATGAGAGAATTTTTTAAAGGCCAACATAGTTATTTTAATACTAGATTCTGTGCCATGTAAACCAGAATACTGTCCTCATATTGAAGATTACTGTAATATTACTTTCTCTAATGAGAAATAATGTAAATGTTTACACAGGGATAGAAGACCGTGCAAAACTGCACACTAATACCAGCCATGAAGAGACACTACATGTGCCCAAGTGTGATATCAATTTCTGTAATCCCATCATCAGGGAGGCAGAGGCAGGAGAATCATGAGTTCAAGGCCATCTTCTGCTACACAGCAAGTTCAAGGCCAACCTTTGCTACATGAAACTTTAACACTCTGTATATTGATTTTTTAAAAATAAGATTTTAAAAATTTCAAAGATATATTACTTCATCAGCAAAGCACTTTATTTAATATTACAATATAGTAATTTAATCATAAAGTAGTCCATGTTAATATTTTACAAATTACCAACTTACCCAAAACAAATAAAATCACAATACAATGTTTAAAAGAGAAACATTTGTATTTTCTGCTTACTTGACCTATTTCTAATCTTATCATAAAGATAAAGCAAATAAAGTTGATTATTGTTCTCTCAAAGTCTGTGAAGAATTGTGTTGGGATTTTGAAGGGAATTGCATTGAATCTATAGATTGTTTTTGGCAGGATTGCCATTTTTTCTAGGTTGATCCTTCCTATCCAAGAGCATGGGAGATCTTTCCATTTTCTGGTATCTTCTTCAATTTCTTTCTTCAAAGACTTAAAGTTCTTGTCAAATAGGTCTTTCACTTCCTTGGTTAGTGTTACCCCAAGATACTTTATGCTATTTTTGGCTATTGTGAAATGTGATGTTTCTCTGATTTCCCTCTCCACTTCTTTATCCTTTGTGTATAGGAGGGCTACTGATTTTTTTTTTTTTTTGAGTTGCTCTTGTATCCTGCCACATCACTGAAGGTATTTATCAGCTGTAGGAGTTCTTTGGTAGAGTTTTTGGGGTCACTTATGTACACTATCACATTATTTGCAAATAATGAATGTTTGACTTCTTCCTTTCCAATTTGAATCCCCTTGATCTCCTTATGTTGTCTTATTGCTATTGCTAGAACTTCAAGAACTATGTTGAATAGATATGGAGGGAGTGGACAGCCTTGTCTTGTTCCTGATTTTAGTGGAATTGCTTTGAGTTTCTCTCCATTTAATTTGATGTTAGCTGTCGGCTTGCTGTATATTGCTTTTATTATATTTACATATGATCCTTGTATCCCTAATCTCTCCAATACCTTTATCATGAAGGGGTGCTGAATTTTGTCAAATTCTTTTTCTGGAACTGGAAGCAGACAAGATCGCCTGACAAAATTGGGGAGCATGGTGGCGGAGAATGGGGGGTAGAGGAAAGGGAGAAGGGGAGAAGGGGAGGGTTGGGGAGATCTTGAGGGAATGGGATAGTTGAGATGGAGGAAGGACAGATATGAGAGCAAGGAAAGGGATATCTTGATTGAGGGAGCCATTCTGGGGTTAGCAAAAAATCCAACTCTAGAAAAATTCCCAGGAAGGATAACCCCAGCTAAGACCCTAAGCAATAGAGGAGAGGGTGCCTGAACTGGCCTTACCCTGTAGTCAGACTGATGATTATCTTAAATATCATCATAGAACTTTCGTCCAACAACAGATGGAAACAGAAGCAGAGACCCACATGGGAGCACTGGACTGAACTCCCAAGGTCCAGCTGAAGAGCAAGAGGGAGAGTATGAGCAAGGAGGCAAAGACCATGAGGGGTTCACCCACGAGACAATTTGCCTGAGCTAATGGGAACTCACCAACTCCAACTGGACTGGGAATGAACGAGCATGGGAGCAAACTAGTCCCTCTGAATGTGATTGACAGTTGAGGCTGACTGAGGGGCCAATGACAATGACACTGGGTTTTGTCTCTAATGTATGTACTGGCTTTTTGGGATCCTATTCTCTTTAGATGTATACCTTGCTCAACCTAGATGTAGTGGGGAGAACCTTGGACTTTCCACAGGGCAGAGTGTTGATGGAGGAAGGTCATTGGCTAATAAAGGAACTGCCTTGGCCCATTTTCTTGGTTAGAGGATAGGTGGGAGGAGTAAACAGAACAGAACGCTGGGAGGAAGAGGAAGTGAGCTCAGTCTCGACAGCTCTCCTCTCGGGAGCAGACGCCTGAGAGAGACGCCATGCCCTGCTCCCGGGATGAAGCTCCGACCCAGGATGGACATAGGCTAGAATCTTCCTGGTAAGCGCATCTTGGGGTGCCATACACAGATGATTAGAAATGGGCTAAATTAATATATGAGAATTAGCCTAGAAGAGAATGGGCCAAGCAGTGTTTAAATGAATACAGTTTGTGTGTTGTTATTTCAGGCATAAGCTAGCCGTGCGGGCGGCTGGGGTGCTGGGGATGCAGCCCCGCCGCCCCTATTACTACAGATTGGCACCCAACGTGATGGACTAAACCCACTTAAAAAACCTGAGAAGGCTTAAAAATAAGGGAGAGAGAGTTTAACACAGATTTTTGCTGTTTGTTGGTGGCGTGCTGTAGAGAGATTTCCTGATTCGGCAACAGTAGCAGAAAAACCGCTGTGTCATTTTAAAGCACGACTTCCTGGGGCTGTGTCGCCATTGAGATCTCTGTCTGGCTCCTGCGGGAGACAGAGCTTTTGAATAGAGCATTTGGAGTAAAGTGCTACGATTTGTTTGATGGCAACTAGACTTGCTGTGTTCTCGGGTCTGCTCTGCTTGTTAGAGGCAAACATGCGCTTTCATCTAAGAGAGGCTTCCTGACTCAGCTTTAGCTGCAAAGCCTGCAGCTCATTAAGAGGTCCTGCCACGAAACACTTAAACGGTGTTGACGAAAAGCTGAACGCATGCTTTTCGGTTTTCAGCCGTAGCAGGAAAAAAGCTGCGCCGTTTAAAAATGCCGGCTTTCTGGGCTGTCCTGCCAGGACAAACTCTGACTCTTTTACGCAGGTGGTTTGTGCGGTTTGCAAGCACAGGCTGCTGAAGCTCGCTTGCTGGCTAGAGCCAGTACCTCAGCCATGAGGCTGGAAAGCTAAGAAATGGGCTGGATCCAGCTGGCAAAGCCACGCCTTTAATCCTACTGATATTGCTTGGTAAATTAAAGACTCGTGTGGTCAGAAAAAGAGAGATATACAGTAAAGAGAGATTCAAAGACAAAGAAAATTTCTAAATGGTTTGAAGTGTGTTAAAAATATATGCAGACTAAAATTTAAAGTTCTTAAAGTAACAAAAAAAAAAAAAGGAAGAGAGTTGTTGTGTGTGGTACACACCTTTAATCCCAACACTTGGTAGGCAAAGGGAGATAGACCTCTGTGACTTCAAGGTGTGGTAGCACACGCCTTTAATCCCAATGCCTGGGAGGCAGAGACAGGCGGATCTTTGAGAGTTCAAAGACACCTGGTCTACAGAGTTACTTCAGGTCAAAGATACGGAGAACCTGTCTCAAAAAGCAAAAAATAAAAGTAAAAATAAACGAAATAGAGGTTAAAACAAAGCTGTACAAAGATGGAAAATACACAGAGAATCTTGATACTGTATGCTATTATGCTCCCTTTGAATTATTTGCTGAGGAAGGAGCAACAGCTGCTAAAAGATATTTATTTATAAATACTGCTGAACTAATCCAACACAGATATTTTGAATTTGGATCTAAGGATATGATACTTTGGAAAGGAGTTTCTTATTTTGTTTTCACAGAGGATGAGACCCTGTTCATTTCTTCTATTCCGATTTGGTATGATGGACCACGTCCTCCTGAATGGTTCCTGTGCACGCCTTCAAAAAATTGCTTCGCTCAACTGCCAACTGAGATGAAACTAGCACACAGGTTATACGATGAAAGACCTAATTAATGACGCCCCCATTCAGCAGGAAGCAGTTTGGAGAGAAAAAACTGCACCCATATTCCCAAATATGGTTTATAAACGTTCTTTTACATTTAAAGGGGGATATGATATAGATATGAATAATTTACATTAGTATAGATTTTGCTTTATTGATAGAGATTTAAGGTCAATTTTGTTATATGTATAAGTGTTTCTGATTTTGATTAAGGTATTGTGATTGTGTAGTTCATTTAAATATGTACTGTATAATTAAGAAATATAGGTTGTTAATGGATAATCATCGATAATAGTAAAGCTTGTAGTCATGTTAGTTAGATTTTCTAGATATATAGAGATATATTTTAGATAGACATTCTTCATGTCTTTCAAAGATTACAGAATAGGACATTTAATGTTTTAATAACTGAGGACTTTTCATGACAATGAGACACTCTGCTCCTGGCAGCACCAATGTACTTCAAGAGGAAGATGGGCATCGAAGAGGCACCTTATGGAGTTTGATAGCCATTTGGGCAAGAAACTGCTCTTGCCTGGACTATTGCATAAACTGGACACAGAGAACCCGCAGAGAGAGGACTACTGAACTTGCCTAAGGTGAGATGATCTTTCGGGGTTCCTGATTCATGAAAGAGTCTGCGAGACATTCTGCAGGACACAACAGATAGTGACTGAACTGACTTTGAATTTTCCTGCTTTATGGAAATGTCTGCTGGATACTATGGGCCTGAAGGCTGAAGATGGATGCCCCAACGGTACAGAGGAACTTTGGGTGACTGTCCAGGCAGCAAGATGTCTCTGTCATTTCTAGAATTTTAAAAGTTACTTTTTTCTTGTTTGCTTAGGTAGGTTTGTATCTTTCTGGAGTCTTTGATGGAGTTAAGAATAGTTAGTTATAGTTTTCCTTAGTTATGATAAAGATTATTGTAACTTTTACTTGATAACTGTTTTGTTATGTGTAATTTTGCTAATTTAAGGTTAAAGCCTTTTTTTTTTTAAACCGAAAAAGGGGAAATGATGGAGGAAGGTCATTGGCTAATAAAGGAACTGCCTTGGCCCATTTTATTGGTTAGAGGATAGGTGGGAGGAGTAAACAGAACAGAACGCTGGGAGGAAGAGGAAGTGAGCTCAGTCTCGACAGCTCTCCTCTCGGGAGCAGATGCCTGAGAGAGACGCCATGCCCCGCTCCCGGGATGAAGCTCCGACCCAGGATGGACATAGGCTAGAATCTTCCTGGTAAGCGCATCTTGGGGTGCCATACACAGATGATTAGAAATGGGCTAAATTAATATGTGAGAATTAGCCTAGAAGAGAATGGGCCAAGCAGTGTTTAAATGAATACAGTTTGTGTGTTGTTATTTCAGGCATAAGCTAGCCGTGCGGGCGGCTGGGGTGCTGGGGATGCAGCCCCGCCGCCTTTAATTACTACAGAGTGCCTTGTCCTCTCTTAAGATTGGAGGGGGTGGGGAAGGATGTGTGGAGGGAGTGGGAAGGGAGTGGGAGGAGAGGAGGAAGTGGAAATTTGGATTGGTATTTTTTTAAGTAATAAAATAATAATAATAATAATAAAAGATAAAGCGAAGACGGATGGAAGATAGATAGATAGATAGATAGATAGATAGATAGATAGATACTATATAGCTACAGACTCTAGATATTCAGAGTAACAAACTAGGTGACCACCACAGCACACTGCCATAGTATTCAAATGTAGTATGGGGACACAATAAATATTCTACCACCATAAGCACACTAACACATTATAAAAGCACCATACATGAACACAATCTATTATGAACACAGTACATGAACACTTTATACAAACACGTACACTAACATAGTACACTAGCATTGTACACACAGTACACTAACACTTTAAACAAAGTAACTAATATAACAATGCAGTACACTGAACTGACACTGTACACTAACAGTTTACACTGACACAATTCACTCATGTAGCACATGTAGGTCCATATTTCTATGAGGTATGGCGACCAGAATCCCTGGCCATAGTTTGCACCTGCCACACAGGAGGTCGTCGGTCACCTAGCCTGTCACCATCCCTAACAATGGGTCAGGATGTTGTTCTGCTCCTTCTTTGTAATTTGGAGGAAACCTGGGATAGAGATGATAATTCAGCCTATGTGACAGAGCTGGCATACAGAGCAGGAAGATAGGAAGACATGACAGAGCAGGCATAGATGGGTGTGGACGTGACCACAACCATTCACCTGGTTACCTAGGAAGCAGAATGCTAATGAATTTCACCCTCAGTTTATGTTTTGGGATATAAGGCTGTTCGGAGAATAAACACAGAGAAATTTTCAGGATGTGAACTGAGGATTTCCTGAGGGATCACTGAGAATCTCCCTCCTGATAAAGCCATGTGAGTTGTGTCTTTAATCCCACGACTCCCCTCTGGTACTGGAGAAATAATTTAGGGTCCAGGCTGGTACCAGACCCCGACAAGTACACTAACTCAACACAGTAACCCAGTACACTAATTTAATACACTAACACAGCACACAAACATGCTACACTAATGTAATAAATACACTAACACTCTCCTAGCAGTGCACTACCATGGTACACTAACAGATTATACTAACACAGTATACTAACACAGTGCACTAACATGGTACACTAACAGATTATACTAACACAGTATCCTAACAGAACATTACCAGTACATTCCAGCCAAAGTGAAATGTACAAATATAAAACAAATCTATGATGTTGGAGATGTCAAGATAAGAGTATTTTAACTTAAAGCAAGCTGGTATTCAGAATAATACAAAAATTAATACATTATAAAATCACTTTAGCTGTGAGACATTCAGATTTCCCAAATACTTGTTGCAATAATTACTTAATTTAAAACAGCACATCACATTCTAGCACCTTTGATACTACTGTCTTACGTGAAAGTATCTCAATATTAATTCAGAGGTGAATTGGAGAAAAAAATCTTTTCAGTCTACAAATCTTAATGGCAGCAACTAATAAAGTTCAGTGCTGATTTCACGTTAACTTTCTCAAGTCACATTCCTTCTATTAAAAAAACCTGTAGACTAAAAGAAAGACATAAATGAGGATGACTGACCTGGACAAATAAAGAGAGATACCCAAGTCGAAAGAAAGAGAGGGGGAGGGGAGGGGAGGGAAGGGGAGGGAAGGGAAGGGAAGGGAAAAGAGGACTTTATGTGGGAGCATGCACAAATTAGAAACAACATGTGGACCCACGCTCAGCTCACCCATGCATGACGAAACACAAAAAGACCCTGCTGCTCTGAAGAATACAATCTAAAGCTGGAGAGACATCTAAGACATCATGTGAACCATGAGAGAACCAAATGTTAAAGATTAAGAAGAAAAGTCCTGTAGGAATTTAGAGAAGGTGTGTTGGGTAAGCACACAATGACTACTAGGAGAAGACAGGACATAACAGTGGAGAGGAAAAGAATTCCAGTCAGAGAAAGGGGAGACAGGAGGAGGGGAGAAGGAAGAGGAGTGAGAGAAAGCACAGCCGCCTAAGATGTTAGATCTTAAGAGTCAGGTGGATGAACGTAGAATAAGGACAGCAGCAGGGAAACATTATGACGGTGTAAGTTATTTTGAAGCACACTAGAGACAGGCACACTTTCTCTTGATAACAGCTGCCGTATTCAATACCTTCCATAGCTCTGTGTTTCCACATGGAATTCTTTACACTACAATATAACCATCCCTTCTCTTCTCACTCCTTCCTCCTTTATATACAGGCTCTCAGGTATTCCCTTCATCAAACACATATGCATGTATGAGTGCACAATGTGTATGCATGTTAATTCCAAACACTCCTAAGAGTGCCACTCCCTATGATGTTATCGGGGCCAAATGCATTCAAACTACCACATATTTGTTTTAACCTGTAGTATAATTTAAAAAAAAAAAATCTATTGAAGGAATGGTAAAGAACTATTAAGTAAAGACAGACTGCCTGCTTGTTACTTAGCAACCCACTCAGTTCCTACCTGTTATCACACCTGCATCTTCTTTTTGACCTGGATGTCAATCTGCTCCTTACCCACTTTTTTCATCTAAATTAAGTAAAACAACCATGAAATGGTGATATAAAACACCCAAACCCTTTGAAAGTTTTTAAAAATCAGATTCACCATGATCATAATGTGGGAGCTGATGTATGCTGTGAATATGCTTTATTGCCATTAGTTAATAAAGAAACTGCTTTTGACCAATGGCTTAACAGAGTAAAGTCAGGCTAAAAGAGATAGAGAGGGAGAGCAGGCAGAGTCAGGGAGAAACCACGTAGCTGCCGCTGGGGTAGCTGCCGCTGGGGACACGACTTTGTGGTGATGCATAAACTAGAGAAGATGGGTTAGTTTGAGATATAAGAGCTACCTAGAAATATGCTTAAGCTATCAGCCAAACAGTATTGTACATAACGTGGTTTCTGTGTGATTATTTCAGGGCTGAGCAGCCGGGAATGACTAACAGCCTTCCGCCCACATGATCACAATCTTAAACGTGAGAAAATCTGAACAGACATGTAGAGAGTAGGTGGAGTCGAGGAGACACCATGTAGTTACCAAAAAAGAAAGATGCAAACCGCCATCCAGAACCCTACTGGTAGGCCATAACCTCGTGGTGATTCACAGATTAATAGAAATGGGTTAATTTAAGATATAAGAGTTAGCTAAAATATGCATACGCTATTGGCTGAACAGTGTTATAATGAATATAGTTTCTGTGTTATTATTTGGGTCTGGGTGGGTGGCCAGGAAATGAATGCGCAGTCTTAGAATATAGGAGGTGATCACAGGAAGACACAAAAGGCAGGGAAGTGCTGAGATGATGTAACTACAGCACACATACATTTTTTTTTAAGTTTAAAAACATTACTCAGCCCATCTGCAACTTCATCCCTTGCTCTCTGAAGAGGTAAGTTTCTTGCCTGCTTAACTGCCAACAAACACTGAGTATGTCCTCTTCAAATAAGCCAGGACATAAGTACTAGCAAAAAAGCCTGCGCTATCCTGATCTACTCAACTCGAATGCAGTAGAATTTTTTAACTGTTCCACCGAGATGTGTGTTCTTCTCCAATTCAGTAAGTGTCCAAAAGCAAGGTTCATATTGCTTGGAGCCCCTTAAATAATCAATCTCTGCTGGCTAGTTTTATGTCAGTTTGACACAAGTTAAAGTCATTGGGGGAGAGAACCTCAAATGGGGGGAGAGAACCATTAGACTGGGTTGCAGGCAAGCATGTTGAGAGCATTTTCTTAATTAGTGACTGCTGGGAGCGGGCCCAATCTATTGTGGGTGGGACCACACCTCAGCTGGTAGTTCTGGTTTCTATAAAAAAGCAGGCTGAGCAAACCAGTAAGCCTCACCCTTTCATAGTCTTTGCATCAGCTCCTGCCTGCCCTGTTGGAGTTCCTGTCCTGACTTTCCTCCCCAAGTTGCTTTGGCCATGGTGTTTCACCATAACAGCAGTAACTCTAACTAGGGCACAATCTTCTTGAGTAGTACATATAAGACACACCACAATCTAGCAACAAAATCTAGATCAGCAAAAGGAATGTCTCAGCACTCACACATCACTCTTGGATAGCCCTCCAGTTCTCTGTGTATCAGTGCTTCTCCCAACCATTCATTCTACTTACTTCTGCCTATTCTCATGTTACTCAAAATTAAAGGCCAAGGTGAAGTGTCAAGCATACAATCTGACCCATACCAAATTGACACTAGTCTGATCCTGTAACATTTATGACCTATGCCAGCATTTCCAAAAGTATATTTCAAAGAACATGCTTGAAGGTATTACTCCATGGTGCAGGAAATTTGTGTTCACCACAAAGATCTCACTCTTCAGTCTCAATATATACTGCTACCTTAAAGCCTCTGGGAAACCCTAACACCCCAACAAGCTGAGGCAGCAACCACCTGACATTTTAAAGACACCAGCATGCTCCAGAACATAACTTGAAATTACTGTTTTTGTGGTTTTTTAATTCAACCATTACTCATACTTTTTAATACCTTTCTAGATGTATATCTGTATGTTTCCCAAAACTGACTGGAAGTTCTTTAAGAAATTCTGTTGTTACTTTGGATATTAAAAGACCTGCAGAAGACCACAAGCTAGACCCAGAATGTTCAACTGAAGACCTAACATCTAAAGAGTAAAGTACTTTTACTAAAGCAACCTGAACCTAACATAGAAATCATTAGCTAATGATCATAGACAATACAGACCTGAGCCTGTTGTGGGGATAATTGTATCCCTGTGTTATATAGTAATTTTTTTTTCCAAATTAAAGCATTCCATCCTGGAGGGAGGCTTAAGACTCAGAAAGTAAATAAAGCTTATGATGCTCAAGAAAAAATTCACAAGTCTCAGAAATCACCCGAAACATACATGATTACCAAGGCTCTTCCCACAAGGTAAAATAAGCAGTAACAAATGCGGGGCAGGATACTCTCAAGTAGCTGAGCTATTAACAGGGAGCTTCAAGAACACTCTTCTGGAATTATCACCCATGTTGGAATGGGCTTTTCAGTGATGCAGCAACCTTTGACTCATCCATCTTCCTCTAAGTAAGTCCTCACCCATGCTCCTAAGTAAGCCCAAAAATTCATTAGTTAAGCAAACTGAACAATGAACAATGGTAGAGTTATTTTGATCTATTGCTGGTGCCCTATCTGGAGTGAACAGATGTTTGTTCATGTTTCCACAGGAAGACATACAACACCCCCAAAATTCACACATCAAAGTACCAGTCCCCGCATTTCAGAATACAACAGTATTTACAAAGTACAAAGGTAATGAAAGCTAAATGAGGTTCTGTAGGAAGACCCTGATCCAATCTGTCCCTCTCAAAAGAAATTTAGACACACCAGGAAGCACATGCACAGAAGACAGATCAGGTGAAGACACACTGAGGTACAAGACAGAAACAATGGCCTTAAAAGAAATCAAATGTTACAACTCTTTGATGCTGGACTTCTAAACTCCAGAATTATGAGAAAATAAATTTCTGTTATGGTATTTTGTTTTATCAGTCATAAACCAGAGCTCCAAACCTGAATGTTATCTAGCTACATAAACCCATGCACACATAAAAGTTCCTTTGCTCACAGAATAACTCAGTGATTAACTTTTGTTGAACATTCTATGTTCAGATGACAGTCATTAAACAATGAAGGAATCTGAAGAACTGGGTAAAGTCTGAAAAGGCTACTAATGGAGAGGAAGTGGGAAGACAAGCTTCTGGCCATGTAAAATCGAAGAGCAATAAATGAGTGGTTACATGCAGCTGTCCCGCTCAAAATCAAAACTTGTAATACTTAAGCCTACACAAATGTGGGATGAGGTGCTCAAAGAAATGTTTACCGTCAGGAAAGATGAAGTAAAGGCTGGAACATTTAAGGCTCACTGACTGTCAGATGGAAAGTAGGACCTCTTAGATTCTAGCAACACTTTGTCTCTGGGTCCCTAAAATATCTATGTTTCATCCACTGCAGCACCTGCTCTCACTCCCACAGCAAGGGCAGAAACAAGGAGAAAAAGATGTGCTCCTGTCATCAAAAGAAGGGCCTGAAGAAACAAAGCCCTCGGGAAATATTAATAGTCAAAGAACCACTACTATGCCAAAAAAGAAAGCTAAATATAATTTTTCTAAATCTAAATGCCAGTTGATATTGATTCTGAAAAATATGTTCTACATTCCAAATTAACTCAACATAATGTTGGGGAGTGTGCCCTGCTTAGGAGGCAATCTACCTGGATAACTGTTCTTACTGTACTGTTACTTTGTTTGTTAGGTTCTTCTCCCCAAGACTGTAAACTCCTCAGAGACAGAGTGTGTTTTTGCACACCCACGCACATCTGCAGAGTGACACTATACTCACAATTTTGTTCAGTAATAGAGATGAAATTCAGTAGACTCATAAAAATTTGCAACTGGAGACAAAGTATCTCTGAGTTAGGGCACTGACTCTTCAAACAGTTTCCTTGCACAAACCCTGGCAAAGTCATTTAACCTCCCGGTCTGACCGTCTACAAAGTAGTCAGAGTGAAGGCTACAAAATAGATTCTACAAAAAAATAAGTTACACAGTAAATACATAGTAAGGCTTAAGACCACACAGCACATACCGCTATGCATTAAATATGTATTTCCTCATTACAATTATTCTGTACAAAACGCTGCCAGATATTATAGTTAAGTTTTTAAATAAATAGAACTCCTCCTTCTTGTCAAAAAAAATCAAAACAATTGGTTTAATGTACAAGTGTATGCACCTGGAGCTATAATAAGTGAAGAATTTGAGTTTGAGATAGAAATTTGCTGTTCCGGAACTCTCCAAAGGAATCTAACAACCAAAAGAGAGGTAGCATTATCCTGCGCCCAACTATTGTGCTCCGAACCTACGTCAATTAGCAGCACACATCACACAGCCCACATTTTCTTTTCGAACCTGTTCCTTTCTTTCTCACTGTCCCCGCCCCCTTGCGACTTGGCAAAGAGCAGCCAAGCTTTCCCGTATCTAGAAACTGAAACTTAACAAAGCCCCGCTCCTCGCCGCACACCACCAGCATAGTCCTTAGTGTCCCGGCCAAAAGAGGCAATCCGATGAGGCAGGCTGCGTGACCAGGGCTCTGCAGCCGCATGGGATCCAAACCACTACCCGGCCCACACCTGAGGCGGCCCGGCCTTGGCCACAGGGGCACAGCCCATCCAACTTAAGTGACAAAAGCACTGCCACCTCATCACCGCCAAGTTCACTATGCCAGGGAACATTGGGTCACGCTGTCCCGTGCAACGGAGGACGACCCCTAGCAGCACCTCCAGGCACAATCCCTTCTCCCCCAATGCCATTTCAACTGCCTTTAAAATGTAACTTCTGCTCAAAGCGAAAGCAACCAGAACCCACCTGGCACATGCTGGACTGCCGCAAAGTAGAAGCGCATGCGCATTTCCGCAGGCATCGCTTTCGTGATGGGAAGTTGCTGAGCGATCATTAGCTCGAGATTTGATTAAAATGGTCTTTACGCGGGTTAAGAGTGAGAGCGGGACTCCATGCTTGCGCATGCGCATGCTCTGAGCCTGATGGGAGTTGTAGTTTCGCGGTGCCCCCCACATTACTTCAGTATACAGAATCCAAATCGTCGCTGGGCGGCAATCCAGAGGAGACCTGCTCAGTGGCCACGTCTGCACACGCCTGCAGGCGATGCTGCCGCTGTGGGTGTGTGTGGTCGCGGCGTCTGCGCTCGCGGCGCCCACCCCCGGAACCCAAGAGCCGAAGCTGCAAGTGGCCCAGAGGCCCAATGTGGTGCTCGTTGCCAGTGACTCCTTCGTAAGTAGAGGGAGGACTGCGAAAGGACGCCACAGCCTGCTGAGAGCCCTCAGGGAGAGCGAACCGTGGGGTTGAGAGGTCCCGCACGTGCATACCTGCAAAGTAATAGTTAAAAGGCTCTGGCGACCCTTCTGCCTCAGCCTCTCTAGAGACACTACACCCGCGCGCCACGGGCGGAGATTTTCACGAATTTTTAATACCAGACTTGGTCCACCAAAGCATTTTTGCCATTATTATTTAATGTATCCTGGTTTAAGTAAGTTATGAAGAGAAATGCATTGTGCATTTCCATTAAAACTTATTTGTTTTCCAAAATGACGTGTTAGTGACCCACACTTGCAAAAATTAATGTTTGGGTAAGAAATGAAGGAAATTTAATTTTCTAAACCAGCGGTTCTCAATCTATGGGCCGCAATCCTCTGGGATTCGAACCACTTTTTCACAGAAGTTGCCTAAGACCATCGGAAATATCAAATTAGGTTGCATTTCGTAACAGTAGCAAAATTACGGTTATGAGGTAACAACAAAACAATCTTATTCTTTGGTGTCACCACAAAATGAGGAACTGCATTAAAGAGTTTCAGTGTTAGGAAGATTGAGAACCACTGATCTTGACATTTAATAATTGTGTTACCAGTGATTTAAATATTAGTTGTTATAGTTTAATCTACTTTTGCCAGGAAGTGGAGCTGCACGCCTTTAATCCCAGTACTTGAGAGGCAAAGGCAGGCGGATCTCTGTGAGTTCCAAGGAGAGCCTGGTCTACAGAGTAAGTTTCAGGACAGCCAGGACTGTTGTCTCAAAAAGACAAAAAAAAAAAAAAAAAAAAAAAAAGTACTTTCTTGAAAAAGAAGGATGATAAAACATAATTCTTTTCGCTTTCAAAGCTTATGACAAAGCTACAATAATCACAATAATATGTTACAGGCAGAAAGATAAATATTCAGAGCAATAGAATCGATTTAAGAGTCTAGAAATAAATTCGGATAAACAAGTAATGCTGAAATTAAATATCCATATATTTAATTTCAAATTAAATTAAAAGAACAAAATTGAGCCCTGTCTTCCACCATATGTAAAAATTAACTTAAAATAAGTTTATGAATTAAAGACTTCGTCATGAAAATGGAAGTATAAATTTTCATAATGTTGGATTAGGCAACTTAAAAGGAGCCAAAGATTTGAAAAACATTTCCCCATAGAATATACACAGGTGGCCAATAAGCACATAAGACGTTTACAAGCATTGATAATCATTAGGGAACTGTAGGTCAAACCATAGTGAGACTCTATGTAGATCAAACCATCTCATTCCCATAAGGATAGTTAGAATCAAGAAGGCATGAAAGTATTAGGGGATTATTTGAGAAGATACAGGGAGTCCCAGGAGGGGGAGGAGGTAAATATGTTCAAAGTATGAAACCGTTGTGTTATTTTGAACAGTTAACATATAAGAAGTTCTTCCGTATTCTAATTACAGATGCCCGCACACACACGATAGACAATGACCACAGTTTGTGAGACTATGGAGGAATTGGAGACCTCGTACACTGCTGTGGAGAATGCTTTGTAAAGTGGTAAAGCCACCTTGGAAAGCATTTTAACTAGAGTTACTATGCAATCCAGCAATTCTATTCCTATGAGTTTGTGTCTAAGAGAAATGAAAACAGAGTTCACACAAAAACTTCTATATGACTATTCATAGCAATATTATGCTAGAAGCCTTGAGTCGTGGTTGTGTTTGTCCTAGCAATAGGATACACTAGAACAATGCGTGACATTTAAACTTCTCCTTTGGTTCTCCTTGGTCCGGAATGATGCCATGGCTCAGAAGCAGCAATTGGAAAGTGTTAGAACCAGAGCCACAGTTGCAATGTAGCTCATTTGGTACAGTCCTCACCTAGCATGAGATCAACCAGCAGCACCACAGAAGGAGGGCATGGTAATGTCTGCCTCTGACCCCAACACCCAGGAGGCAGAGACTGGGCATAATCGAAGTTAATTTACTAGTGTTCTTTTACCTCTCCCAGTGGGCTGTGGGTGTCCTGGGAATGGGCCTCTATTCTGTCTCACCATTGTATCCTCAGATGTTACAAGGTGCCTGACACATAAACACACAGGTATTTAAAGTTTATTAAAATAATTTTTAAATTATTTTTTCATTCTTCAAAAGAACTTTCCAAGAAGCACTTTAACTTAATATATGCAAATGGATTTGAGCATAAAACTCTCTCCAGTCTTATTTAGGTACTAGATTCTTAAAACATAGCTCAGTGCTTGCTTTTTATTCTTCTTGAGATTTCATACAAACATATTCTCCTACTTCTTTCCTCTTCTCCTTCTCTTCTCCTTCTTTTTCTTCTCCTTCTCTTCTCCTTCTTCTCCTTCTCCTCTTCTCCTCCTCCTCCTTCTTCTTGGATTTTAGCATTTCATGGTCTTTTCTTAATTTAACAACCCGAATTTTCTAGCTTCCTGTCTTTGGCTTTTGTATCCCAATATTGGTTTAAGTATGAGTAACAGCTCTATGAAGCAGCATCATAAAGTAGCACATTTTCGTGTGCAAGCGCAGATAGAAATGAAAAGAACATTGCTGCCACCACCTCTCCTGTTCAAGGAGAGAGTGACTGTAGAAAGATGAGAGACTAGGTTGGGAATGGGGTGCCTCCGAGAGCAAAATGGAGTGATACACTATACTGATGGTCTGAGTTTGCTGTCTGCACAATAAATGTTAAAGTGGAAGGGGAAGAATGGTCATCTAAAATTGTCCTCTGCTTTCTCTGTGTACATGATGACCAACAGTGGTTGGATTTCTTTATTTCAGGATGGAAGACTAACATTTCAACCCAGAAGTCGGGTAGTAAAACTTCCCTCTATTGACTTGATGAAAGCTCATGGCACTACCTTCCTGAATGCCTACACTAACTCTCCCATCTGCTGTCCATCTCGTGCAGGTATGACAATGCTAATGGAACGGGCGGATCCCTAAAACGACATCTACGTGTGAAATATCATACGCAAACCTATTTTAAAACCTATTGTAAAGTCGCTTCTGGTACCTAATAAAAAATACCTCGGGGTAACTGTTGTGTGTTCTATGGTGTCAATGTTCGGGTCATTCGAATTTTTAATTTTTCTGAAGAATTTCTTTGATTTAGAATTGAATTTGAATTTCTTGTTTCTCGGAAGAAAAGCTTTTTCTTGCGTGGGATGCTGTCTAGTTCCTGTGTTGCTGTTTCATTTCTTCCTTTGGCTGTCAAGCAGATGTCAAGAGAGTTCTGTGTCTAGGATGTCTTTCCACGAGGCTTTGGGAAGAGTCCGCAGCTCTCTGGACGCTCTTCCCAAGCAGAACTCTTTTTCCTTTCTTTTTCTTAGAAAAACCTAGTGAAAAGATAATGAATAGGAAAGTCCTTGAAAGGTAAGGGAAATTATGTCTATAATTGTCAGTACTCTAACTTATGGTTTAAAAAAACTAGAAGAAAATACATACAGAAAGCTTTTCTGACTGAAAAACACTAATGATGTGCAAGCTTTATATTTAATTCCAGCCATAAATACAACAAATACCTTAATCAACTTAACCTCCAGCCTTGGTGAATAGAAATCCTTGTAGGGCTTGCCCTCCGATAAAATGGGTACCAGTGAGAAATGCCCGGGATCTGCTGAAGCTGATGGCGTTTCTTATTCCAGATCACAGACTGAAACAGCCAGTAAAGATTAAGTTTTAACCTTCATCCATTCCTTTCATTTTCACCTCAGCGATGTGGAGTGGCCTCTTCACTCACTTAACAGAATCTTGGAATAATTTTAAGGGTCTTGATCCAAATTATACAACATGGATGGATGTCATGGAGAAGCATGGCTATCAGACTCAGAAGTTTGGAAAACTAGACTATACTTCAGGACATCATTCCGTTAGGTAAGATGAAAGCAAATGCTGCCCCCTGCTGCACACTCATGGACTCTGCATGCTTACTTTACCACAGGGCTTACTTTACCCTTACTCCCTTGAGTA